CATCAAAGAGCAAAACAGAGCAGATAGGGAAAGGCACCAAATGAAGTACATCCCGGATGACTAAAGGTGACCCTGCCCCTGTCAGCTCCAGCGCATGTCACCTTGTAAGACTGAGGACCCAGTGCTGGAAGTCTTTGTTTTTTTGTTTTTTGGTTGTTGTTGTTTTTGTTTTTTTCCCCCAAAAGTGAGAAATGCAGCAAAAGTCAGAAATGTGAAATCGTCCCAGTTTTAAATCCTGGTAGCTAATTTAGAAATTAGTTTGCTAATTTAGAAATTCTTTGCTCTGTTCCCATGGTTAGGATGAACACATTCTAGTCACTGTCCTGTCATGATGTATTTATGTTTTCTAGGTTTTTTTCCCCCAGATAATCCGCTTGTCCTTTGTTTCACATATCTAGTCATGCTAGTGCTCCATCTTCCACAGTACTCCGCAAACCGGTTTCCGACTTTCTAAATGAAGAAATTCAGTTGTAACCAGGGGAGAAATTGGAGGTCTCGGTGGGGAGGAGACTAGAAAACAACAAGCACATCCAAAGTGTAATGTTGGATGAGATTTTAAAAAGGGGCCAGGAAAAAAAACCATGAAGGCAGTCCTGAGAGGGAAGGCACATTGTGGCTGCACTTTCATGGCCCTAGCTAGACACCACAGCACATCACGTAGGGGCCCTGGCACCAGCTCTGCCGGCCTCTGCTGAACCTGGTGAGACATCAGGGAAGAAGCTGAACCTCCCTACACTGGTTTTCTCCTTTGCAAAAGGGGAATAAAAACAGCTTTTAACTCAGAAAGTAGAGAAGATTAAAAGAGAAATAATTTTAAAATTGTGTATGCAGAATTCAGTTTCTCCAAACCAAAGTACCTCCTGGCAAAGGGGAAGAGGAATAAATAAAAAACAAATACTTTTTAAAAATTTTTTTGTTCCCAAAACTCTGATCCATTTTATGGATCCAATTTATCTTATTGAGCTCAGTCTGCCATAGAGCTGCGAGGGGACAAAAGTGACTCCTGAGAGACTCCTCCTATTATGATTAAGCCATTCATTCATTCAGCCAATGATTACTAAGCTCCTTATGGTGCTTTTCCAGCAAAGAATACATAGGTGAGCAAAAAGAAAAAAAACTTGGCTTTCAGGAAGCTTACAGGGGAGCAGGAAAGACATGAAATAAGTTAATAACAATAAGTATACAGTTAACAAAAATAAGTATACAAATTATTAGTTGCTTTTTTGAGGCCAAAGACCATTCCCTGTAAACCTAGGACCCACAGAAAGCATTTAATTTGAGACAACACAAGTTGCTGCATTGCTTCCAACCCTGGCTCCACTATTTTCGAGACCACTGTCAGATGACTTAACCTCTCTGTGCCCAACTCCTCGCTGTCAAATGCTGGTGGTAATAACATCAATTTCAAACGGCTGGGTGAGTTAATTCACACACAAAAAAACACCAGAACGGAAATAGTCAAGTGCTCATAAACATTGCTATTATGGTTATCATTAATAATCCTGACTGGTGAACTGAAACAATTACTTTCCCCAACCATTAACTTACTCAAACATAGTTTAATTAAAACCAAATTGCTTTCTGTGTCAAACAGATTCACAAATATACATGTAGCTTATTCCATCCTGTGACCCTCTAGGTGTTTACTCTAGCACAAAAATGTAGCTACTTATCTTTGAGGTACACACTCAGGGTATTACCTGTGACAGTTTAAGGCTTTCAAGCAAAGGTGTTAAAAATGAAGTAAATAAGTACAATTACATATAATGGCCAACTAAAGGCCACCCTTTGTGAGAGAGAACATTTACTAAACTTTTTACACATTTGGCCTATTCTTAGTACTCGATGGTCAAAGTTTTGTCATTATCAGTTGGGTGGACTCCTAAGGTAACTGAGTAAAATGCAAAAGAGAAACAATACATTTAACCACATAGAGCAATGGAAGATAAAATTCTTCAAAGTCAGATTAACATTAAAAAGAAAAGGAAATCATCACCTTTTGAAAATGACACCAATTTGCAAATTGAATGAGGAAACACAGGGTTTTTACCTATTTAAAATAAATTTATTTTTCCATCCCCACTCAAGATAATGGCATTTATGATTTTTATAGTCAGTTAACAGTGGGGCTCAGAGAACTACTTGGCAAACCCAGGAAGGGCCAAGCTGCAAGTCTGTCACAATCTTCTGTAATCTTGAGGGAGTCTTACTATTTTCTGTGGGGTTGTTTCCTCATTCTATTACCAACTTCAGAAACTAATATCCTGATTCCAAACAATATTATGTGCTGTATCTACAGTGCTTAAAAATTACTTACAAAAAACTGACCTCCCTGAAGAACAGGGTGCCTGAAGAGAAAATAGGAAATCAGACTTTTAATAATGATGTAACTAACAATTACAGAGAACTTAATATACGCCAGGCACTGTAAACCTTACATGTACTCGCTCATTTCATCTTCCAAAGATGCCTAAGCGGTAGGTTCTATTAGTAGTTTCATTTTTCAAATTATGAAACTGAAGCTCAATGAGGTTAGTGGCTTGTCCAAGGTAACCCAGCAAGTGGCAGAACTCGGGAACCTCGCTGCAGGTGCCAACTTTAATCGTTACAGAAGTCTGTCTCCCCAGCTTTGCCACTAACTAGCTATATGAGCTTGGGCAAGTCATGCTTCTCCCCTTGGGCCTCAGTTTCTGTAGTTGAAAGTGAAGAAACGTCCTAAAGATTTAGGTCGCTTCCGGGTCCTAAGTGATGGAAGACCACACGTTACGTGGGGGGGGAGGGGAGGAATTGAGGTTTGGGATCCGGCCGCAACCCAGGACGCCGCGACAGTTCTGCTCCTGCCAGAGCCTCCAGGGGTCCTACCCAACTCCCCTCCTAGCATGGCGTTCAGAGTGAGGCGCTCGGTGGCACAGGGACGCGGTACATCCAACAGGCACTCAATAAAGGTGCGCTGATCCCGCCCCCCGCGCGGCAAGCCCGACCGGAGCCCGGAGGAGTTACCCGTCCATTACATCCAGGTGCAGATAATCGGCCCCAGAGTCTAGCATCCGGAGGCACTCGGCCCCTAAATTGGCCAGGTCGCTGTTGAGGATGGACGGGCCAATCTTGCAGCCCGACGCCATACCGCTGGCTCCCCAGAGCAAGTTACCCCACGAGTCCCCCGGCAAGACTAGAGCGTCACTCCGATTGGGCGGGCAGTTTTGGCCCCGCCCCTTCTCCGTACAGGCTTCCGGACTGTACGGGAAGCAGCGACTCTGCGATGAGGAAGTTCCGCCTCCTCCTGGCGTGAGGCGGTCTCTGCTGTCCGCCTGGGGCGGGGCGGGGCGTGGCACACGGGAGTCGTGTTCCTAGTTCTGACCTTCCTTCTTATGCTGTTTGAATCTTAAAGTCCTCGCAGCACTCAAGGCGTTTCTCAACCTTTTTTCGCTTTGCTTCCCCTACAGTTCTTTCTCCTCGGTTCTTGACTTCACATCACCTTTTGTTTCTCCACCCTTTGCATGTGCGTTCCTTTCCTCTCCAGCGCCTATGCTGGCCCTTTAAAACAACAATTAAAAACCTTCTTCCCTCGTATTTCTCTTAGAGCTCTTCTTTTGAGTTGGAGGAACCCTGGCTCTGCTAAATACTAGCTGGGTGACCTGGCAAGTCACTTCTTACTTCGGTTTCCTCATCTGTAAAGACAGTGCCCAGCTTTAGGGTTGTATTAAATGAGTGAAGCCAGATAATGCGCCCAGCAGGATGCCTGGTGCTCAGTACAAAATGGTAGTTATTATTACCCTCTTTTTCTGCCTCTGCACTTCCTCCTCCTTATCTTTTTTGTTTTTCCCTCTGTTGAGGCTCAGAAAATAATAGTCCAAAGTGAAGGCCTCAGACGCAACAGTGTTTCTCTGACTTCATGTCCTGCGCTCTTCTCAATCTCATTCTCCCAGGAGGCAGGTCATAGAAACTAGAGCCCCTCTTCCCTAAGAAGAGTCATTGAAACCAGAACTCCCTTTTCTTGAAGCCAGCCATAAAACCCAAAAGCATTACTCTAGCTTTCCTCCACCTTTCTGTGTAAAAACTGGCCAAAAATTATTTGACCTACTTCAATTGTAGGTTATAAAACTCCTCTTCTAGAGAAGGTTCTATCCCATATCCAGGAGAAGGGAATGCTGCACAGAGAGGCCAGGAATCCAAACTAGACTGGCCAAGGCCGGGTCAGACTATTAGCATTAGATCGCCTATTTTGTCCAATCGTATTTCTACATGGCTGTCCATACTTTGTTGAACCTAAGTATAAAAATGGGTAATCACCCCTGTACCTTTGGGTCTTCATTCTAAAGGCTCCAGTGTCAGGTAAAACTATGATCAAATAAGTTGTTATGCCTTTTATCCTGTTAAACTTCTTTTTGTCAGTGATGTTCAGGAAACCTTTGGAGGGTGAAGGGGAAGTTTTCCCTTGACCCCTACACCTCTCCAGTGCTCATTCACAAATTGTGATAGGTTTGTGTGCTGTTCATGGTTCAGAAATGGATAAGAGTATCCTGATGCTAAATGTGCCTAGGGTCAGAAAAAGAGACAGAAGTAAAACCACATGAGGGGGAAAAAATGGACTTAGCAAGAGCAATCCTTAAGGGGTCAGAATAGAGCACTTTGTATAAAAGACGGAAGTGGTAACTTGGACCACGTGGTGTTTCTGGCCACATTGTGAGGACAACCAGATGTTTAACAATCCCACTGGGAAATCTACCAGTTATTCCAGTAGGTCAAAGCCTGGGCAGAGAAGTTTATTTTTATTTTGAAAGGTAGATTTGGAAAGCATGAGTAGAGCTCAGTTTGTTGGGAGGGGTGACAGGGAGTGTATTGGAGGTATCTAACTGGATGGTCGTGACCTCAGGCCAGACCGGGGAGGTTGAGGATGGACAGCAAGGCATTAACAAAGGCACACCCCAGGGATCCAAAATGAACATCTTCCTGAATGAGTCAACCTATTCCCTACATTAAGAAATGAAACAGGCATCTTAAATGTTTTTAGATGTATTTTATTATATGTGCATACCTAAACACAGAAGTCTTAATATCTTTCATAAATATCTTTCATAAACATTTCAGTATTTATTCATATGTATTTTTTCCATGTTCTTTGGTCATTCAATGTTCATAATAGACTTTATAGTTATCTGAGGGAAGTCGGCTGTGTAGTCAATCTTTTGTTTTAACCTATAAAATGGCTAATACAGGATTTTCATCCTGTGGTCACAGTGACTATTCAAAGATTTATGGAGGTAAATTGATCTGTAATCCTAAATGATCATAAAATAATATAAGTAAATTTGTCTTAAGCTTTTCCAAATACATTCTGCCCTCAACTTGTTTTTATTCTCCTGAGTGTCAAACCAAAACTTGTTTCTGAAATGCTGCAGTTGAAACCCACTAAAGTAAAAGAAATGGGACTTTTTACCCCCTAGCAAGACAAGGTCATGGAATTGGAAGAGTGAGGTCATAGGGCAACAGCATGACTTGGTGTGATAGCAGCAAATTCTGGAGACTGTTCTATTAAAGTATCCTTTATAACTTGAGGAAGGATATTTAATTCATGTTTTTGACTATAATTCTATTCATTTATGACCCTTTCTTCCCTGTATTCTCATCTTAGATACTCTCAGAGGTGGGCAGCAGAGTGGAGAAAGTTCTTTGTTGACTAAAGGAATATAATGCTAAAGAAGAGAGGAGCTATCACCTTGTTTAAGGTACTCTTGGAGGCTTGAAAGAGCAAACCAGTTACTCCCAGCCTGTGCAACAAGCCCTAACCAGATCACTAGTACCACAGATTTTTCCACCAGCACTGCCATGCCCATTTATGCCTTTTGATTTTGACACTGTAGTTCTAAGTGCCTTGTCTTAATGCACTCAATAACTCAGTTTCTTTTTCAGAAAAATGACATAGCTTATCTAATAGAAATCTAGAAAGCAGCAAATACTGAAAAATGAAAGTAAAATGTTTTGCTATAGGAGATCCTATATCCAGGATTTAAACTGTTTTAATTGCATCTGAGTCATACTATCATGGAGAACACATGGTTTATTCCAAGGTCTCTCAAAAGTTAATTTCAGAAGAAGCAACTTCTTTGTGGAGTCTAATTTTTTCTACATGGGAAGTGGGTACCTTTTTTGTTTTTCCTCTGAATAAGATAAATATCATTAAGCATCATGGCTGAAAAGAAATGATCTATATTACCAACACTGTATTTATCATATGTAGTAATTAGCTTTTAGTCATGTACTTAATAATATTTTGAATATTTATCTTGAACTTTTTTCTAATCTTCCCCAACTTTTTTTTTTTTTAATAGTTATTCCTTTCAAACTCCAGGTAACAGTATTCCTGAGAATACATCTTGTGACAGTTTTATGCACATACATATAGATACTTTAGCCATTACACATAAACATTCAACACATTACATTCAACACATTTAAGGGCACCTTAAATGGAACAGATGCACACATCTGCAAAATTTCAATAGTCCCAGTATGAAAACATTCCTACTCTGTAAGGCCCTGTTTCTCAGAGTGGAGGCTTTTTTGCAAGATACAACATTGCTTAGCTTATTGAAAGTTTCTAATAGACTTCCACACACAAGAGTGAAGGAGTCAGGCTAAAAGGCAGACAGACCAGCATAATCATGTTCAAAACAGCCCAACAGTTTTTAAATACATATAAAGGTATTTATGATTCTTGTTGGATATTTAACAATCTTCTTTGACTTCTCTGCTATTTAAATATTTCATACAATTATACATAGATAATTTGAATCAAGAAACTGGAACAAAGCACACACATACATAGAGACGCACAATAGCCCAGACACTTGTAATTACCAAACATAAGGCCTCTAATGCTAATTGAGCAGCATAATTTTTAACAGGTGAAATATATCAGCTTGGAATCATAAAACCACTTAACATTTATATTCCTGCACTTGAGAATTATTTCAGCATTAACTGTAAATAACATGAAAATATTGTAAAACATAAAAGAGGTCATTTACTGCCTCCATTTTCTGAATTGTTAGATTTGAAATTTTTAGTTTTGTTCTTATATCTTTAACTCATGGATATCTTTCATTCTCTTACTGAATAGGACCATAACCCCAAATTATATTTGAAATTATAAACCACAATATAAACAATGCCTATTTAATAAGCAATTCTAACAAAAAATAATTTTCCTTTATGATTAAGGTGGGTTTAGTAGGTATCTTCTTTATATACGTACACATTTCACAGCCAACACACTCAAAGTTTAAGCATACAGAATGTGTTTTAAATTCATTGCAGGGTAATCAAAGTCTATATTTAACTTCATCTTGAGGACTAAAACACATACACGCACGCACACATACACCACCATACCAATTTAAGTATGTATATGAGTTTGTATATGCTTAGTTGTTAGGTAACAGTTTTCTAATGTAAACTGCTAAAATTTTGAAATTCAATTGTGAACCACATGATGCACAGCCCTGCTATAGGATCAGTAACACACTAGGTGTTGGCCTCACAAGCCTTCTAAGTGTTACACTTTTCTTGAAGTAACTGAACTTCAAGTTAAAGGCCTATTTGTAAAATATATAAACTGGAGGTGTCTATGAAGAAATTGCTTACTTTATACGTTTTTCCTTATAAACTTAGATGTTCCAAGTATCATAAGAATATTGTTTCTATTAAGAAAATGTTATTTTATTAAACCGATTCTAACAACACTAACTTTAATATTTGAAAATATGCCCTCCAGGGCAGGCACAGGATACTGTAAGGAAAAGTATTACTAATCACATTTTCCAGTATCTTCTAATCTTGGTATTGATGTAGTCAGGGCTAGGAATAGGAATACCATCTCTTTTAAGTGATTATATTTACATTTGGTTTTTATAATTGTATAGGCTGTTCAGGTTCTTAATTCAGAATTATTTCTGATGATTTCTAGAATATTCTCTAATATTCTAATGTGATATATTATGAAATGGGATGATCTTATGCCATTTGCATTTTGATTTACAACATGCAATGAAAATGGTAGTTGAAAAATAAATATCTAAAAGTCCACAGCTCTCTATATAGTTTTTTTTCTTCATCTAAATGGCTGTATTGTTAATCAAAACAAAAATGGCTGTAGGCTTATTTGTTATTTAGTCTCCCCAAAGTAATGTTTTTCTTATTTTTTTAATGTAAATTGCTACTTATATAGCCAACCTGAATTAATATTTTTAAAACTATAAAAATAAATATTTGCATGAGATGTATAATGTGAGTAATCTCAAAAAATTGCATTCTATTTTTAGATCCTATTATTAATATTTCTCTGAAAGCAGTGCTGAATAGTATATATTTTTAACTGCTGAAGGCTTCTTGAATCATAAACAATGTACAGTGAAATGGCTCTTTCCCCTTATTCCTCCCTGGTTTTATGATTTTTGCACAACTAAATCCTTTCAGCCATTGACTTTTAAAATGTTTATGAAACATTATGTATATTGGCAGCAAAACCTATTCAGATTTGTGCCACCCATTAAAAGTAAAGTGCTATTTTGTAATTAATCTTTTTCAAGCAAAAGTATTGAACTTGTAGTAGAAAGATCACTTTCATGTCTTCTCTATACCTGCAGAGCTTACAAGATACAGACTTAAACATGAGACTCATCTAAGACTGCATCCGTTTTCCCCAGCTCAGTGGGAGTATAGGTGAACTGGCTAGACAGTAGTGGGTTCTCCATGCCATTTTCCTCACTGATGTGAAGGACAGTGTCTCCATGCTGGAGGAGGCTGGATGTCTCGAGGCCTGTGAAGTCATCAGGGTCAGAGAGTTGGGTAGAGAGTGGACTGTGTGCAGTAGCACCTTGCGCTTCTGTGTCCTCCTTCTTTTCTCCTTCTTCAGTGGGGAGGTTCTCACTCTGTGATCGAAAGGATCATAACATTATGGAAAGATAGGATGGGTACCAGAGAAGAACATCAAAAAATGTTGTTGTCTAGTGGTAATGGGAAAAGGAATCAGATGGCTAGTCCCAGTTCCAGCCTTTGTAATAGGTAGGATATTATGTAAGCCCTTCCAACTTTCTAACCCTCAGTTTTTGAACCTAGAACATGAACACAATTTTTTGTCTTGCTTATCTTGTAAACTGTGAGGATCAAATGAGATAATAAAGCTTAGTGTTAAAATGTTTTTTAACCATTAAAGTCTATACAAATGTATACAGTAACATTGCCCTTTAGTTTTCCTTAAATACCACATGAGAAGAAGGTAAAAGTCTAAGAATTCATTGATAAAAATGAAAAGAAAAAATATACCAAAACAAGAAAAATATCAGTGGGAAAAATAGCAAAACAATGAGGAAAAAGATCAAAACGAAAAGTTCCTTTCATCTTATAGGACATAGAGGTTCTATATTTAAAGGCTTTATCTAAACTGGTAACTTCATTTTTTTTAATTGAAGTATCTTTCAGCTATCCTTTATCTGAAATGCTTGGAACCACAAGTGCTTTGGATTCTGATTTTGGAATATTTGCATTATATACTTACCTGGTTGAGCATCCTTAATCCAAAAATCTGAAATCCAAAATGCTCCAAGAAGCATTTTCTTTGAACATGAACTTCGAATGTTATATCAGCACTTAAAAAGTTTCAAATTTTGGAGCATTTTAGGTTTTAGATTTTTGTATTATGGATGCTCAACCTGTATAAACCTGTTGTAAATAGCTGTTTTAGCTGCAAAGCATTTTCTCTTGGGTTTTTCATAAGTAAAAATACCAAGGCTTTCCTTGGTCCTTCTTAAGTGGATATATTCCTGGCTATACTTTATATAGATTTTCTCTTTCATGATGGCAGGAGCAGTATCTGTTTGGATAACAAAGCATTGCAGACCTGGACTTAATTATATGGAATAAATGTGCATATCCAAGTGGCTGCTAGAAGTAAGTACACAGGGAGCAAGCCTTGCCTGTTTCTCTAGTGCCCTCACCTGCTTAGGAGACAGGCTGTGGAGATCCGCAACAACTATGGCGGGAGAAGATGTGAGGACTGGTTCGTCCATTGCTTCTGGTTTCCTAGATGGGGCTGGGCTGCAGCCCTGTAGTTGGCCTGTTGCAGGAAGTGCATCTGTTGGGGCAGCTGCTGGCTCTGGCTGAGCTTCAATGAAGGTCACAGATCGTTTCTGATCCGCTGCAGGTAGAAGTGAAACAGTAAATTGGGGAGAAGTTGGCGGAAATGAACTGTCAATGCTTAATAGTTGATTGTAACCAGTGTTTCCTGGGGATTTTTTTTTTAAACAAAAACATTGCTGGTTTATTAATAAATAAGAACACATTTTGCGCATGTTTGATTTTATCTTCTTACAAAGAATAAGACTTAGGTAGAAAAAACATTTTCACATAAATGGCCTAAAATAACATTTGTATAGAGCATTAGTTGAAGTTGATCATTCCTCATAACAACAGCCAAAAGGACTTAAAAGTTCCTATTATTCATCATAGCTTTACCTTCAATGACATATATAGCAAGCCCAGTTCTTGGCTTCAGTAAAGAAATCACATCCTTTTATAGTCAAATTTCCCAGTATTAGTGGCTTACCTTGGGCTCTTTCATTTTTTCTAGGTTCTTGGGGTAGAGACAGGGATTGGGGATGGCAAGAAGAAAAAAAGACACTACAGTTTTCTGGGAAACTCCTTCCCTTATGTTAGCACCTCCCCAAAGGTGTGCTTATCTCCATCAGCTTGGTTTTTGTAAGCCTTCCTGGCTGAGTTGTATGGCATCATGTCAATGGTATAGTCAGAAGGGACACAGGAGGCCTTACCAGACGGCTTCGTTTTAGGTTGAATGCTCCTGCGAGTGGTTGACAGCCGAGCCCCATGGCGATTTCTGGATTCAGTCTGAGTTTTCTGACGTGATAGTAGAGGACGTCTTAGCTAAAGAGAATAGGCAGAATAAAACTTGCAAGAGGGTCTAACGGCTTAGGAGGAAATTGTTTCCTTATTTATATGTTTCTGTGAATTCTTATGGTTGTTCCTTACATTTATAGCTGATAAATTTATTTCTGCATATTTAACTATAAGTATTTTCTTCTGACATCCCCTTTAGCTAGTTCATCTCCCAATTATGACTCCTTTATATATGCCAAGAACATTGACTAACACAATTTAGATCATAAACTTGAGAATTTCAGTAATTTTAGGATGCAAAATGAGTAACTATTGCTTACTGATCAACCTTTGCTCATTGCTCATTTAAAACTTATAGTTGAACATATGCTTTCAAAGGGGAGGTTTATTTTTAAAACCTCAGATGCTGGCCAAGTGCCTGGTACCTCAATCAATAATGGGAAGCTCCTGTGGAAGCAACAGTGATAAGCCGCTTTCAGATTTTTATTTAGCAAGTGATGTAAAAGAACTCCATCTAAGATAATCTGTAAAGATGATCTTTACTTCAGTTTGCTTTAAATTAAATAACCTTGAAATGAGAAAGGACTTGTTTTTCTTTGCCTTTATGTAGAAACAGGCCTTAAATCAACTGTATAACAAATCTTTCTCTATCACTAAGTTTGGCTGGTAAAGAAGGTTTCTGGGTAAGGAACAAACAGAATTATAGCCCCACTTACTTTACCACATAATCAGCTTTGCTAATAAGAACATTCAGAGCTAAAAGAGAAGATGGAAACATTTGGCTTGCCTAAGTACTTACCACGTTTTAAAGTTGCTCTGTGCTGCTTATTTTTGGTAGGGTGAATGCAAAATGTAAATTTTTTAAAAAAATACATTGTTTTATTTAGTTAGTTAGTTTTTAAGAGACAGAGTCTTACTATGTTGCCCAGGCTGGACTCTAACTCCTGGGCTCAAGCAATCCTCCCACATTAGCCTCCCCAGTAACTGGGATTCCGGGCACACCCAGCAGCAAAATATCTTAATATACATGGGCATTAAAAATCACATAGAGCTTCCAATTCGTAGGATGGTTCTCTTGTGCTTTAAGGGTCTACTTACCTGCCTCAGGCCCCTCTTCCTCCCCAGCGGCTGCTGAACGAGGAGGTTCTGTTGACCAGGTTCACTCTGTATACTTGCCACCCTGCCAAGCATCAACAGTGTTAGTGTACCCCAGAGAGTACAGGAGACCATCCTCTGGTGGGTGTTAGCCAAAACCACTTGTATGATACAGTCACTTCAAAGATACCATTATCTTTGAAGGATGGTTGGGAGAGTCCCTGGGATGGGCGTTTTCAAAGGTTTGGGAAGGAGGACAAGGCCTGTAGCCCCAAGCTTCCAAAATTGAGATTCTGTTTTCAATCACTGATGCCGTATCTATCATTCAGAAAACATTGGTTTGATCACACCCCTGGTTTGGAAGCCACCAAAAGGTATAAGATGTCATATTCTAATCTCAATTTTTTTTTCCAAGGGGAAGGGAAACGGTGGTGACAAACAAACACAAACAACTCTATCACATGGATGGGAACACCTTTTTAAAATTTCAATTTAAATGAAAATAAGATGGACAAATATCGAACACATCAGACACAGAATTTATTTGGGTGAAGGGGCACATTCAACACATGTTTGCAGCCTGAAGTCTCTGTGACTACCGAGTAAATGAATAGTCACATGGGTAAACAATTTTTTAAAAAACATGGTTTTAGATTTAAAAGGCTGGCAAAGTATAGCTATAGTTAAGCTATCATTACAACTCAGGAGCTTTAAAATCGAGTAACTGCACTCAAACATACCATGCAGTTTATAAAAGCAACAACCTGCTCCCCCCAAATGTACTGTGTATGTGTGTCTTTTGTATGCAAAAATGACTGGAAATAGTTGCTATTTAGTGTTGGGTGAAGCTGAAAATACTGACATGGGCCCATGGTCGTTTTTCATTCTGCATGCACGTATAAAAGGTATTTATAATGGGAGTGGGGGTGAAGAAAAGAAGTATCCTGTGCCCCAGAGAATATTATAATTCTGTGGATGATGCCAATGTGATTCTTTGGTTAATGGTTAATTAATTTCTGCTTTGCCTTTGCAAAAGGAGAGTCATCTACAGATAGTTCGTAAGAGTATAATATTCCACAGAGGAATCCAGAGTCAGCAACTGTCCAGGGAAAAGAAAGACTATATCTGTTCATTTCCATTTTTTTTTTTTAAGGGCTACTTAAATACCCAGCTGCAGTAGTAAGGAGAGAAACTGGTGGCAAGACAGGCAATCAGATGTTCCCCTTTTGTGTTAATAATTGGTTAATCATCACAAAGTTGACACAGTCACATTTGTCATTTTTTAAAAGTCTTACGTTTCCACTAAAAAATCAATGTGATTCCCAAATAGGGTTTATCACAGTTTTTATGAAATAAGGATGTAATTACACCGTTTGGGGTTCACCATAACAAAATTCATAAAGGGTACCAAAACAGGTGCTTTTTAAACTTTCTTGTTCTCCTGAATGTCAACTTCAAAAAGATCAATGTTCATTATCCTTATACATATATAACGCTGAAACAGATATGACCTTTCCATGAAGATAGAAAATTACCCCAAAGGAACAATGCAATAAATTCTGATAAGCAATCCAGACTAAGTTGCTGGCATGTTTGAAATGACATCTCCTTATTAATTATACATGTTAACGTGTCTGTTAAGTTGGAAAGAGTATTCAATAACCATATGCACAAAAGTAGAAACAAGTTTCTCCTAATACTAAGCAAAGCTTTCATTGGAATGGATTCTTCATTGACATCTAAATGTTACCTCAGTTCCCTTGGCCATTAAGAGGAGGTTAATACTTACCAACTACCTCCCATTAAGGTAGAGAAAAGAAGTTAGTTGATGTACAATGGTGTGAACATGAAAAGTGATGTACATAGCATGCTTTCTTGTTTTACATTTGATGTTGTAATGAGTTTATTGCTTCTAGAATACTAAAAGGAAGCAGGTAATAAAATGTTTTGAAAATAATAGGGCAGAGAAAATGAAATCGAGGCAGTCCACTTGTCTCATTTTTATTCAGGAATCTGTGATTGTGAGAAAAAATGGTGTAAGAAAAGAAAAGAAATTCACGTTACTTAGGGAGTGTTAAATGTCAAAACATAATGGTAATTTCATGATGATTATTCCAGGAGAGGATCATAAGCACTGAAATTTTCTCTATGGATAGAGAGGCTTATATCTAAGAGATGCATCAAGTTTATAGCTTTAGTATTTAGCTGTTCCGTAAATGATACAGCATTTCATCATGGAATGCACCCATCAAAGATGAAATTACAAAATATATCCTTGGAAATATCCCAGCTTATGAATTATACTCACTCTAAAAATGTGATCGCTAACATGTTTATATTTGGAATACTGAAGGCTGGCTTAACTCTGTACAGTTAGGAATAAGCATCCAAAAAAGTTCACAATGATAATTTATACAGATCATGTTTCTTTTTCTGGGGTTTATATCAAATTGAAGTTGCATATAAAAAGTTTCAATTTAGCTTCTCTCCACATCATGTAATATTTCAGTCATCTGCAGGATTTGTGATGTATGACTATAAGATGTGCAATACTAGAATGAACCAGAAGACTAAGGGGTTTTCACTAAGCACCTCTCTATGTTATGTCCAGTTTTTATTTAAATTGTTTGAAACAGTCCCATCATAGTTCCTACCTACTACAACTGCAGTAATCAAAATTATTTTTCCCTTTAGGGAAATACAATGTTATATTTGATAATCAAATTTTAAATTATTATATTGTATTTTATGGTCACAAAATATCATACTCCAATAGACAACTGAATCCTTTCAGATAAGTGAAATATTTATTTCATGTTCTGAAAAGTTGAGACTATCTGTCGAAATATGTCAGACTAGTGGGACAACTTCTTAAAACTGTCCAACAGAGAAAACTGGTTTTCTAATTTTTTTTTTTTTTTGAGACAGAGTCTTGCTCTGTTGCGCAGGCTGGAGTGCAGTGGCGCTATCTTGGCTCACTGCATCCTCCACCTCCTGCGTTCAAACAATTCTCATGCCTCAGCCTCCTAAGAGGCTGAGATTACAGACGTGTGCTACCACACCAATTTTTTTTTTTTTTTTTTTTTTTGGTATTTTTAGTAGAGACAGGGTTTCACCATGTTGCCCAGGCTGGTCTCAAACTCCTGGCCTCAAGCAATCTGCCTTCCTCGGCCTCCCAAAGTGCTGGAATTACAGGCATAAGCCATGGTACCCAGCCAGGTTTCCTAAAATTTTTAATCTTGGGAATGAGATATGACTGATTTCCACAGTTTTGGCTATGTAATAGGGTGGAACAATAAGGATATAAGCAAATAAAGTTTTCTAAATTGAAGCTAACATCTTACAATATATTTAGGAGTAAATAATCTCTTATATTTTTGAGTCAATGAAAAATATCACTATGGCAAACCATATAATCTAGGTCTTAGAGAAGTAAATGCAACTGGAGTTCAGCAGAACTGTTGTGACCAATATTATCTACAAAAACCAAAAGCATCTTTTTTTGAAATGCAAGGAAGTAACTTATAAGCTAGGGAAATTCAGAGAATGCTAGGAAGACAATTCTGACATAGATGACCTCTTCTCTCCTATATCAGTATAATGCCCTGGATTGCAGTATATAAATATGTATGCTTCTCCTAATGGAATATATACCTAATACTATGGAGGTATATAGTGCATAAAGGATATATTTTATAAAGTGTATCTTTTATGCACTATATACACTTTGTCCTTTATAAAGGATGCACTTTATAAATAAGGTAGAAAGGACAGGTAAACAAGGGCCATTCACTAATGCAATAAAAATTCCTATCACTCATTTCAAAATTATAAAAAAATTATAGATTGAAATAGATTTCTCACAAATTAAAAATTTAAGTAGAAGCACTAGGTGAGACCAGCACATGGAAAAGTGAATTCATATTTTCATTGCTTTTATCTGTGCTTTTGGTTTCAATTTTAACGTGGTTAGAGAAATTTAGAGGTGGCACAAAAGACATGCAGCATCATCGTTTACCCTGAGTGATTGCCTTGTGACAGGAATGCATGAAGCCAGCACTTCATGGGAGCGATAAGGCATCTGTAGAGAGCAGGGAAATACACAGTAAAATAAATCCTACTCCCCCTTTTCTCAATAAAAGATTATTGTTTAAAATTTACTTAACCTCAGCAACATTTGAGAAACTATATCTTAAGTGCCACATAATTTAGAGATTACAGGGTAAAACCACACGGAAAGAGGGAATAATCTGGATCTTAGATATACTGTGAGAACTGATTTAGCAATGGCAAAGTAGATATCTGTGTATCACAACACATTTTCTTAGTCATTAATTCTCAGCTACTTAAAAAGTTTTTTTTGTTTGTTTTTTTTGTTTTTTTTTGTACTTTAAGAGTTCTTGCCAAGTTTTTATGCTTCGAAAGTGTATAATCATGAGATGGGTTCCACTATAGAGGTTATTTTTCTTTCTTTTCACCTAGACTATATAGTCTTGTTTAAATGTTTTTATTTTTCACTGTGATTAAAAGTATCCTTGCAAAATCAAATAGCATTATAACCTTTTTTTTTTTTTAATTAAGAGTTGACTGTCAATTCCTGCCTTTCAAAATGTTCTAACATGTCTAACCAAAATCTAATTCTTTGCTGTAAACATCTGGCCGTAAGTTCTTGAATAGCCTCTGTATGTCTCTATTCTTCTGGAGAGAAAACATGTCCATGGATATGTGTGTATGTTTCATGGTAGAGACAGAGAAGGAACATCTACAATGAATTTCTATATCCCTAAGAGCAACACTCTCTAGAGAAGAGAATTCTCCCATGGAATATTATTTCAGTTTATTTATTTCCAATACAAAGAATCTTTTCTGCAGAGCATAGTGTTTCTAATAGGCTATTTCTGGGGATGAATCTAAAAGAAACCAGTTGGCACATTTAAAAAAAAAATCCTAGAAGTAATTTTCGAAAGGTATGGAAAATTTTTATTGATTTCCACCTATTCATCAGGTTATCTTGGTCTCTTCCTCATTTAGCCCACTCCATCCAACTTACCCCTTTTGTCTAAAACAAATGTACTTTCAAAAGCAAATTCTCATGCAAGTTTGGTAAAATGTTATAAGAGGGTGGGAGCAGCAGAGTTTATTATTTTCCTGATATTCTCTAAGCTTTAAGGCCAGATTTTCATTAGGACTACTTTGGGTGTATTTTAGGTCCTCAGTGTTGGAGTGTATGCTAAGTGTAATTACGTGGTTAATGCCTTACTACTTCAGGATTTTAAGAGTCTGCAGCTTAAAGGAAGTTCATGACAAAAATAAGAAAATCTGGAAGTAAAAGTATATCTCCTATTTTATAAACCAACCTCCTAGTAAATGCCAAAAGTTCCTCTCCTCCAAAGAGAACTTGGTGACATGATGTAGTTCAAGAGATACAATTTGCAGGGTATGGCAAAAGTGGATGTGCTACTGGTTGGTAGAAAGCCTCTGTGCTATCAGAATTATTTCAGAAGCCAAAGTGAATGCCTCATCTTCCCATTTCTTAATGACCACAACTGGGTCTGGGTGACTCACACCCAGAACTAAAACACAATGGTCACAGAAAACAATGGATCAACAGCGGATGATGTAAGACAGTCATCAAAGTACTACCATGACTGACTAATTCAGTTGTAGACAAATCAATAGCTTCGGCTCTGAACCAGTCTCACCTACCAAAAACTTTGTGTTTATTTCCATTGACACTGGAACCAGGACACACTGAATTGGTTTAGAAAACTACAAATAGGTCCTTTGAACCCTGAGCCTACCAGAGAGGGCCAAATACTTGGGAGAATTCATAAAAATAATCTCAAACTCCTGCCTTCTTTCACCAACCCTGTACTAGTCCTTACTCATCAAGAGTAGAATTTGGCCTAATTAGAAAAGCCCCAGCACAAAGCTAGCTAAGTGGAAGTCTGATTTAATACTCTCTACTCTCAGTAGGACACTGAAATTGTCTTCTAATCAAGGTTCCCATCCCACATGTAATTTTAAACATTAAATACCTGCTTTCTTTGAAAGCAATGACCATCCTTGCTAGACTTGGTTCAGATCTCTTCCAACACCGTGAATAAAAAAGGGAAGTCCTCTTGAGGACTGTTTTGTTTCTCAACTTCCTCCTTGCCCCCAAAGCTCCTGCTAATGGAATTAAGTCTTCACTCTGCAGCACTTCCACATTTACCACCAATAAGAGACTGATCTGTCAAGGCGAGGGCTGGCAAACACGAATGTCATGAATTATGGGTCTGGTTAAAAAAAAAAAAAATACACCCGATGATGGACTACATTTCCCATTTTCAATTGCAAAAGAAAATGTGAAATCTGAACAAGATGCAAAGAAAACAAAAGACAACCTTTCACAGGAACAGCCTCTCAACATTTCCTCATCTTTGTGATAAAGCAATAAACATGGGTGTATTGTACTCACTATACAGTGCAAACCTGAAAGGGAATGTTATCTCTTGAGATGGCACAAAGATACTCTAAGAATGAACAAGAAGTCTTACCCCTAATGAGGATTAGTTGAGAGGTGTGAATCAACAGCACAAGATTAGGAATGTTTGACGTGGTTTATCTGAGTGTTAAAGGTGCAGTCCCCTTTTCTGAAGCTTTAAACCAGTAGCCAAGACATTATATTATTTGCATCATAAGACTTCTCTTACTTACCAAGAAATGTTTGTGTCTGACATTTCATGCAAGCTTTGGAGTCACCTTTGTGCTAGAACAGACATTCTTTATATAAGTGTTGCTGAAACAAGCTACTATAGAAGTCTGCCCAATAGCATGCATCAAAGAGAAGGAATTATAGTATATAAATTGTATCCACATTACTACTATTTTATAACATCATTGTCTGTTTTCTTACCATCCATGGTATTAGTTAAAAGACCTGTCTTGATTTAATAAGGGGCTTCTTGATGATGGGCCTCTGAAAAACAATTCTTAATAAATATCAGTGTGGGAGGGATTAATTAGATGGGATAAATTTAACATTTGGCATACCAAACTTTTTAGACATCCATGGGAAACGCCCCATAAAGAATTCTATAAATTTTTTTAAAGTAAGCTTTTCAGGCTTACTTGATTGAGATTGAGCTCTGAAGCTGAAAATGAAGGAGGGTTTGCTACACCTTTGACTTCCAGGCTCATATGTTCATGAACAACAAAGGGCAAGGAATGGAAATAGATATTAAGACGGGGCGAGAAGAGACAGAGAAGACAGAGAGACAGAGGAGACAGGGAACAGCTAGTTTCCCAGCACAGACACCAATAGACAGGTAGCATTGACACTGTACCTAGAGAGGCTGCCCTCGGCGGCCAGGCCCTGGGAGTCATCGAGGACATTAGGTTCACTGCAGGAGGGGTAGGGAGATGAAGCATTTAGGGAAAGAAAATGAAAAAAAAAGAAAAAAGAAAAAAGGCATGCAATTTTCTGCTTCCAAGAACCAAAAATAAATAGATTTAACAGAACAAGGAAGGAAAAGGAGACAGTCAACCATTTCACCTTGTGCTGGGTTTGTCAAGACATAGGACTCAAGGCAATGGGGGAGGAAGGGCTTTGGATGGATACAACTCTCAGAGGAGTAACCTATTTATTGGTCAAGAGTTAAAATCAACTCCAAATGGGCCCATAGGCTCTGAAACACATTGCAGAATGAATCTGTAGAAGATGAAACTATCACTTCCTTTGGTAACCATTTGACTAGGTGGTGATTATTTTTAACCTGTCTTATGTACATGGCGTTTCATTGACCAGGACCCTGCTTCTTTCTTGTGCATTCTAACGTTAGCACACAGAAACCACTTACCATGAACTGCCACAACCAAGCTCTTGGAACTGATGCCATTAAGAAAAGCAAAGAAAGAACACAACTTTCCCTGCTAATTTTGCAGTGAAAATGCAAGTAAACAAACGAAAGGAAGATATCTTGGAAAATTCACATGGAACTCGCATTTACCTCCTTACTCTCCATCCTCTAGTGACTGAATTGTAAATGCCAAAAGAAGAAACCTGTCAGGTTGGTGAGAGAATAATTAAATTGTTTATCGATTGATATGTATGTAGCTGAACTGAGATTTGTGAACAGAAACTGTCATGCTTTATCTGTCCTTCCTTCAGCGCCTTGCATTGAGCTAAGCATCTGGGAGGCACTCAATAAATACTTGTTAAGTTGGAGAGAAGTAAACCATTTAGAAAACTGGAGTGCCTGGCCCCAAAGAATTGAGGCTCACCTAAAAGTACACCATAAAAACAGCCTCTGTCCCTAGGAAGAGACTCACTTCTCTTATGTACAGATACAGTATTATTACCTTCGCTAGTCTTCCAAAATATGAATGAAACCCAAACTATTTAACTACATTATTTTTTCTTGATTTCTAGAAAACAAGAAAATGTACAATCAAGATATGTATGATAGGACAAATTTTCTCCCTGCAATCAACTTGACCCCTTAATGAATATGTAAAAAGGAAATTGATGGCCTGGTTATTTTAGGTAAATAACAACAAAAAACCTCTATGAAATTTCTACAATTCTATAATTTAAATAAAACTTTCAAATAATTGATTTTTAAAAATATTCTTCATAGAACCATGCACATTGCTAGCAATTAAAAATACACTGATAGCTACCAATGTTAGCTGCTTGTGTGGCTTTATATCTTTTTTTGGACATGTTATTGTTTGGCTTTGATTTTGTTCACACTTTTTGTTTATAAGACTTCCTTTTCAAAGGAAAATTACCAAATAGTAGGTAAAACAATTTCTTACAATGATACAAACCTTTATATAGTATTAATCTTTGTAATAATTAAATGGTACTTACATAAAACATTGCCTTCTTAAAAAGTACACAACTTGCTTATTAATGATTTATCATTTTACCCTATTCTTTGATATTCTCCAAACTTGGGCTTTATTTCACAAATTTTATTTCATCTGTGTAGTCCATGAACCATTTGCTAAAGGATTTGGGTACAGGATAATTATTCCTACATATAAACTGGTTTTATGTGAACATCACAATATGCCCTGAATTTTATTATTTTCCATGTGTGAATTGTACTACAATGAATCTATAGGTATTAAAAATAAGCAACACACTAAAATCACATAAGGTCAATTCCTTGAAAAACTCAGTCCTGAAGTGAAAATATCATTGGTTCCAAAACATTTATCTACTTAAGATAAATGTTTTGACTCACGTCAGATCGTTTTCATTATACTTTTATTGTATATACATATCTTGGATTTTTTTTTACTTACATTCTTAAAAGACAGGACACACAAATACAATATTTAAAGGGGTTTTGTCATGGAATCACAGAACTATAGATGGAGAAGTTACCTTAAAGGTCATTTTAGCAAACCTCTTCATTTTATGAAGGGAAGAACTGGATTACAGTTAAATGGCCTGCCCGAGGTCACACGCAGCGGCACAGATCCTTTTCTGCTTGGTTAAGCGTCACTACCTACAACTGAATCCTAATAATATATCAGAAGCCTAAACTTTACCAAATACGTAAAGATGGTCCTAACTCTTGCCAAGTACCCATCATTAGCTTAGCTAATGATAAATCTGAAATACAAGAATGTCATTTGACAACAGAAAGAAAACCATGTGTCTATGGAAAATGTTTAAGGAGAGACAATACTTGGATGAGAAACTGGGATCCCTTCTACTAGCTTGGCTTAGAAAACTGCAAAGTGTTGCCTGCAGGAACCTAGCTGACAAATCCTTTGTGGCATGATCTATCTAAAAGCATTACCATTGCTTGCTTCTCTTTTGGTCTTTGTAGAATAACAGGAGTGTATTTTCAGAATTTATAACTTTGCCCCCAAATGCAGAGTATAATATAACCATAGCTCTTTACCTCTGGCTGGGTAGCATGCCCACCTCAGCCTGAGGTGCAGACATGCTGGAGACGTGGCTGGAGAATCGCCTCCTTCCAATGGCACTCAGGAGGTAAGCTTCTTGTTCACTTACCACGCTGGGCATGCTTATAGAGTCATCTAAAAGGGGCAAAGGAATAGAGTGTTAAAAAACTATGACACTGATCAGAAAAACCCAACCAAAGCTGTACTTGGGTTCTGTCCTTGGCTTGTATAAAACTTACGGCTGTCTGTAAAGCTAAATTATCATTGATCCCTTCATGCAGATAAAAACAACTTAGACTTTTGGGGGTAATGATAATTCTTCACATCTATACATCTCCCACCCTTCTCCACTAGAACATCCTTCATGAAATAAATGTAAATTTTTACAAGTAGGCTATTTGTGAAAGTCAACAGGCATCAGCAAATTTAAGATTTGAGAAAAGCTAGCACATAATTTTTTAAAAACATTCCATAAATACTTCAGGGGACTTTGTTACTGAATGAGTCAAATACATTTCCTTGGCATTCAAAAAACTGCTTTCAGTACAGTTAATAATTTCTAGACTGCTGAGGGAAAGACAATTTCAGACATTTTTAGGAAAAATATTTGAAAGCTATAAAGTTAAGAAATAAATGCTTATTTTAACCAAAATTTTAAAATTTAAGTATGTGATCTTGTTTTCTCCATAGAAGCAGATGTTTTTTTTTTTTTTTTGGTTTTGGTTTGTTTTTTGTTTTTGAGACAGAGGCTCGCTCTGTTGCCCAGGCTGGAGGGCACTGGCTCTATCTTGGCTCACTGCAACCTCTGCTTCCCAGGTTCAAGTGGTTCCCATGCCTCAGCCTCCAGAGTAGCTGGGACTAGTGGCGCATAACACCACGCTTGGCTAGTTTTTGTATTTTTAGTAGAGATGGGGTTTCATCATGTTGGCCAGGCTAGTCTCGAACTCCTGACCTCAGGTGATCCACCCGCCTCAGTCTCCCAAAGTGCTGGGATTACATGTGTGAGCCACTGTGCCCAGCCAGAAGCAGAAATTAATGTACTCAAATTCATACGAAAATTAGCTTTAGCACAGTATTTATGACAAAGTGACCTAATTCTAAAAGAGCTAATGTTGTTTGTTGATGAACACTAACGTTCTTTGATAAACATACTGAGTTTTGGAGAATGTGTGCTACCATATAAGATCATCTGATACTATTTATTTAAAATACCAAAGTAATCATATTTCTAATTGAACTTATTTCAAATCAAAACGTGAATATAAAAAGTGCTAGCAATTTTAATTTGCTATATAATCACTGACTGACCATTGATTCTTGTTATGGAATGATATTTTTTTTTACATGTGTCCATAGGAAGGAGAATAAACAAATGTGCCTTAAAAATATAAAAAAAAAAAACACGTGGTAGGATAGATTGAGCTATTTCTACAAAGGCCTTTCCCAAATCCTATTGATTATTCCCCCTTATTTGTACTCACATATCACGTAACACTTATGTCCCCAGTATTTGTTTGGTGATTAATCATGTGCTGTCTTCCACTAACTCTTTTGTTAAGTGTTCTTTATTGTAAGTGTCTCTCATCTCCTCTACATAACTATATCTATTATAAGGTCTTAGAAAGCAGAGAACGTATCTTTCTCATACTTCCTTCTTCCTTATCTTATACCTGATAGGCCTTAATACAAGTCTGATTATTGAATGTAAGGAAGTTTAATTCAAAACAATGAACTGCTTTTCATAGTTCTCCTTGTTTAAATTAATACACACCCATATCACAAACACACAATACCATTTGTTAGTAATCTTGCTTTCATTGGGATCGTTGTGATGTCTGTGATCAGAGATATAAGCAAAAAATTGCATGGCTCCCCAATCCGCCTGCTGCCTCATCAGTATGTTAGTGTTGGCTTTTGGCCAGTGATATCCCTGTTTAAGTCTTACTTACTTTTCTTCCCTAGCTCCTTCCTATGGCTTAGGTAATCCATTATTTATAAGGTTACCTGCAAAATATATTTAGCTCTACAAAAATAGGTGATATCATTTCCTATAATTAATAAGAATTGCTGGGAGAGGCTACTTCAAGCATTAAATAAAAAATTGATTTTCTTTAAGTTTTACCCATACTTAATGGATATTTAAACTGCTGATCCTTTTCTCTTTCATGGTGTTTTCTCAGTCAAGATTTCCCTAATTACAACTTTAGCTGTATTTTCATGAGCAGTCACCAGGGTGATTTAGACACAAATGTGTCTATAGGTCAGCCGCAGGACAATATGATTTTTCCTTTGATCGATGCTGAAGCTAAATCTGCAAATATTACTGGTAAGTACTGACAAAGCATTTATTTTTTCTCTTCTCTTACATTCCCAACTGTCGTAGCACATTAAAACACTTTCATTCATCTTAGTTAATTAAAATTCTAACCTCAACTCTCATTTCTTCTATTTAATTTAGTTCAGAGTACAGCATTTTGTTGTTGTTTGGTATGGAGAGCCTCTGAGTGAAGATCTAAACTTTGTTCTCATTCATATGGCATTGACAACACAACTTAGCTACAAACGCTATAACATACAAGTGGAAAATAATTTATGCAATTTTAAGACTCCTGAAATGACAGTAGCATTTAATGGAATCTTTCACCCTAATTTTACTTTTTATAACCTCCTGTGAAGCATATATATGTAGTATTTCTCCTCATGTCATCACACCAAATCTCTAGCACATACCTTAGAAGCTTCTGGGCTGACCTAGTCACTGGGGATTCTCTTAACTCAAATTTGGAGTACTTTCCCTCAAGACAGCCTGCTGGTTTACATACTGGCTGGCAGAGCCAACTGGTCTTTTCTGAGTCCTAGGTATATACACGGCTCACTTTTCCTTGCCTAATGAGGCCATTTAGGTGTCGATCAACCCTCTAAGCAAGATGTCCAGGAAAAATGAGAGTAAGTGCTTTCCTTGGTTAGTTATCCACAATTTAAATGGGAGTTAGTGGAAAAAGTTGACTATACAGGTTTAAAGAAAATTTAGGAGTCACTAACGATTTGCTTTTTTCCTGAACTCTTTTTAAATGACCAAAGGATATCAAGAAATGTATAGAAAAGCAGGCATCAGGAGTCATGGAATCAGTCATATTTTCCCTAGAACTCCTTCCGTAAAAATGACTAGGGGATCAGAAGTGGAAAAGGTCAGAGGGCAGTAATCCTTCCCAAGCCCCTGCTCCTATGGCCAAGCCGTGTCTTCCACCCACATTCTTTGGAATGACCTACTTTCCTCATCTTCCTCATCAGTCCGACTCAGGGTGTCCTGCGAAGCTTGCTGGGATGGCTCACTATCTTGCTCCCAGACAGTGCCCGTGCCTGTGTTAGAGCGGGACATGGTGGCCAAGCTCAGGCGGTAAGCAGAGGTGGAGGTGCCCACGGTACTGATGGATGTCTTGCCTTGGTAGGCTAGAGGATTCGAGAGACCAAAGGAAATGCATGGTGAGAATCTTAAATGTCTGCTTCAAAGTCCTCCCTGATCACTTGTAATTTTTAGGAAAGGTTCGTTAAATAATGTGTCTTTATAACGAAGTTGCAAATGAAAGTGGGGATTTTTTATTTTAAAGAATCAATATTGGCCACTGATATAATTAAGTAGTTCCCTTGCCAGAACATAACATCTGTAACAATATTAAATGCTTTGACATTGTTGCCTTTCTTATTGGTTTTCTATTTTATTTTCCAAGGTTGGTAGGATGTAAATTAACTTTGACCTGAATTGTAACTTCCAACTTGGCAATTTTTACCAAGAAATATATCTTATCTGACACAAACATATCAAAGTAATAAATAAGTTGTCTGATGTGAACCCCACAATCAGAATGCATAATCAAAACTGTTTTCATTCTCATTTTCTGGAAATTACAACCTATAAAATACCCCTCATTTCTATGTCAGGTTATTTTATTACAAAGTAGAATATTTAAATGATAATGTTTAAACTTCACCAGGATTATACTTATCAATTTTTTGTTTTTACCACATTGTCTGCAAAGAACAATAAAAGCTTTCAAAAGAAAGGAAATAACCCTTCCCTCCCACAAAAAAGAAGACCTATCACATATTACATTTTACTTGTGGATAATGACTGCCCTCTAATGGCAAATAATGTTTTATTTTCCTTCCTCAGTAATCTAAGGATATAAGAAAGAAAGCAATGTACTCTCAAAGAATACCTGTAGAATAATGTAAAATAATGTAAAGAAAGTACTTCCTAGTTTGCCAGCTCTAAGGGAATCCTTCCCCTTCTGATGTGTGAAAAGTTAAAGGCTTTATAAATCAATCATACAGATCTGTTGAAAAATCCCCTTACAATAATCATTTTCTATGCGATAGTAGTAAGTTATGTACTTGTAAGTTATTTACCTATTTTCTACTGTGTCTGTTTCCTCATTCTTTACAGGGACTTTCAATTATACACCTTGAAGGTATTTGTATAGCTTAAAGGAAATAATCTGCCATTAAATAGAAGTTCAATAAATGAATGTCCCCCTTCTCTTTTTCAAAAAGGAAATAAAGATAATAATTTAAACCATTTTTTCTCCAATTAAATATTCAAGAAAGAGATTAACTACTAAAGTGAAGATTAAAAAATATATAGAAAAGGAAGAAAACTAAATTCTTATGATATCCTTTTAATTTCTATTTCGTTACTGACAAAAGAGGAAGTCAAATCTAGTAGTGGTCAAATGGCTAACTTAGTAGAAATCATCAAATCTAGTAGTGTACCAAAATGGCTAACGTATTCATAGTTCCAAAAAGTGTGGTGACCTGGATGGAGGGATTCTTTGTAGGCTGTGAGTTCCATTAGTCAAAACAAATTCACAATACTCTCAGGCACACTCACCCGATCCACTATGAACTGCCTCTTTTAGAATTTTTAGTTCACTGTTGAACTCAGCAATGAGCGAGCTCTTACACAAAGGGCGTGGTATGAAGCGCCGCTCCAGCTGGTCGGCAATATGCTGCCGGGCAGAAAGCTCTTCATGATTCTCTGCTGGTTGGGCCAGCAGCTGAAAGGAAGGCATAACATTCTCAGGGTCTCAATTTTCCATCAGTAAAATGGGCTAATTGCTGTACCCATTGTTGCGAGGAATAAATAAGGTAAAGCATGTGATGTTCCTAGAATGGCACTTTACACAGGAAGTGCTTAATAATTACATTGTTTTAAATCACTACCGTAAGAAATTGGGGCATGAAAAGAACAAACATAGATGGGTACTGGGGGTCTTGGAGGAAAAACATACGTTAAGTATCCTATCTGTTTATTTAAAATCAGATCTCAGTCATGCCACTGAAGATAGAAGATTCTCCAAACTATTCCACTGTACCAATCTTTTGGGTGGGTAGAGTGGGGGATGACTAGTAGGGAGTGGGCAAAGTTTTACAGACTCCAATAAAGCTCTTACTGTGAAGGCATTTCTAGTGTGAAATTTTATCCTCTGGAATATATTTTTTGGTGGTTTTCTCATCAAGCATAGTATTAACAGGCCCTACTAACTGGCAACAGTAGGTACCATGAGCACTCCTGCCATATTCCTGCCTCAGTAGAGAGCCACACATTTATTCGAGCTTGCCACTTTCAGGAGGAGAAGCACACACCACACCTTGCACTGGATGAAAGGGCGCAAAAGCACAAAGATGGGTATTCGGGTCCGCACGATGAAGTCGAGGAAGTCCCAAAGGGCCAGGCCTCCCACCTTCCGCAGAGCCATTTCCTTCACCTGGAGGCTCAGCCAGTACCACTGGCTTCCGAGCTGCCTCTCAAAGCAGACGAGAATCACCTTCAGCGCTTCACACCGGGAAAAGAGAAAAGTGAGCCTGCGGACCTGTGCTTCAGAGGAACCCAACCGACATCCAGAGCCCTTTTTGCACCTTTAGAAATTTTCTAAATTTCTAAACTCTCCCCATGTTTCTAAAAACTTCATATGTATTCCCAAGCAAGAGTATTCTGAACATCGAGACAAAAACGTGTATGTTAAGTGTTTTGATTCTGATGAAGAGTACCCAAGTATCTTTCTTAAGTGCATCTTAAGAACTACTATTTTGGAAAATATAAAGCAATGTGGTCGACTGAATTGAAAGGAAAATATTTTATAAACATGATGTGTGGCTAACGCTTTACCTTCCAAAAGTTTTGTCATAATAACTTCATGGTGATATGGACATATCACTCACATTCTTAGCTAAAACATGGATCTTAAAAATCTTTTCCTTTTTTCTTTTAACCATAAAAATAAATATTTGTGTTACTAAAAGAAAATAAAACCATGAAGAAGTGCACAAAGTTAAAAAAATTAAGTCCTTTTCCTTCCCAGTTCCCTTCCTGACCCCACACTAAACTGCTCCCCAGAGGTAACCAGTAAATGCGTTCAGTGTATCTTTCCAAAAATAAAAAACAGCTCCTTCCTTCATCACACACTACATCTATTACTAAACCCTGCTAGATTTATTTTTCCGTATCTCCTTCCTCTCAGATTCTGGCAGCCCTTCACAATCTACATTTATTTTTATTTTTCAGGAAGCAGATTTCCCAAACCATGTCAGGACAAACCAGAATATTGTGAAGATGTCAAAGATGATGACAGGAGCTCTCTCTGCCACTACAGCTTTTACCGTGGAGTCTGCCACGGGACAGTCAAGTGACCTGAGCCTTCTGGACTGTTCTTAACGCCCATCAATCTCAGCACCTAAACAATGTGTATACTAAACACATTTTGATTCTAATTAGGAAAACACAAAAATCTTTCTTAAGGGCATTGAGTGACTAAATGCACAAAGAAATCCAATTCTCTAAAATCCTCAAGAGTCATATATGCCTTTACCATCCTTAGGATGTTTCCAGGAAAGAACCATGCCATGTAACACAGAGAGAGAGATTGCAAGATTCTTTCTTACCCATATTCCTCCTCAAAATCTCACTTTTCACAGCAAATGCTCATCTCAATTCCTTTCCCTCAACTAAACAAACAAACAAACAAAAAACAACACTCCTCTTTCTCTACCCTAATTCTGATGAAGTTTTCACCGTTACTAAGCCTGTTGGCTCTCTGCCACTCTACTTTCCACCTAAACTTCCATCAGCCCAACACACAGCAGTGTATAAAAGGGGCTCAAGAACAGAGACTCATTCTAGCTTTGTCACTTATTAAGATATATGCCTTCAGGCAAGTTATTCAACCTTTCTGGGCCCCAGGCTCTTCACTCCTAAAATGCGAATAACACTAACTTCTTAGAGTTATTGAGAGGATGAGAGGATTCTATGTGGTAATAGTGTAAAGCACAGAAAACTGCTTGGTGCACAGTAAGTGCTCGAAATAAATGTAAAAATAAACTTAAAATACAGGTTCAGTAGCCTGGCCACGTAACAAAGTAAAAACAACTCTTCACTGAAAAGGCAGACAGTGGAGAGGATGGCAACTCATCAAGTGTCTTCTCATATCCTTCCTGTACATGGTAAACTTCTTTTCTCCGTCATCCTCTGTGCAATCCTAAACTTCATGTAGGGCTCTATGATAGAGCCTAGATTTGAATTCTACTTTGAATACCTTGGCCAACTGAGCATCCATATGGTTTGGTCCTGGGTACATGCATTCCTTGTGTCTTTTTCTTCTTTTTAATTTTCACTGTCAATCCCCTCATTTTCAAACACATCCCATTATAATGCAGTTCAAACATCCCCCATACTCCAAACTCCAAGGACTCATTTTCATCAGTGTGTTTGTGTTCATCTTATACTTCCCACCAATATCTGCTTTGGTGAATTGAAAAATGTCAGGCAATACTTTCTCATTTTTGAAATTCCCCACTGCCAGTGCCCCTTATTCTCAGCGCTATGGCAAGAGTAGTCTTTTCCTGCTGGCCCAGTTCATTCAGGGCTAAACAGTGGCTTTCCATTGCTCCATGGGTCAGGACCAGGTTAAAGGCAGCACGGGATAATGAAAGTAGGAGTCAAAGAGGGAAAGGGATTGGGAAGCCTATGGGAGCAGGACTGGATTGGCCTCACTAGAGTAATGATCAAGGTGGAGATTAAAGACATTTTAAGGGAGGAAAAATAGCTAGTAGGGGGCATAACATATTGCAAGGTCACCAAATCTTGCTGCACAGGATGTAGACTACCCAACTCCAGAACCCCATTTATATAGGTGACAGACCAATGAGCCCCACGTGTTGTGCAATGTTGTGTCTTTGTATACTAGACTGAGTTTAGATCTCATAGCAGCTACTGAATCTCACTAGTGAACTTGTACTTAATCAGCATGGAAGAATCTTTACTGCAGATGCCTTCCTTACAAACCCAGACACTCTTACATAAAACAGCCAAGTAATTTAGGCATGGCAGATGTGAAACCATGTTGTTTTTTGGCATATGTTTACTGAAGGAAACCAGACTCTTTTGCAACGGTAATGTTTCTTGTTCAAGTGGCTTCTTTAAATACATTCTGGATTGAGGTTTCTTTAAATATATTCTGGTTTAAGGTCTCTCCAAATTCTTTCTGAGTTAAGTTGGAACTTAACTAATTACATCTAATTATTTATCTATCTAGCTATCTACACATATGTTTTCACATATATATACATACACATGCACAAACAGAGAGATAAAGAAAGTACCAACCCAAGTATGCTGCTTGGCTGGTGGACTCAGCCAGCCCTTCCCTGCGCAAGTCTTTCCCTGCATCCCCAGGGGTGGAGCAGTGGGCTGGGGAGCTCTCTAACATGAAGTTCTTGCTCCTAGATGTGCTGATGATCCGCGGTGGCAGGAGCACATTGATGACCGTCTGCAGCAGCAGCTGCACCTCAGGCTGCTCCAGCCAGGGACTATCTAAGGGGCAGAATTTGGAAGAGGGAAGTGGAAAGAAAAACATCACAAGGTAGACTGTCCACATTAGATACAGAAAAACTCAGCTCTTTCCAAGTCCAAACTACAACACCCTAGAAATTCAGGTGTTTCCCATCAAGTACAGCTTTACCAATGGACAGAGACAGTGTTCCTGGCACCTGAGTATTTTCTCCATAGTGGGTACCCAAAACCTTGTGGTCTTAGCCAAATGTCTCGCTTACCATTTCAATCTCCTTTCTTTTTGCAAATACTCATGATGCACTGTACTTACATTTGAGATAAACTTTTTTTAAAAGAATCCCTCTACCCCTAAGAAGAAAGAGTAATGAAAATACATTGTAATTTAATGATAGTGGCAGGATTTCTGCTAAACCCAGTGTCTGTAGGTTGTACAAGTTTGTTCACCTGTCAATTCTTATATTGTACTTCAATGAATACCATTTTCTCAACTGAATTGAAACACTGTTCCCTGATTTTTGCTGTACTGAAATGTCTTTAAATAGGATGTATCTTCTAAGAAGTAGAGCAGAGAAACTCTGGTCCCAGGTAGCTAAACTGAAAAGAAAGAAAAACTCTTATTCCCTAAGATGACCCTATTTAAATCATTCAGATTGACTTCAGTGATAGCCTTCATGGGAACAGGAAAAAGAAATAGCAGCCTGACATTTAAGAAAACACAACGACAATGATAAATTTCCTTTAGTTAAATTAATCAGACCTTTGCTTCCAGATCCTACTGTGAGCACAAATGGGATGAGCAGATTTAAAAGCATCCCCTCCCTTCGCTCTTGATTGGTGAATGGGGAGATCACATGGCTTAAAGGAAAATCTTCTTTTAAAGCCTGTGCAGCAATAATAGAAAAAAAGATTAATTGACCACCACACCCATTTAGTATGTTTGTTTTTACACAGTATGATGGAGACGGTGACTCCCTGCTGGCTGCTCCTGTAAACTATGAGTTCAATTGTCATCTGTAGAGCATACAAGCTTCACCCAAAACTGATACTTTACCATTGTCTTGATATAATTGAGAGCTATATACCTAAAAAGATAGTAACATCTTGAATATTAAATGAAAAATAAAAATACTTATGGTCAGGTACAAAAACAACTTCATGTCCCCATTAATTTTCTCTATTTTTCCACCAATAAATATTTTAACAACAAAGGAGAAGGAAGAAAATCAGAACTTCTCACTTGCTCCATTTGGGAGTTATTCCTCTGGCACCTGCCATGAAAGGCCTTCTTCAAGCCAGGAAACAATATGCAATATAGAAAGAAATATGTGATCTTTGTACATAAGTTATTAACGTGTATCACTTTAGGGATGTCACTCTTCTGCACAGTAGCCATAGCTCTTACTTGATCTCTTTTCTATCATCTACCCATTCTCTGGATGATGAGCCATCAAGTTTGGTTGTCAAACAATGGATGGGTCAGTTATCCACTTACATCAGTTGTGTACTTTCCATTGATTAAAGAGCTTTCCAGTGATTTTTCATTGTGTAAAACTGGTTGACACACAGAAATACTCAGGAGACTTGGGATTCTGCAGTTGTTTTTTTTTTGTTTGTTTGTTTTTGGCCTTGGGAATGATTACTTTAATTTTAAGAAATAAATTAAGGGGGAGAATTTCCTTTAAAAAAGCACACATAATATTCAACCCACAATCATTAAAGAAAATTAAGATATTCAAAGTCTAGTGATAACATCTGAAAGAATTTTATATTGCAATTCTTTCTGAAAATAATTTAAAACCAGACTGTGAATATTACTGCCTCTTTTAATTAACAATTGTGAGCTGATTATCTGTGAACCATTATTTTGCACACATTTTAAATGACTGAAGTGGTTCCTGAAGTTGTGGCAGGACTAAATGACTCTGCTATATTTGAGATCTCAAGAAGAATTACAGAAGCACAACTTAGGGCCAAGCTCAGGGCTGAAGCTCCAAATCTATAAAAGTTTGGAGATGTTTACACTTTTGTTTCACAGATTTTGCCCAGCCTTTGCAGAAAAAACGAGAACACCATGATCTGGTGCCTCAACCAGCAACTTAATGAGCGTGACAAACAGGTAAGGCAGTCACACCTGTATCTGCAACGCTACAAGCCGGACAACAGCTGTGCTGAAGGGTAGAGGTGGTGAGAGATAAGGGCTGAGATGAAGAAGGGGTAATCCGTCAGCAACACTGGAAGGTCCTACCACTCCCATGACCTGAAATACAAACAGAGCACATGACCAGCCTTGACTATTGCAACTTCATGCAACCGTAGTAAGGGAGTCTCAATGATGATGATAATAAAAATAATAAATTGAAGGTTGGGCATGTTACTTTCAATCATTTCTTTCTTGATGCCTTCTGAAGGCATGTAATGTCTGGAGTCAGATCGAACATTACACTGAATTCAGCCAAGGTTTTGTAGAATGTTGTTTATAGTTAACTATGTAAATAATGAGAGATGAATCAAAAAGCTATTCTAATCAGGAAATTGGACACTTACTTGTGAATTCAAAGGAATGCAGTCAACATTCCTTGATGGAGCAAATACTGACAACAATGATGATGGCAACAGCTCTATTTGCACTAGGCATTCCAACTACAGATTTATTGCTCAGCTAGTGAAGCAGCAGGTCCTATTTAATGAGATGCTCTAACATGGTTTCTATACATTTTACAAAACCTTGTCAGGACCAGACTCTAGATATTACATAAACAATTAAAAATATTTTTTTCTTCACATAAATCCTAGACTGGCCAACTCATAGTGTCATTTTGCACCATAAAAGAAAAAAATCGTCTTTGCATTTTAAGTTCCCCCACCCAGACTACCTCAACTTCTAGCCAATTGTGCAGGCTCCGCCACCCCACTCTCCAACTGGCAGCCCTCAACTCTCAGCGCAACTTGAAGAGGTGAATTGTCAAAGTAGCGCATGGGAAGCAGCACACCAAAATCCCTTCTGTGTAGGGATGGGTTCCTGGATCTCCCCACACACCACCTTGAAATGTACCTCACTATTTTCAGTGTCACCTGAGCCGTCTGTTTTCATGGGCAGATAGGGGCACAAAGTGGTTGACCTGTAAATCTTCAATTCAGAGAAGTCAATAGCAGAGTTACATTGTGCAAAGTTTCGTAAGATTGCCACTTGGCTACTCACCAGATTGACACAGACATTGATCAGTGACCTAAGGTGAGGCAGGAAGGATATGATTGGCTGCCTCTGAAGTGTCAAACAAACCCCTTCAATCAAATTGCTGGCAGGCTCCCACTCAACCTGTCGCCTGGAATACAATATAGGCGCCATTAGCGGCTTGGCTCCCTTCTGGAGAGTCTGAAACAAGTGAATGAGACAGTGATTCTGACGCCATCTAAGACAGGATGTGTCTCTGGGATGAAGTTTACCCATATTGTTCCAAAAGCACAGAGCACACTGGGAGGGGAAGAAGATACTGAAAACGTAGCAGAGGCAGGCCTGCCCCATTCGACTAAATCTATTGAAGAAAAAACAAAGATGATGAACGGGTTGCATTTTAATTTCCCTGGTTTTAGCTTTGACAGAGGGTCCTACGACTACCATCGTAGAAAACTGATCACAGGGGTAATTACTCCCAATAGAACTAATCTGACCCCAGCTACATTTCTGAAACCTGTTTATCAGACTACACATGCCCATCAGTTTTTACACCAGACTACCACTGATTTGATTTATATAGCTTAACTCCTGCCAAGAAGATCACATTAGAAGCAAATAGTTTACTTAAACAATGTTCTTTCTTGGCCTCCCAAGAAATGATATGTATTTTTTGGCTACTTTGTATGGTAGTATAAATGGTGTTACTGTATACATAACCCAATTAAATGAATACGGAATTTTCTGTAATAAAAGTCAATCCATTTCATAATTGTCCTAGTACTGAAAGATTCATCCCTATGGCCCCAAAATAAACAACTTGGGCTTTACTGATATTAACAGTATTTCCTTATATTTTCCTGGCAATACTTTCTAAGCTTATATTTCCTAGCAAAATGGGATCTGCAACGACAAATGGAAACATATTCATAAATGAGGCTATGTGACATCTCCGTCACTGAAGGTAACGTGCAGGTCAGGTTCAGCCAACATTTCTTGTGTTGAACTGAGATCACCTAACAAATTTAAATCCAAGCCAACTCCATATTCATAGCATATCTCCCAAGAAAATTGCCTACCACTGACCAAGCCTGTGTACTAATCCAGAAATCTACTTTCGGGAAGCATGATGTTCTTTATAGTGGGCTTAATTATATGAGAAATGGGTCATTTTTAGAGATGTTTAACATCTTTAGATACCAAGTATTTAAGAAAGGAATTTATTTCGACACACCCTTGTGAGACAGTTATAAATCTTTGATAAGCCATTTGCTGATAGACACAAATGTTCTATTGGGATCACTAAAGAAATAGTGTTTTAAAACAGGCATTTCCATGCCATTGAAATAAATAACCTTGAAATAATGTATAGGCAGTCATCACCATGGTATAAAAGAATATAAAAACAAATAATCAATTATTAGAATAAAAATTTTCAATTTGTTTTAATGACTCCTGAAGGCTGGATTAGTGTGAAGGAGATGATGGACTAATATCTGAAAAATTCTGATGAATTGAACATTAAGTGCTATAAATTCTTGGGAAGGAGTTGCACTGATTTTTGGGTTTAGTTTAAAAGGACAGAAAATGTTCTCACTAGCCCAAACTTGAAATTTCTGAGTAAGTGGGTTTACCAGTATTAACCTGTTGAACTATCTGCTCACTATCACTATAGTTTCCAAACTGGGTTCACATCTCTGAGTGGTTCAAAAACATCTGCTAATATGTAGGCTACCAATGAATATTTCCCAGGTCACTGAACAAAGATCAAGCATTAATAGTGTTCATTAGCACCACACTGAATTAGGTTAAAAAGTGAAAATTAGGTGTTTGTTTTCAATCCTGCGAATTTTTAAGCTGCTGCTTGGCGATTATTGTAAAGCTTGGAATTTCTCTAAACTGGTACCTAAATATGTTAACTAGCTACGTTAAATATAGTATATTGAACATAAAATTCATTTTCTTTTCTCATTAGTTGTTCCATTTATAACGCCTACCCTCCCTTATTTTAAAAGGGATTAAAGGGTACTAATTGAAATTTTTATTTGTGTCAGATGAAGAGCGTGACAGCTAAGAAATGGATAGATTTTTCAAGATAAGCACATATACTTTTAAAGAAAATGTTAGTTTTCTCAAAATGTAGGCTTTGCCACTTAGGCATTCATAGACCCTATTAACCATGCACATATACCAGAGAAAACTTTCAAGTCATTCATTCAACTCCAGAATGATCTACCATCTTAAAAAATGAGAAATCTTAACTTTGACATTTGTGATAGCAACAGCTAACTAGGAGGCATTCTCACCTCAAAGTAGGCATCTTATGAATTTTGTTGAACATTCTATCCAATCTTTTTAAAATGAGGATGAGGGCTGGCCTCACTGCCTCAGCTGTCCAGTCGGTAATGGGTAGCATCTCCATGATGTAGCGCCGAAGCCCACGACTCTCCATTGTCTGAGTGTCATATGGTGCCAGCTTCAGAAGGGAGTGTGCAATTTCTGCCAACCTAAAATATATACATGCGTATATATGAATATATAAAATAAGCGTAGAATTACACAATGGGAATTTTTCTACACAGCATCACCCCTTCCAGACCACCTACTGCCTGAACTAAGAACATTCTTCCCAACATCCTCTATCCCTCTGCTCTCCCATATACCAGAACAGTGATACCTACACATCCATATTAATAGAGAATCATAGAATGTTTCAGAGACGACATGTAAAGAGCATCTGATAAGGAAACTACAATCCAGAGATTAAGGATAGGCCAAATATATTTAGAGAATGTCACTTCTGAGGATGTACATGTATATTATATATATGACATATATGCATATAAAAGAGAACCTAACTTTAATGAACAATAAAATCACTAATATCAAATGTCCTTGGAAATTTCATGGCTTCAGAACTCTCTCAGTACCCATAGTCAAGGTCAAAGCCACCTTATAAAAAATGCTCTTGGTTTTTGTTGCAACCCAAAGAGTTCTTCAGGGTCCATTTCCATTCCTCTCCTTTAAAGTCTCCTCCTCTCTTTTTGTCTTATACATGGATCCTTCCTCTCTGTTGAGATTCTTTATCTAATAGACCCAGTTGTACTGTCTGGATGACATTGGTTTTGGTTGTCTCTACTTCTTAGATTTCCCAACTCGGTTCCATACAGAAACTGCCAGAGGGAAAGTTGTGCTTCCCTCAGGGTTGGCCCAGGCTTGCAGTCACCAGACCCAAGTGTTGATGTTCTAAGTGTTAGATTTTCTGAAGGAGAATTGGCCAAATAGATTAATTGGGCAAATAAGGTTTCTAGTAAATGTAATAGTTAACGAAATAATCTTTAGAACTAGATATGGATTACCAATTTCCAAATAATAAACAATACAAATATAAAGATGTACATAGCCTTAAAGCCAACTTAATTTAATTTTGTATGAAGGAGAAAGTATTTAAACACTTTACGGTGGCTCCTGATAAAATATACTGAGTAGATCCAGAATGTGTACAAGATAATATTAAGAGGTAATGTATACTCATTCATAAAAGTATCTTACAACATGCTGTATGATTTGAGCTTGATTTTTTTTTCCTCAAAAAAAGCTTATATTCTAAGAAATACACCTAAGATACAGTGGCTGAAATGTTCATATTCTTTGTCAAGATACTGAAAATTCATTTGAAAACAAATATCTTTAGGAAGGGTAATACATTAAGTTACTACCACCCATTATTTGAATCTTTGGCTTCAATCAGTACATGTTGAGTTAGTCAGGCAAAGGATTCTATGGAACTGGAATGTAGGACAGAGGATTCCTGATGGAGGAGGCGAGCAGACAGGCATAATGTTACCTAGGAATGCATGTGTGGATGGCATCAGCAGGAGCAGCCATACCATACATGGAAAGTTTTCAGGATTGTTACTAAAGAGAGGAGGAGATTTGAGATAAATGGAAAAATAAGGTTTGTTTGTTCGTTTGTTTTGACAAGTTTGTACTGGAAAAGCTCTGGAAATAATCTTCCCTGAGTCATGGAATCTTAGGGTTGAAAAAGCTCATAATAGTCATAATATCCTGTAGGCAGTCAGGTTCACACTGGCACCTCTTATTTATTTTTATTTTTATTTTTTTAAAACACAACTTAAAAGGAAAATGAAAAAAATATAATTTCCCAGGACTTCCAATAATCTCATAAATAAGAACTTCTGGCTGGGCGTGGTGGCTCACGCCTGTAATCCTAGCACTTTGGGAGGCCGAGGCCAGTGGATCATGAGGTCAGGAGTTCAAGACCAGCCTGGCCAAGATGGTGAAACCCTGTCTCTACTAAAAATACAAAAATTAGCTGGGCGTGGTGGTGGGCGCTCATAATCCCAACTACTCGGGAGGCTGAGATTGCGCCACTGCGCTCTAGCCTGGGTGACAGAGCAAGACTCCATCTAAAAATAAAAAAGAACTTCTAAGGTCTGGGCCCAGAAATCTATATATTTTTAACTTTTATTTTGGAAAATCTCAAACATATAAAAAAGTAGAGAGATGAGTATATAGTAAGCCCCCAATATACCCATCACTCAACCTCAGCCTCCCAGGTAGCTGGGACTACAGGTGCACAGCCCCATGCCCTGCTAATTTTTGTAGTTTTTGTAGAGATGGGGTTTTGCTACGTTAGTCAGGCTGGTTTTGAGCTCCTGGATTCAAGCAATCTGCCTGCCTCAGCCTCCCAAAAGTGCTGGGATTACAGGTGTGAGCCACTGTACTCGGCCTACAGTGACTCTTGTTTTACTTATACCCTCAAACACTCCCCCTTTCCCCACCCTAGACTATTTTAAAGTAAATCCCAAGCATCATACCATTTACCCAGACATATTTCAGTATGTGTCTCCAAATTATGGACTGAGAAAAATTAAACACAACACAATATGACATTTAACAAATTAAAAATAATTCTTCTTTTTGAAAAATTCCAATATCCAGTCAGTTTTCAATATTCACACACTATCTCATACTTACTTTTTGTTTTTTTAAAAATTAGGAAAAAATAAGGCCCATAAATTTCAATTTGTTGATGTCTTTAAGTCTCTTTTAATATGTAGATTTCCCCCTCTTCTGTACTTTTTTGCTATCTTGACTTTTTTTTTTTTTTTGAGACGGAGTCTCGCTCTGTTGCCAGGCTGGAGTGCAATGGTGCGATCTCAGCTCACTGCAACCTCTGCCTCCCAGGTACAAGTGATTCTCCTGCCTCAGCCTCCTGAGTAGCTGGGACTACAAGTGTGTGCCACCACGCCCAGCTAATTTTTGTATTTTTAGTAGAGACGAAAGTTTAACTATATTGGCCAGGATGGTCTTGATCTCTTGACCTCGTGATCTGCCCACCTCGGCCTCCCAAAGTGCTGGGATTACAGGCGTGAACCACCACACCCGGCCTTATCTTGTTATTTATTAAAGAAATTCTCTGTAGCAACACTCTACTGATTGAATCTCCACAGTGTAATTTAATCTATCCTACTGCCTTTGTATTTAATTCAATTGGAAGTTAAATCCAGGGCCTACAACTGCAGACTCAGTTTTGATTTTTTGGCAAGAGTACTTAGCAGGTGGTGTGTGTGGTGTGTACTTCCGCCAGGAGGTACAGGATTCCTAGTTGTCACTCGTTTTACGATATTAGCTGTTCTTAGTCACTGCACAGATCCACTGACGCATTAGGAGTAGTGCAGTGGTAATATCATATAATTCTTTATCTCACATATTGTAATAAAGAGAAATTGTGATTACTCCAAGAGAACAGAAGAGTGAACAACTGTTTGAAAGGATCTAGAGGGTAAGAGCTCCTCAGCTGATTTTGATAGACATCCTGGTTTACAAATCACAGCCAAGGCCATTACCTCTCTGATAATTTAGAGTGTTCTACAATTGCTTTATGTGACTAGCTCCATGGATAGAAAATTCACTACTGTACAAGGCAACTTATTTCCTCTTTGGAGGTCCACACTGTGAGAGGTTACTTTCATGTTAGGCCTCCAAATTCCCTTTAATTTCTTCCTACTAGGCTTAATTCTGAAAGCATAAATCCAATCCATCTTCTCCATCATGACCCTTCATTATCAAGAAATAGTTATTGTCTCCTAATTCCCACTGTTTTCTCTCCAAACATATTCACATTGTCCTGGAATTGTGTGTGAATGTGAGTGCTTTAAAGAAATCATTTTAAAGGCTTATACATTCTTTTGTTTATCTCTTTCTCATGAATTTGATATACAGAAAATAATTCTTTACTTCTCAGGTTATTTGTGTGACAAATAAGAGTATATCTATATGCACTTATTTCTTTTCTCTTATTATTTTAAAGGTAACATTGAGAAGTGCTTGTGAAATAATCAATCTGTCTATTTTAAGTTTCCAAAGAATACTTAGAGCTGAATTTAAGAGCCATTTTATGGATTACTACCTGAATTTATCTAATTCCCGGTCACGTGACAAAATAAATTCGTTTTGCACATAAAACAAAATTTCCCTTTCCCACAGTCTTTGCTGTACTATCACATGCATAACCAAAAAACTTTCCTATGGTTCTTTCCCAGTGGGAACAGAAGAGATTTTCCCATTGAGAGGGGGAGGGAGATAGGAAAAGAGAAAGAAAGAAAATGAGAGAGATAGAGACCGCACATGAGAGAGAGAGAGAGAGAGAGAATTTGCAGATTCTGTTATCCAGCTGCTTTGGCAGCACTGGGTTGGACAAATGAAGCAATACATTTCTGTAGGGCAGAGACTCTATCTAATCAAGAATATTTTCATCAAGAGCCTTGTAATCAACCATACATTCTGCAAATTCAGAAGTACAGATTGCCTTAGCAATGCTGCTTAACTTGTTGGTTTGATTCGAATTATTTCGGCAAACATTTGTATTTTTTATATCATCCCATTTCTCTTTCTCTTTTTAAAAATCAACTTTTCATTCTTGGGTGACATTATCTATTCTTATAATTTAAGAATGATTTAATACTACCCTCAATTCGCAAATTCATATATTTAGCTGACTTCTACATATATTCAAGGGCACCCTTAATTTATAAGAGGAGCCTTAATTACATCCTTTGCTTAGTGTAAGTTCAAAGCATCTGGATCCGCCCCTACTCAGCAACATAGAATATCTCTATTTGGTCAGAGACTATGGCAGGCCTGTCTTTTTCAAAAGGTTGTTGTGAGAAATGGCATTAATAAAGGGCATTTAGTCTAAATATTCCCTGGGCAATAAAAATGTTGCCCTCCTATCGACTCAGGCCATGAAATAGCTGTGCTCTTGAATGACATTATCCTGGCTTCAGATCAATTGCTTTTGCTGAACTGCATTATGACATTGTGGCAACTTTATATACTAACAGGCATCCAGCCATGTACAACCAGCACTTTATCTACTATAGGGATGTTGCTGAGGACTCTGTTCTCACCACTCTTTCCTTTAACAAACACCAACCAAGAGACTGTTGAAGCTCAGAAAGCAATACCCCAAAATGAAGACCTCAGAAGCCAAAGTGTTTCACTGATCTTCTCCTGCCCTCCTCTCTGTGGCCTCTCATTCTTTTCCAAGGCTAGTCATGGAAACTGGAGACCCTTTTCCTCAAAGCAGGTCATTGAAACCAGAACCCTTTTTCCTGAAGCCAGTCATAAAACTTAAAGATATTACACTAATTTTACCCCATCTTTCTGTGTAAAAACTAGCCCTACAGAAACTGTCTGACCCATCTTGTTTGACTGTAGGTCGTAAGAACGCCCCCTTTCCAGAAATGGTCTTGCCCCATTCCCAGAAGGAAGGAATGCTAACCAGAAAGGCCAAGAAGAATCTAAAAGCACAGGCCATGCTGGGTTTCCTCACTTGGTCTAATGAGATCATACCCTTTTTGTCCAATCATATTTATACATGGCTATCCATACTTTGTTAAACAAAAATGGAGAGCTTCCCCTGTATTTTTGGGTCTTCATCCTGAAGGCTCCTGTGTCAGGTAAAACTATGATCAAATACATTTTCATGCTTTTTGATTATTATCTGTCTTTTATCAGTTGATTTTCAGCAAACCTTCAGAGACTCAAGGGGAAAATTTCCCTTGGCCCCTACAAGATTTTTCTTGTTCTTCGTATTTTAAAAAAGTATTGTTTTACCGAGCAACTGTTTTGTTTTTAACTTATTTATATTATGATTTTGTAATTAATCTTTTTTTCACTCATTGCTTTGATAACTAAGAAAGTCAAATTTATGGTTCATGAATAAAATCTAATATGATCTTATATTGATTTCCTGTGCTAATCTTATAATAAAGATAATTAACTCCTTGAAAATCTTTCACATTATCCTGACTCTATAATTTGTATATACTCTCCCTTCACATATTTGCTGAGTTGCCTCAAATCCTTTACATAATAATACATAAATGCCTATGAGATTATAGTACTTGCAACTTTGTATTATAGTTATTTTCTTATGTGCCTCTTGCATTGAGCCATGATAATCTTGAAGACCAGGACCTTAGTGTACATCCCCAGTGTTTAACACAGTATTTGGACCATTCTCATTAGCATTAGTATCTATTGTGTCCAGATCAGTGCCAGGCTCGGAGCTAAATCATTTCTAGTTCATTTAACCTTTAATAGGTATTGGCCTCTAGAGGGAGCTCCAGGCCTCTCTGACTCTTGCTGTCCCCTCCCTCCAAATGCCCTAAGGAAGATCGTCAGGTTATGGGACAGTCACTATCTCATAGTCTCTCTCTCTCTCTCTCTCTCTCTCTCTCTCTCTCTCTCACACACACACACACACACACACACACACACACACACACACACACATCTATCTTTTAGGAATATTTTTCCCTTTCTCTCACAAAATGGCCATTGGTCATAGTGATTTTCTGACTCTGGGAATGTGATGTTTCTCTGTTCACAGAATCGCTTAGGTTAGCTAGAGCAGACCAGTGGAAAAGGAAGTGGAGGGGCTGAATAGATCCCTAGGTTGCTATGACAGCAGGACCTTGACACTCCAAATGTCCCTCCCCTTTCTCTGAAGGCTCCCTTCTAGGAGCTGAACTTTTCAGTGTGAAATAAGCTCTTCCTCATTACTGCGCAGCAGGGAGTGTGAACTCCAGTGAGGCCCTGGGGTTCTCCAGGGCAGTGCTGGGTGTGAGTGTGCAATTCAAAGAATGTGAAATTACACTGGAAGAAAAAGAACCTGCGTTCACTGTACATTTCTGTCTTCTCATTTTCCTTCATTGAGTACTTCCTAAATTAAAAAAAGGCAATAACCAGGAAACTGTGAGTTTTGCCAAATTGCAACATTATTTGGAAGTGGCTGGACCTAACTCTACCTTAACCTTTATAGATACATTAAATTTTCCAAGTGAATCTTCTGATATCCATGACATTTTTCTTTGAAGGGATTTTCATCACCCTTAACAAATGATTATAAATCTGAATAGAAGGTCTTCTGGAATCACGTTCCTTTTGAAACACAAATACAGCCTTTAGCATGAATTTCAAGTGAAATAGCAACCCTGTAGGAAGATGAAATATGAGTGCACAGGGATGTAATTCTGGGGCCTTTCCCTAGCACACTAAGAGCAAAACATGTAAATGACAACTGGCCTCATCTAGTTCAGAATTCTTACCAGGACACATTTTTTTAACGGTTGGAAGGCTGTTTATATAAAGGGGATATATATAAACAAGTTGGCTGAGTTAAAACTGCTTACTTTCCTGCAGGGTTCATTACAGGCTTTTTAGGGACCCTGGAAGCAGAGAGCAGTTGTGCGTTCCTCATGTAAAATAACAGAGAAGAAACATTCAATTCTTGTGAAAAATTAGAATCTGGGCAGTAAATAGTAGTGAGAAGGCGGCTACTTTTCTAAGAATTCAGGTGATAAAATTTCCCTTTCTTTCTTTTTTACTGAGAAGCGAACATATAAACTATGCTTTTCTGTCTTAAGAACACTTTCCCCTTGTCCACCCTAAGATCCTGTTTGATGGACTTAATGCACACTTGACCAGAGGGTTCTGTATGATGTGTACCTAAGTCACAGGAAACAAATCTTTCTATCTTAAGTGTTTTTCCTGGAGAACGCCCACTCTCAACCCAACACACACATTCAGACATGTGGGCCAAGCTGTGTTCACACTTGGGGCAGGGAAAGCGAGGCCAGTACCTCATGTGAGACTTCACATCCAGCAATTCCAGGGCAGTGACCCGAGGCTCCCCAGCCAGATTTTGCAAGATCTTCAGCCGCGGTCCACAGTGCTTATAGAACTCTGTGCAAATATTCAGTAAGGACTCCCGGGGTCTTCTGAACTCTTCCCGAGCAATTCGTTCATCCAGTTCCTCTCTGGGAAGGCCTTGCCCTTCCTCCAGTAAATGAAGGTTTTCCCTGGGAAATTGTAAAAGATTAACTAGGGGTCTCAAAATGTATTCATGTGGCAGTTGTGAGAAGAGGGTACCACACCGAAGAAAAATATAAGAATCCTAATGAGTTAATGAATCAGTAGGATGAGGCCAAGGAGAACCTCATCCGAAGGATAAAGAAAACTTCTCAGCCTAGAAGAGATTGTCATCCCAAATTGTAGTAAAGCTACTTTTTGGGGTTTACCCGGAAATAGTATGTTATTCGTCAAACGAAATCTAACAGAGCCATAAACCAGTTTAAAAGGCAATCATCTCAAGATGTCAGAATTGGTATGAAATTAGAGCAAGTTTTTCTGTACCTGATAAAGTGCAGTTTGGCTCCTTGTTCCTGGTACCTGGGAGTTAGAGAAACAGTCTACATAACTATTAGAGCAAGAACAGGGTCCTTTGGTTGGGGCTTCTTATAGACTTCTTCATATGACAAGTCCTTGAAGCTATATATTTTGATAAGCTCACAAATATATATATATTACTCCTAAAGTATAAAAGCTTTATCTTTCATTTGGCTACCACATATACTGCAATTACAGCTGCTACAAAAGCTGTTTTATTGTTGTGTGATTTGGGTAAAGACAACTATTATAAAAATATATACAAACTCATGGAATATAGCCAGATGAGATTAATTTTTGGACATTTTGAAATTTAAGTTATAGTTTTAATACCATGTGCTCTGTCTTAAGTGATGGGAAGGAGAATCATGGCTGACTTCCTTTCAGTTCTGGAGATTTACTGCTTTGTGATTCATGGATATTAAGACTTTAGAAGCCCTCTTTCTTCTTTAGAAGCCCTCATTTAACCCAATGAGCCTAGAGAAGTCCCTAAATATCACTTAAACTACAGTATATCATTTTCCCTTAATATAGGAAATTGAGGCATGAGTTAACCATCACACCAGGCAATTTATAGCTGGATTTGGAATTTATTTTTGTTTTATTTTTAATATGAATATATATGATGAGCAGGGAATTAACTTTACATGAATAATGATACACACTTAAAAATAGGCTTCAGAGAGAGTGAAAATTTATTGAATTTCTCCTTATGATTTCCATGCCAACTACTTCATACTGGGAAAAGAGAACTTTTTCTTAAGCTGATTTTTGGTTTGCCCTATCTTAAATCTCCCTTGTAGAAGGAAACTAATTAGGCTTTTTGTGTATTTCAGAATCTTTAAAGCTAACACAGATGGAATGAAACGGGTAAAATATTAACTAGTATAGCCAGTAGCTGAGTTACACCAAAACAAAAGAAGGAGATTAAGTTAACAACCATGGAAAGCATCATCTGAGGGCATATGTCAAAGTTTGGATGAAATGTCTGCAGAAAATCTGTCCAGATGAAGGTAAGTTGACTCTTAGTGCCCTGGGAATGAGAAACCACCTCCTGATTATTATTGTTTATTTGCCTTTTGTTGAAGGCAAATGAAACAACACCGGACTAGTTCAAAGACCACCCAGGAGGCAGAGAACATCTAGCAGGCTCAAGCAAACAAAACAACACAAATGCCTATTTATGAAGTTGGTTTAGATTTCTCTGGCAATTTCAAAAGAAGCCTTGGTATTTTCTTGTAACTCTAAACTCTCACCTTCTTTTCTTTTCCTTGGAGGTTTTCACACTCAATATTGACTATTTTCAGGATTCCTTTCATTCGCAACAGCTGACATTCGGGTTGTATGAAATTGAGAGACCATAGAAGAATAAGAGCCAGTGAATTACCTGGTGTTCACCCCAGACGACATGGTGTGATTGGCTGTGGTGGTTCCCTTATGACCTTGGTCACACCTGCTCATCTGTGGGGCTGTCATGGGCCTGTAACAATGACAGTAATCACCACAGCAAAACAACAACAACAACAGAAGTGGAAACATTTATTAAATCCTCAAGTTACTGAAGCACACATAAGTTTTAAGTTAGTTTTAGAGTCTTCAAAAGACAGGCTGTCTAGCTTTGGGCTTTTCTGTTTGTTCTGAGAGGCACTTTAAAGGAACATTGATTCCCAGGGGTTTATAAGCTCATCATGATTTAATTTCTTCCACTTCTTGGCTCTGAGTAATAAACTCATCAAAATGACTCTTCCAACAAGACATTTATGAAATATCTACAGACTTCTAAGTCTGTACCAGTGGAGAGTTAAAAGCTCATTCTTCAGTTTTACTGGTAGTTCACCATTCTAGATGATAAGTAAAAGGCAAGGATGTATGTACCACTTTGGCCACCTACACTACAACTACATTATCTACATTAACTACACCTACATTATCAACTACTCTATTTTTTCTGAGAAACTATCAAAGAATAAAAGAATTCTCCTAGTCACATCACACCTAACGCTACCCAGGAAAGTGAGTAAATTCGTATCTATTGTAAGTCAGTAATTTAGATGGTTAGTAATAGATTTGAATTGTCTCATTTTATATCTGCCGGATTTACTTTAAATAATAGGTAAAATTTGCCTCTGTATTGGCATCTAGGACGAAAAAGGCATAATGCAGTTTTTTAAAGCAACTGCTTTTATGAAATCATCAAGGCTTGCTTCTTTGTTGCTTACTTTCTGTCTGCTGGGGATGGCTAGAAAGTAAGCTTTTAACAATCACACCAGATCTCCTTGTCCTGTGCCTGTTGTGATAGACACAATTTAGAGATGGCTCCCAATATCTTTGCCCCTTGGTGTTACTCTAGTGATTATGTTACATTATGTGGCCAAAAGGGGGAGTGTCTGCATAGGCCTAATCTAATCATAGCAACCTTTCAAAAGCAGAGTCTTCTCTGGCTGGGGGCAGAGAGATTTGAAGCATAAGGATTCAAGGTGCTATTGCTGGCTGGAAGGTAGAGGGGAGCATGTGAGAAGAAATGCAGGTGCCTTCTCAATGCAGAGTGGGGCCTGGCTGACAGCCAGCCAGGAAATGGGACCTCAGACCTAAAGCTGCATGGAACTAGATTCTGCCAAAAAATTGAATGAGCTTGGAAGTGCATTCTTCCCCAGTGCCTTCAGATAAAAGTTCGGACTAGCTGACAACTTGACTTCCACCTTGAGAAACCCTGAGCAGAGAATCCAGCTGAGCCTGCCTGGATTCCTGGCCTACACAACTGTGAGACAATAAGTGGGTTTTGCTTAAAGGCTGTAAGTTTGTATAACATGTTATACAACAGTTAAAACTAATGTACTTGTGATATATTTATGTAATACTACCTATACAATTGTTAAATTTCTTTTGTCTTGAGATTAAAAAAACTAGGAATGTGGAGAAATTAGGGGATTCTTACCTTCTTTTTGTAAACACAGTGAAGCCAATTTTGGTTTGAGTAACTACTACCAACGAATGAGGCTAGTCTTCTCTGCCAAAAGAATATTAAATGCACTGGAATATTTAAAGCCACAGAATTTTAAATGCTAGAGCTCCATCCATAACTCTTTGTGACATTTTGAGTAAGTCAGTTTTGGATAAGTTAATTGACTTATCCTTATAAAAAGGTATAGAAATGAGGAAAGCTTTAACATTATGTAATATGAGGAGAAATAGGCTGACCATGGTGGCTCACACCTGTAATCCCAGCACTCTGGGAGGCCGAGGTGGGTGGATCACTTGAGGCCAGGAGTTCAAGACCAGGCTGGCCAATATGGGGAAACCCCGTCTCTACTAAAACTACAAAAATTATCCGGGTGTGGTGGCACATGCCTATAATCCCAGCTTTTTGCAGGGCTGAGGCATGAGAATTGCTTAAACCTGGGAGGCAGAGGTTGCAGTGAGCCAAGGTCATGCCAGTGACCTCCAGCCTGGGTGACAGAGTGAGTCTCTCTCTTTCTCTCTCTCTCTCTCTCTCTCTCTCTCTGTCTCTCTCTCTATATATATCTATATATAGATATATAGATATAGATAACTATATATCTGTATCTGTACATATATAGATATAGATATAGATATATAATAGAAATACAGTGGCAATTGGGAACTACTGACTGCTTTTCTTTCCTCTAGTTGTAGGAAAAAGCTAGTTACATAACCAGATGGGTACAGAAGGAAGAGTGTAAGTCTTTCCTTCCTCCTTAGGATATTCTTCTGGGACTTTCATGAAACCATCAGCAATAGCACAGAAAACTCTCTCTCCTTGGAGGAGGCAATTTGTCATGGCTTTCTGAGCCAACTCTTCCCATTTCCTTAGATTAGGTGCATATGAACATTTCAGGATGATAGTCTACAGAAGGCTTTTGGGCAATATTCTGCTTGTCTAGTTTGGCAATGTAGCTCATGATTAGAAACTAAACATCTATTGATGTTAATGAATTACAACCCACTTTCTGTCTTTCTTGCTGATGCATGCTGAAAAAGTCCTTCCTGGACTAAAGGGCTTCCCCCTTACCAACACAGCAAGATGGGGCTGGGGGAGTTGGTGCCTTTTGGTGGAGGCATAGACAATTTCACACTAAGGATCTGGAACTTTAGATTGGACACACAGCATGGCAGAATGGAATGGAGGAGCAAAGGTAAAAGGTTTCCCCATCCCTATCCTGGGGAAGAATATTTCCTGGCAGCTAATTTAGATGGGAACGGAGCAGGAAAGCCCATCGTATGCGTAGTGTCCTGCATCCACCTTCCCCACTCAGATTTTATTTTATTTTGATCTCATCCAGGGCTCCCTGCCTGCCCCTTTCCTGCCATATGGCAGTTTAGTGACTCTGCTTCTGCACCCAAGCATCTTGCGACAGGACTAACTGCTTGAACTTTGTTTAGGGCTGAACTCTGGTGCCAATTTACCTTCCCATTCCCAAATTTCTCATCTCCCAGCATTGTTTAGTCCTGTCCCACAGAGAATCTATTAATTCTAATAGTAGGACAACATTCTGCTGTTTATACTGGTTATGTAGTTTCTGAAATTATAGTTAAAAAACACAACACTTCACAAACAGTAAAATAATAAAAGAATACTTAGTTGGAATTGTAGGCATTCCATGTCTCATAAAATAATATAATACCCAATAAAAATGTAGATTACCTCTTTAAATTCACTAAATTGGCCCTCTTACACAAGACGTGTTTACCACTGGGTCATAACTGCTGGAGAAGCTCAGCAAGCTATATGCAAATGTGTGTTTAGCAATGATAGTAAGAATATTATTACTATTACTACTACTACTACTAATCAGAGTGCTTAACATTATTTATTCAAATAACTCAGGAACTGTTCACAGTTATAAGGCATAAAGGGCTGAGTTTAGGAGATATCTGTAAATAAAGATTGGGTTTTAGATTTTTACCCATCACATTTTTTTTTTCCCAGTGGATACATATGATGTAAGGCTGCAGCTATTTCTGCCAATGGGATTACCTGGTGAGGACCTCTACACTGTATAAAAGGGCCTGTAGGGACGTCGCAAGAGCAGCAGTGGCCGCAATCTCCTCTCGGGCAGCAGGTACTGTCTCCACCTGTGATGTCTGCCTCTTTAGCTTTTGTAGGTAACATGGAACTAAGGCTTCCAAGACCATCAGCATCTGAAGACTTTAAGCGACAGAAAGAAAACCGAGTCACCTTTTACATTCTACTTTTGTTGGTTGTGTCACATTTAGGAGCACAGAACAATGAAAAGCATCTAGAGATAAAATGAATTCTAAGCCCCCTTGCCTCTCCAAATCAAAAGTAGTTAAAGCTGCTGGAAATGTTGACCAACAATTATTAATTCACTAACCACCTGCTAAAAGGTGATGAATCTTGCCTTAAAGAAACATGTGATCTAGTCGGGGGAATTAGCCATATATACAAATAAATGGTTGAAAGAATAACAGAATAATAGGTGGAGCTATATAGTCCATCTAGAGAAACAGGCTTCAGAACAAAACTTCAATTCAGGAGTTTGCTGAGAGTGATTTTCCAGCTGCAACAATTTTGAGACAACATAAAACCCTTTCATGGGAGGCTGGCTTCCTAAGCTTAAGGAATTAAATAGCAAACAATGTTGGAAACAGCCATTATGATGAGGTCTGACAATGCCTGCTTACCAACGTGAGTGAACACCACTCACTGGATAGGGCCCACACTCAATTTAGTATTGGGGTGTCAGAAACACCTTGAAGGGGAAATGGAGATTAAGTAGTTATTATGCAAGGTGGGTTTTCCCCTCTAAAGTTGTAAAGTGTATAACACCATCAATATAGATTTTTTTTTTTGAGACAAAGTCTCACTCTGTCAGTTGCCCAGACTGCAGTGCAGTGGCATGATTTCGGCTCACTGCAACCTCTGCCTGGGTTCAAGTGATTCTCCTGCCTCAGCCTCCCCAGTAGCTGGGATTATAGGCGTGCACTACGGTGCCCGGATAATTTTTGTATTTTTGGTAGAGACAGGGTTTCACCATGTTGGCCACGCTGGTCTCAAACTATTGGCCTCAAGCAATCTTCCTGCCTTGGCCTCCCAAAGATCTGGGATTACAGGCATGAACCACCACACCCAGCCATCTTTTCTTTAGAGATTCCCCAATTATGTTAAAGTTTACAAATTGTGGGTTCTAGAAAACAGCAGGGATCGGTTGATATCCCAGAGAATCTGAAATCAAGTTTCTTTGATCCATTCTTTTCCCTACAGATACCAATGAGTTTTTGCTATGCTCTTTAAAATACTGAATACTGGTTTCTGGTAATATAATTTTGCCTATAATGTGTGCTCTACAAGCAGGAAATGGCAATTATCAGAATTTGGTGGGTATGGAGAAAGAGCTATGATACTTTTTTGAGTTCTCCTATTTTTTGGCAACTTAAAAAAGGAGGCAATAAGTCGGTTCTGCTTTCTGTAATAATAAAAAGTACCTTGCTGCAAACTAATTGTCTTACTAGAAAGGGTGGACAAAATTTTTAAAACATATTGAAGGTATTAGGTAGAAGCTAAGGCTAGCAGATACCTTTTGTAGGTACCAGACTTCTGGGGGAAAGAAAGCTTCTTCGGTTCATCCAGACATTGTGCAGCACTCTTTTTTTCTAGGCATCTGCTAGTTTGTAAATTGCTTAGGGCCAAAAGGCTAAGGAAAAATCCAGGCAGAAATGTCAGCTAAGAGTTATGAAGCTAAGCAGAATTTTCAGTAGCCTCATTATGGCGAAGAAAGATATACTGGAGTTCAGGGACTTCCAAAGAGGAGTTAGACCCATGGAAGGCTGTATCCTAGGAGTGTGAAATAGATAGAACAGCCCTTACAAAGACTGAAACCCAACTTTAAATCAAATGAATCACAGACTGAATTAAAATGATCTGCCCTACCACAGTTACTAGTCAGAGAGTAAAATGAATCATTTTTGGAGGAAGATAACATCGGGTAGATCCTCAAAGCATTTCCAACTTTTTTTAATGCAATACTCAGTAGTCAAAATTACCCAGTCCTGCTAAAACCAAATGATCAAAATCCAAGGAAAAGAACAGACAATATAAACAGAGCCACAAGTGATCTACATATTAAAGTTATCGGAGACAGATTTTTATAAAATAATGATTAAAATGTTAAATAAGAGAAATAACAAAATGGATAATTTCATCAAAACTCTGAAATCTATTAAAAAAGTGGAAATTCTAAGAACTGAAGACTGAAATATTTGAAATTAAAAACCTGAAAGATAAGTGTTAATGGTAGATTAGATACAGGAAGAGATGAATGTGAACTGTAATAAAGAACAATGGAAAACATCAAGACAGAAGAACAGAGGGTAGAAATGATAGAAAATACAGGAAAGAACATAAGAGACATATATAGAGCATGGGGTTAAGGAGGAAAAAATATATATATATACATAAATGGAGAGGGGAGAGAAAATGGGATAAAGGTGATATTTGAAGAGTTATTTGTCAAATTTTCTAAAATTGTTGAAAGTTATCAAGCTTTATATTCAAGAAACACTATGAACCCCAAGAAGTATGAATACAAAGAAAAATCACAACTAGGCACACCACAGTCAAACTGCTTAAAACCCAAGGCAAAGAGAAAATGTTAAAAGTAGCCAGAGAAAAAGACACATTAGGGCGGGGCAGTGTGGCTCACGCCTGTAATCCCAAGACTTTGGGAGGCTGAGGTGGGCAGATCACGAGGTCAGGAGTTTGGGATCAGTCTGGCCAATATGGTGAAACTTCGTCTCTACTGAAAATATAAAAATGTAGCTGGGTGTGGTGGTGCATGACTGCAGTCCCAGCTACTTGGGAGGCTGAGGCACGAGAATCACTTGAATCCAGGAGGTGGAGGTTGTGGTGAGCTGAGATCGCGCCACTGCACTCCAGCCTGGGTGACAGAGCGAGATTCCATCTCAAAAGAGGAAAAAAGAAAAGAAAAGAAGAAAAGGACACATTAAATTCAAATGTGCAATAAAATCTAATGCTGATTTTTCAACAGATATAAGTCAGTAGAAAATGGAATATCTTCTTTTTTATTTTATTAATTAATTTTTTTTGAGACAAGGTCTTGCTCTGTTGACCAGGTTGGAATGCGGTGGTGCAATCTCAGTTCACTGCAGCCTTATCCTGGGCTCAAGCAATCCTCCCACCTTAGCCTCTTCAGTAGCTGGGACCACAGACATGCACCACCATACCCCACTCATTTTTGTATTTTTTGTAGAGATGGGGTTTTGCCACGTTGCCCAGGTTGGTCTCAAATTCCCGAACTCATGCACTCTGCCTGCTTTGGCCTCCCAATGTGCTGGGATTACAGGCATGAGCCACCGTGCCTGGCCTGAATATTTTCTTTAAATTTAAAAAAAAAAAAAAAAACTGCCTGCCGGGCCCGGTGGCTCATGCCTGTAATCCCAGCACTTTGGGAGGCCGAGATAGGTGGATCACCTGAGGTCAGGAGTTCGAGACCAACCTGACCAACATGGAGAAACTGTGTCTCTACTAAAAATACAAAATTAGCTAAGTGTGGTGGCACATGCCTGTAATCCCAGCTACTCAGGAGGCTGAGGCAGGAGAATTGCTTGAATCCGGGAGGTGGAGGTTGCAGTGAGCCAAGATTACACCATTGCACTCTAGCCTGGGCAACAAGAACAAAAACTCCGTCAAAAAAAAAAAAAAAAAAAAAAAAAAAAAAGTCAAAGGTAGAAAATAATAAAGATAAAAAAGGAAAGAAAAGGCAGACAATAAAACTACAATAGCAAAAATCAACAAAGCCCCAAATACTGATTATTTGTAAAGGGAAAGCTATTGATAAACTCCTGGAAAGAATAATAATAAGGGAGGGAGCAAAAATTCCCAGTATTAGAAATAAAAAAGTGAACACAATAAAAACCCCATAGTTGTTAAAAATTTAAAAAAAGAGAATATCAGGAACAAATTTATGCCAATAAATTCAGGTACTTAAATTAGATAGAAAAATTCCTAGAAAAATGTGACTTACCAAAGCCACCACCAGGATAAACAATCTTAATTTTAAAATGTTCCCACAAGAAACGACATTACTTACAGTTTTGTGTATAAATTCTACTCAATATTTTGGAAAGACAAAATGCTCATCTGAGGCAGGCACAGTTGTTCTGCCTGTAATCCCAGCACTTTGGGAGGCTGAGGTGGGAGGAGCACCAGCCTGGGCAACACAGTGAAACTAACTTTCTCTCTCAAAAAATCAAAAAAATTAGCAGGGTGTGAAGGCACCCACCTGTAATGCCTGCTACTTGGAAGGCTGAGGTGAGAGGATTGCTCGAGCCTGGGAGATCAAGGCTGCAGTGGGCCATGATCCTGATACTGAACTCCAACCTTGGCAACAGAATGAGACTCTGTTTCAAAAATTAAAAAAACCTAATCCACACTAAATTTCTACAGAGAATAGGAGTTTTAAAAAAAAGGAGTGGGGGGCTGGGCACGGTGGCTCACGCCTGTAATCCCAGCACTTTGGGAGGCCGAGACGGGCGGACCACCTGAGGTCAGGAGTTTGAGACCAGTCTGGTCAACATGGTGAAACCCCCTGTCTACTAAAAATACAAAAATTAGCTAGGTGTGGTGGCGGGCGCTTGTAATCCCAGCTACTTGGGAGGCTGAGGCAGGAGAATTGCTTGAACCCAGGAGGGAGATGCTGCAGTGAGCCAAGATTGTGCCATTGCACTCCAGCCTGGGAAACAAGAGTGAGACTCTGTCTCAAAAATAATAGAAAATAAAAAGGGGGGGTGGTTGGGGGAGACACTTTCCAATTTATTTTATGAGTCCAGCTTAATCTTCATATCCTTGATACTATAGCCTATAGTATAGTCAGGCTATAGTATTATTACAAGGACTTTATAATAATGGAGGGTTACAAATAAACCTGCTAAAATGTTTACCAGTGGGTAGTTAATAAAGTAGTAGCTAAGCAAGACATCCTTTTTGTTTAAGCACTTGTAACTTTTTTAAGTATCCAGAATTGGTTTATCTTGAATGACACAGAACTACCTAGAATATCTCTTCTACTCCTAACTTCCCTGTGATCCTAGCCATAAAATTCATTAGATAATACCTTTATAAAAAATAAAAATTACAGATATAGCTCTCATTAACATAGTTGTAAAAATGCTAAAAAAATTGCAAACCAAATCTGGCAATACTGAAAAATGATAATTATGATATACAACCCAAATACAGTTTATTTTTAAGGAGGCAGGAAAGTTTTAATTTTGAAAATAAATCAGTGTAACCTATAACACTTAGAAAATAAAGAATACAAATCATATAATCATCTCTATAAATAGGAACATTTAGTAATATTCATTGTCCATCAGTAAGAAAACTCAACTAAACTAAGAATACAAGGCAGATTCCTTAATAATTAATTTATTAATGAGTAATAAAATTACTTCCTTAATCTTTACTGGTATATTACAACAAAATCCTTTAGCAAATATTATTCTTAGTGATGAAATACTGGAAATCCCCTCCATACCCTGAGATCAGAAATGAGACAAAGATCCCACCATCATCACCATTATCACTTCTTTTTTTTTTTGAGACAGAGTCTTGCTCAGTCCCCAGACTGGAGTGCAGTGGCGCGATCTTGGCTTACTGCAAGCTCCGCCTCCCGGGTTCTCACCATTCTCCTGCCTCAGCCTCCCAAGTAGCTGGGACTACCGGCGCCCGCCACTACGCCTGGCTAGTTTTTTGTATTTTTTTTAGTAGAGACGGGGTTTCACAGTGTTAGCCAGGATGGTCTCAATCTCCTGACCTCGTGATCCACCCGTCTCGGCCTCCCGAAGTGCTGAGATTACAGGCGTGAGCCACCGCGCCTGGCCTCTTTTTTTTTTTTTTTTGAGACGGAGTCTCGCTCTGTCACCCAGGCTGGAGTGCAGTGGCGCGATCTCGGTTCACTACAAGCTCCGCCTTCTGGGTTCATGCCATTCTCCTGCCTCAGCCTCCCAAGTAGCTGGGACTATAGGCACCCGCCACCACGCCTGGCTAATTTTTTGTATTATTTAGTAAAGACGGGGTTTCACCGTGTTAGCCAGGATGGTCTTTTTTTTTTTTTTTGAGACGGAGTCTCGCTCTGCCGCCCGGGCTGGAGTGCAGTGGCCGAGATCCGGCTCACTGCAAGCTCCGCCTCCCGGGTTCACGCCATTCTCCTGCCTCAGCCTCCCGAGTAGCTGGGACTACAGGCGCCGCCACCTCGCCCGGCTAGTTTTTTGTATTTTTTGGTAGAGACGGGGTTTCACCGTGTTAGCCAGGATGGTCTCGATCTCCTGACCTCGTGATCCGCCCGTCTCGGCCTCCCAAAGTGCTGGGATTACAGGCTTGAGCCACCGGCCAGGATGGTCTTTATCTCCTGACTTCGTGATCCGCCCACCTTGGCTTCCCAAAGTGCTGGGATTACAGGCATGAGCCACCGCGCCCAGCCTCCATCATCACTTCTATTCCATTTTGTATTAAAGTTCTAGTCAGTGCATTAAGGACAGAGAAAGGAATAACGTGTATAAATAAGAATTTGAAAGGATAAAATACAACTCTCATGATTTGCAGATAACATAATTAATTAAATAGAAAACACTAAGAGATCACACATATAAAATAAAAAATACTGCTAACTTCATTTGAAAATGGGCAGAAGACTTCAGTAGGCACTTTGCACAAGGAGATGTCCACATTTCAATAAACATTTATCTGAAAAGCTTCCAAACCTTTTAATTTGCAAGAGGAAAATGGAAATTAAAATGATAATGAATGTCACTACAACCCAAATAAAAAGACGGAAGATAACAAGTGTTGATGAGGCCATAAAGTACTAGAACATTTACATACTGTTGGTGGGAATGAAAATTGAAACCACTTTTTGGTAGTATCTACTAAAGCAAGAAATACTCATATTCCATGACTTAGCCTAGCATTTCCATCCATAGAAATGCATACATATTTGTGTACAAAAACATTCACTGTAGCATTATTTATAATACCTTCAAACCAGATCCAACACAAATGCCTGATAACAAGAGAAGATATAAATAAATTGTAGCATAGTCATACAGTGAACTATTGTAAGTGAATGAAAAAGAATCAACTACTGTTACACACATTTATATGCATTTATATGAACGAATCTCATGAAATAATACTGAATCACAGAAGTCAGCCATTAAAGAGTAGCTACTATACTATTTCAGTTAAATAAATTTCAGAAATAGGCAAAACTGATTTATCATATTAGAAACCAGGATAGTAGTGCCTCTATCTGATTTTTCTATCCAAGTGGTAGGTAGATGTGATAACATTATGAACACTTATGGAACTGTAAAATTGTGATTTTTAAATGTTTTATGTGAATGTTTCACTTAAATAAAATACTTTTTTAAAAAAAATTAAGTGCAACAGAGACTTGCTATTACAAATGTTGAAGTCCTGTAAGTATGTTACTTATTCCCATGAGAGACATCCCAGGGAACCACTGCTTAAGAAAACCTGACCTTACTGACATATCAAGATGTCATCTGGTTTAAACTGACAGAATGGAAAATTAGGGAGGATTTAAAAAAATTCTAATTTAACTTAACAATATTAGACTGGCCTTTAACTCACAATGACAAGCGAATTTGATTGTGAACTCTCATACCTTTTGATTTCAATGTGTTTCAATTTTAATGTGAAAGATAATTTTATGACTCAATGGAAATTTGGTAAAATTTGAAATGGAGAATTTTTTAGTCAAACTTAGGTGTTCCCTATGTTGTGGGAATTTTAATATTGGAGAATCTATATGCATTTTATTTTTGCAGTGTCTCAATTGCAGTATCTCTGACATATCCAGTTAACAATGTAGCTGGACACACTTGGAATGGAAAATAGAGCAGAGAGAAGATGTTTACAATCGTCTGTAGAATGGATTTGGAGTTAACTTAATGCAGGATTCGATCCATTCTGGAACTTTTTCTAGATCTGTGGTATTATAGGAAGAGCAGGAAAGTGGGAGTACGACCATCCTGCAGCTTTGCTCTCCTGAGGGCCACAGCCACATCTGTGCCTGACCACAGGCATACTGTTTTTCTCCCCATTGCTCAAGAAGACAAAAATTCGAGAATGTTGGGGAAAACATTTCTTACTCATTCTTCATGTTTTCTTCCAGTAAAAAAGAGTTCAATTAATATAAATCCTGGCTCTTCTTGACCCTTATTCATTCTCTTATGGGGGAGAGAAACAGGCTTAAGGTGCAGGGAAAATGTATAAAGATATATTCGGCATAATCAGCCTGGCTCCTTCCTTCTTCCTGGAAGAGCTTGTCAACAGAGTACAGCTTTTAATAGATCAGATTTAAATCTCAGACCAGAGCCAACATCTTTGAATTGGGATGACTCACTCTTCATGGGAGTCTTTTGAATTCTCTGCACTTGGCAAAATGAAGGCAAGATTGATATTCTTGCCCCTTGTGTTACAGAAATTCTTATTGCCCCTTGAAAGGAGTTTTCTTAAATAAATATCTGTTATGACATTTCGTTTGCTACTAATTTATATTACTTGTGAGGAAAAATATTTTCTAACAAGACTAAATACCTTAGCATCTGCACAAGATCCAAATTAAGGGATTTCAAATGAATGAAGATATACTATTGTTTTCCAGAACCTATGCTATGTTTCCTAAACTTAGTTTGTTTCTTCTTTTCTTTTTTCTCTCTTTTTTCTTTTCCTGACAGTCTTACTCTGTTGCCCAGGCTAGAGTGCAGAGGTACAATCACAGCTCACTGCAACCTTGACCTCCTTGGATTAAGTTATCCTTCTGCCTCAGCCTCCCAAAAAGTTGGGACTACAGGCGTGCACCACCACACCTAGCTAATTTTTAATTTTTTAAATTTTTTGTAGAGACAGAGTCTCACTATGTTGCCCAGGCTAGCCTTGAACTCCTGGGCTAAAGGAATCTTCTTGCCTCAGCCTTCCAAAGTGCTGGGATTATAGGTGTGAGCCACCACACCTGGCCTAAATTTACGTTTTGAAAGTTTACTTGTCAGAATGTTACAGACTGATATTACTCAGCATAACCTTTGTATTCATTCAATTTTATTTTCTTTGCTGTATTTACTTATGACAAGGCACAGAATAAAGGGCTGCAGATACCTTCTGAATGATTCGGGAGCATATGCCACCACAGTGACACAGAGCTTAATGGCTTCACTGATAGAAAATGTCAGATCTTCGTTTCCATAGCAGAAATCTGAAGGAACAAAAAGTAAAGGCACACCATCAGAGTGGATTCAGCGGGAGATAAAGAAGCACCTATTACTCCTAATGTTATAATTCCAGTACATACTATAGCTTTTTCTTGTTAAATTTTATTCCTACACCGTGAAAACTACTAATTTCTTCATCTAAAGGGAATGAAATTCTGTTTTCTAGTTTTGAACAATCAGATGTAAAATAAAAGTACTTTTCTGATGTGTTTTAAAAAATCTCAGATAATAGAAGACACTGAAGGGCATTTAAATTGTCTGAGGTTGAGGCTTTATCCTTGAGTTGTCTCTGGTTCTACACATTCCATGATAATAAAAGACCATTTTGGAGGGTTATTCACTTAAGAGTTACCCAAGATAACCCAACTTTCTGAAAACTGCAGTGCTAGAGCAATGGTCTACTGAGCATCATTTTAATACAGTTTTCATGGCAGGTAATTCCCTACTCTTTAGGATTCATAAGAAATTTAAGGAAAAAAAAAGTACTCATTCAATTTCGACTACTGTTTAATTTACTTTTGCTACTTTGATTTAGCTATATATACACACACATTTAAGTATATGTATATGTGTGTATTTTATATATATACACACACACACACACACACACACACACACACACATATTTAACAATTGCAATGAGAGAAAGAATGTCAAAGCAAGTTTTGCTTTTACCTAATGACTTAAGAGGCTTCTCAGCTTTGACCAGTTCTAAGATGTCTAATATGTCTGTGGTCTCTCCCTCTAGGGACTGCAGCAAGTCAAACAGGCACTGAGCTGACACACCTTTGCTGGGCCCATTATTGGCAGCATCCTGATAAAGAAAAACAATTTTAGTTTATTGACTCCCACCACCGTACAACTATAGCTTGACAGGAATTCAAATTTTATAAACGCTATTACCAGTAACAACTACAACATCTACCTGGAATTCAGTTTACATAATTCTGCATCCAGCAATGCTGTGATTTTGGAGTGGTACACCTGACTTTTAAGGGATCTATTAAATTCTAATCTAGAACAAAAGAGGTATTTGTAAAAGCTCATAAAAATACAGCAATATATGAACTTCCAAAAAGTTCATATCAATGATTCCTTTAATCGAAGATGGTAGAACTAAGGAAATTTCTACAATTGATTGGTTGAATACTACAAATATGTTTGAGGAACATATACTTATTTTAACTAACAACCCTGGGAATTTCACAGGTCTTCTTTGATAATGTATCTCCACATGGAGATACTTACAGTTTCAAATCTATTTAAGATGGCTTCAAATAATTCATTGAAACAACAAATCCTTATGAAGTTCTTGTGTGTCAGGCACCACGCTATGCACTGAAGTTATAGAAAACCAAAACCAAAATGCAAATAAAACAACAATACAACAATAACTAAAACCAAACAAACAAGCAAAGACAAAAACATACAAAGGTCTTGCTTTCATGAAGATTAAATTCTGTTGGTTGAGTGTGGTAGAAATTCATGTTAATAAAACAAATACATATAACGTGATATGGTGGTAAAAACTCTGAAGAAAAAGAAAAACAAAGCAAGGTAGGTGGTAGAGAGTGACAAAAAGGAATGAAAATTGGCAAACTTTCCTTTTACCATTTTCTATTTTCCATCTCTTTTATGAATTGAATATTTAAAAAACTGTAGAGTTGGTCTATTTATGTGTTAGGAGCTGAGATGAAAGCTGAAGAGGAATGTTGAAGAGAAATGATATGCTTGTTGAAAGAAAACTTATTTATGGTATGCATGTCTCATTGGTTAAAGAAAGAGAGCTGAGAGACTGAATATACAAGCTGTCAATGACTAGATCATACATAAAAATAGAACTTTGACCCACAACCTGCAGCAACCTTCTCAGGAAACCAACCCATTGTCTACAATAACCAGCCCAGGAAGCCAGCCTAAGTCAGGCTTGTACGAAGTCAGGCTACTAGCTCCAGTGGTGATCAAACAATAACCTCTGTAACAATTGACCCAAAGTAACCAGGACTTGCATAATAACTGAGAGCTTTCCTAATTTTTGTCCCTGCTTCCAACTTAGGACCAACCAGAGAAAGCCCAATATACACCCCTAACACATCATTTATAAGATGCCCCACTTCTAGTTAGTTCACCTGCAGCTTCCCCAGGACAATAGCTCCAATCAGGACATACCTGAAGCCTCCACTTTTTTTCAGTATACAGCTTTCCCACTCCTCTGCCTGCCTTTGTATCTCTGCCAAAACACAAGTGATGGTAGCCAACTCCTTTGGCATAGTAAGCTCTAATAAATAACCTTGTTTTTCTAACTTTGTTGGTCTTCATTTTTTTTTCCCACAGAGCTTACTCACAGGAAATTCCAGGAGAGGGGCCACACTAGCAAACAGCTGGAGCACAAAGGGTTTCCGGTGTAGAATATAGAACTGGTGACAGGCAAATTCGATGGCTTGACGCAGCTGGGGATTGCTTTCATAGTCAGAGTACACCTATGGAGAAATGCCAGATATTTGAAAAATGCCTTAATAAAGTATCAAAGTTGTATTCGCTTTTAAAACTCATGGTCATAGGAAGCTTGGAGGGAAATAGCTAACTTCGTAAACTGGTAGAGAGGAATGTAAAATGGTATAAACTTTCTCTAGATAAATTTAGTGATACACCTCAAAATGCTAAAAATCTAAACATACTTCTTTTCCAGGAAGTTTGTGACTAGGAATTTATCTCAAGGAAAGGACTAGACACTTGTATAAGCATGTATATATAAGAATGCCTGCTGCAAGACTGGTTATAACAATGGAAAACTTGAAACAAATTATTCATAAATATTACTTGCTTAAGTGAATTACGGTATATACAAACCATAGCATACTGTGTAGTAATTTAAAAAATGCTGTAAGGCTAAATGTAGCTATATAAAATGCCTACGATATTCTTAGTGCTATATGAAAAAACTAGGTTACAAACTTGAAAATATATAATTCTGTGTGTGTGTGTGTGTGTGTATGTGTGTAGGAAAGAGTGCTAGGATTTGGAAGTATAAACAACGATTACCTGGGAGAAAGGATTTTAAGTGGTCCTTATTTTTGCTTTAAACTTTCTTCATCTTTTCAATTTTGTAATGAACATTCTTGCTTTTGGTAATCAGTAAAAAAATACTTACTAAAAAATAGAGAAAATTGCAACTATCTAAAAATGGGGAAGAGAGTCGTGCAATAGCAACTTTCTTGCCCCCATAGGTTTAGCAAACTTCACTTTGTATAAGTATGTGTTGTGTTCATAATTTTTATCAAAACTTCCTCAAAAATAAAGAACTAGGATGAGCCCCTGCGCCCTGCCTGATTTTATTTAGTACTCCTAAATGTAGCCAGCTATACATTAGACACGAGTAAATAAAAATTGTTCGCTAAATTACCTTCTCAAATCCCATTACATCATATTTACTGGGAATGAAAATCTCTATTCAGTTAGAAGTCAGGGAATCTCTTGGGAGAAACATCAGCTAAACACTTGCCATACATGTGACTCAAGAACAGAAGTCCTCAAACTTTCTAAGGCAGTGGTCCTCAACCTTTTTGGCACCAGGGACTGGTTTCATGGAAGACAATGTTTTCATGGACCAGGGTGAGTGGGGGGGATGGTTTCAGAATGAAACTGTTCCACCTCAGATCATCAGGCATTAGATTTAGGAGCATGCAACCTAGATCCCTCACATGCACAGTTCACAATAGGGTTCTGGCTCCTATGAAAATCTAGGGGTGGGGGTTCCTTACAGGCCACAGACCAGTACTGGTCCATGGCACAGAGGTAGAGGCTTCCTGTTCTAGGACATCAAAACTACCTGAAGGTCTTGTCAAAAACACAAATTACTGGGCCCTGATCTCTGAGTTTCTGATTCAGTAGACCTGAGATGGGCTCCAAGAATGTGCATTTCTCTTTCTTTAAATTTTTTTTCTTTTTAGAGATGGGGTCTTGTTATGCTCCCCAAGCTAGTCTTGAGCTCCTCACTTCAAGAGATTCTCCCACCTTGGCCTCCCAAAGCACTGGCATTACAGGTGTGAGCCACCACACCTGGCTAGAATGTACATTTCCAACAAGTTTCCAGTTGATGCTGATGCTGCTGGCCCAGGGAGTACAACTTAAGAATCACTGTCCTAGACTAAATGGGAAATATCCCAAGTCTGGGGCTCTCAGAGTAGAAAGGAATATTGTGAACTCTTGCAAATTTATGGGGAGATTTCATTTGTTGCCTTCTGTTGTCACAAAAGAAGATAATAACTCCATCATTAAAAAGTTTCAGTATAGATCTAGGTGAGCAGCTAGATATAAGCAGTACTCATGTTAATTTTCTGGTTAGGAGAGGAGGTTCTGGGCACCTGCAGCATGGTGGGGAGAATCCACTGGTAGCCGCTGAGAGAGAAGAGGTGGTTGAAGTGCACCGCGGTATTGATGACGGTGGCAGCGTACTGCCTGAGCAGGGCACTGTCTTCTGGGTGGAGGATCAGAGCCCCGTTAAAAACATTGAGGAAAAGCATGATTTCGTCTCCCCATGGAAACTCGCTCGGCATGCCCAGGAACATTTCCTCCAGGAGCTGGATCCACAAGCTTTTCTGAAGAGTGTCGAGGCCAAACAGTTCCTTTCCAGCTGTGAGAACATGAAACAGCAGAGACAGAATTAGCCCCACACCAATCCTGTCAGCCTGGGAGGTGATCAAACCCAAGGCGCTGCTGTTCTCCGTTTGTTCCACCTCCAGGATGTGAAGATCTACTGCTGAAATGTTTTCCAGCACAATATTACTGGCCTTAATACAGCACTTCCTGTTTCTCCGTGGACTTTCATCATCACCTCTTAACTAACTGTGGGTAAGGCAGAGCAGGCATTGGCAGCGTTTTACTGCTAAATAAGCTGTCAGTTGGAGAAAAATAAATTATTTCAGCTAGAAAATGGCAGGGATGGGACTACTGCTTGGTCTTTTAATTAATGGTCAGAGGCTACAGCTCTATCTACTCCTGCTGAAGCTGAAGCTTTTTTTTTTTTTGGAGATGGAGTCTCACTCTGTCACCCAGTCTGGAGTGCAGTGGCGCAAATCTTGGCTCACTGTAACCTCCATCTCCTGGGTTCATGTGATTCTCATGCTTCAGATCCCTGAGTAGCTGGGATTACAGGTGCCCGCCACCATACCCAGCTAATTTATTTTTTTGTATTTTTAGTAGAGACAGGGTTTCGCCATGTTGGCCAGGCTAGTCTCGAACTCCTGACCACAAGTGATCTGCCTGCCTGGGCCTCCCAAAGGGCTGGGATTACAGGCATGAGTCATTTTGCCCAGCCTGTCTGAAGCTTCTGGATGAGGGCAATAAAGCACAGGGATGCTAATTTAATTGTCTCAAATTAATAACCGAGTAACAGAGCAAGGCTCCAAAGTGGGTCTCTTTCTGTGTCTATGTCTCTTTCTCTCAATTGAGGCATTATTTAGAGTAAAATGCAGAGATTTTAAATGTGGAGTTCATTGAATTTTGACAAAAATATGCACTATGCACTCATGTAAGCAACATTCAATCAACATACAGACAATTTTCATCACCCTTCTGCCCCTTTCCAGGAAATTCATTTCCTCCAAATCCAGAGGCAACCACCATTCTGATTTCTATCATTCTAGATGAGTTTTGCCTCTTTTTGAACTTCACACAAATACCTGGTCCTTGTTTAGTCAAGTATTCTCCTACCCCAACAACACCATCCTACCCACGCTTCAACTGCTGATGATTAGCTTAGAGCAGTGGTTCTCAAAATTGGGTGCTTGGGATAGCAGCATAAGCATCACCTGAGAACGTATTAGAAATGCAAACTCTTGGGCCCCATCCTGAAATGCAGAGGTGGAGGGCGGGGCCCAAAAATCTGTGTTTCAACAAGTCCTCCAGGGGTCTCTTGTGCAGACTCAGGTCTGAGAGCCACTGGTTTTACGGCACCCTCTGCTGATTCAGATGCTCTCCATTTGAGAACAAAACAAGTGCGTTAGAAAAAGCCCCAGAGAGGCAATGTTTCTTTGATACCTTGAGGATCACTGAAGAGTGAAAACTCAGCATCAATAGCACTTCGAGGGAATGAGGGTAGGCGGAGGAGGTCTTCCTGAAGCATGGAGACATGGGACTGTTTGTGGGCTGTGGGGATCTTCTGGGTTAGGGAGATGAGAAACAATACCCGCCCTACTTCTTCCAGCTTCCGGGTGAACACCTGGAGAAAATAAAAGCAGGAGCAGACAAAAAGGAGAATTAGAAACTCCAGATTTACAGAGAGAAGAAACTGAAGGAAAAACCTTTAATGGCAAACTGGGTCGATAAAGTGGGAAAAGGGGAAAAGTGAAAAGAGGGAGACGTGGTTTTTTTCCTTTATCAGAAGAAAGAGCAAACAATACTTAATTGCCTCTCACTTCCTTCTGCCTGCTTTACAGAAGGAAATGTAGGAAATGTTCCTTATGGAGTTTTAGGCTGGAGAGGAGCATAAGGCAGGCATTGTCAAGAATAGTTCAATATCAAATAGAGCCCATTTGTTTGGATGCTATAATATGGAAGACCTTCACTAACAGGGAGCCCGTCAGTCAGTTCCAATTGCTTCTACCATTGCCACCAATGCCTTAAGCTGTTTCCTGAGAGTTCCGGGTTTGTCTTTTAAAAGAACAAAGACTGATGTGAGATCCAGGAAAAACCTATCTTGGGACAGAAGCTCATGGGTCCTTGATTGGCGCTCCGAGTTTAAAGGGCATACACATGGGGCTCTTGGTTCTCAGGTCCTAGTCTGTTGATGATTAGGAAGTTTATATGCAGTGAGTAGCTACTGAGGAAACTTCTGAGCTAGACTCATAGGCCTCCATATTATAATCTCCCTGAGGAACTTAGAAGTCTAAAGGCTCTAACTTGAAGTGTACATGACAGCAAGAACTCCATTTGATGGCATTCTTTGACAACTTGTTCTTAAACATGATGAACACACACACACACACACACACACACACACAGGGAGAGGGGGAGAGTGAGGGAGAGAGAGACACTAGGGAAGCACCATTATTGATTAGGGTTTTAATTATCTTATCCTAAAATCATGGGCTGGGGTAATTTGGGGAGAATGGTTTTAGAAATTGTTTATATTTAAGATGTAACAGTTTTGCCCAACATCTCACACCTTGCAACACATTCAGTATTTTCTTTCTTTTAAATAGAATGTAGGTAGTTAATGGTAGCTATATTTTTAATTACTTAAGTGGTCTAATTCTATGCCATTCTCACTCATTTCATGAAGATGTTTTTGGATATTTTGATGCCAAATTATTATCCTTGATATGTACAGAAAATTGAAATGATCAAGTATCCTGAAATTCTTTAAAGATTTTATTTAAACAATGAATGCAATAAATATGCAATATTAAAATTGTATCATTTTTAGAATTGTGTACTAAAGTTATATTTTGCATGCAGAATAGTGACTTTCCTTAAGCTCAAAGTCTGATTTGAGATTAGATGTGAATATTATTCTGTTCTTCAACCTTAAACCTAAGTACAGCTGCTAGACTATATCTCTTCCTGTTTCAAGATAAATTAATAACATGCCCAAGGTCAGATCCCCGGTCAGAGGCAGAACTGGGACGAAGTCCAAATCTTTGAACTTTAGTTTAATGCTTTTTTTTTTTCAGGCATACTAGAGTGACCCCTTTTACTTTGTAGCCAGCTAGTGTAAACCACTGGGATAACTTACATAATTACATTATGTGTATTTCCAATCCAATTTTACAGAATGTGAAATGAAAATCTACATTTAGAAAATAATAGGTAAATAAATTAGAATATTTCTATTGTTTATACTCAATAATTCATCATTACACTACTCCAAGTGAGTGTTTCTTAACACCTTTAAGCAATGATCCAATTTGTAAATCTTATACTATTTGGGGGAACAATTTATTGAGTAAGGGCCAACTATGGTCTCCAGAGAGGGTCATAATGGAATCATAGAATCTCAAAGTTGGCAATATATGAACAGATATCTACTCCAACAACATGACAAAACCATGAAATAAAACTGACGTGGTCAGACACCTGTTTCTGAATGAGTTCCTGTCCCTTCTCCGGATGCATATGTACAAGGTTCAGCTGGGGAGATACTGACCTCCGGAAAGGATAAATATCTCGAACATAGGTCTGTGTGGATTACACAAAGAGAAAAAAAAAAGAGTTCAAAAGATTAAACATTTATTCTCATTTCTTCTTTACCCAAAGGTCTAAGTACTAGGATGCTATGCCAGGAAAAAAGCAGCTAAAGGCAGTGTACTAAACAACTCTTTGGAAGATCACTGTAAAGTGATGTCAGCAAGCATCCTGAGGCCCCTTCTGCTCATTTGATCAGGTCAGCATGGTCATGTTTAACATGGTAGAACAGAGATGCAAAATGGCATTCAAATTCCAAATAGACACACACAGGTATTATAAGGGCAATGTAATTTTTCATGTAATAATGATCAATAACTAAGTGTCTTATCTAGCTTATCTCATTTAACTATTACAACTGCTCTAGCATGGATACCATTATCATTACCTTCATTTTACACAAAAGAAAACCAAAGGGTAGAAAGGTGAAGTTGCCAGTCAAAAGCCCCACTGATAGTAAGATGGTGTGACCCAGGTGGTCATCATGCCTCCCTGATTATGAGCCACCCTCAGGTAGGCATGATAAGTCTTTGGCACAACTCAACAGGGATGTCATTACTGGTGTCTTACCTTATTGTAGTGGATAAGGTTCCATCGTTTATCCATAAGAAAATAATGTGTTGACTGGGATTCTGGGATGTTAAAAAACTCCAGACACTCCTAGAACAATAGCAACAAATTTTACTAAATGTTTACCAGGAAGATATTATGTCCTAGGTAGTAAGCTGACAGATACAAATTTCGAAAAAACAAGGTAACCTCTTACGAGGATTATATATATATATTGATGTCTTACATAAATTGTATACATTAGATATGTGTGTGTCTTATATAAACTGTATACACTAGATATGTGTGTGTGTATATATGTATACACACACACACACACACACACACACACACCATGGCTGCATATATACCCACACAGAGTTATCCAAAGAATGGTACCATAAAGACTGATAATGTGATATAAACCATCTGCTCTCATAGTGTCCAAGACGTACGATTATAAATCAGACTGAGTGATGGACTGTGGAGGAACAGTGGCACCTACTGGTCTCAGCATCAGGAAGAAAACATGTTTAGAGAAACATTTAGGAATAATATAAACTATCATGCACTGTGCACATTATATAGTATATACTAGGTATAGATAACTTGTATAACCTGAACCAGTATCTCAGTACTGTTGAAAATGAAACTGAGACTAGAGAAGTCCTATCACTTGATTTAGGTCACACTGGTTGTGGTGAAGGCAGCGTTTGAATGTACTCTGTTTGCCTTCCTGCTATCCCACCATTCATCATGAGTATAGAAATGGAGTAGTTGTTGAAGTTGGGCCTTAGAAATTCTCTGGAGATGTCTGAGTGAAGCCAAAAGGAGCAGTAATGACCCTTTCCACTGAAATAAGATGCATGAGTTTGGAAAAGTTGATTTTTTTCCAGAGGTCTCTTCTACTTACATCTGGGCCCAGAACTGTGTTCCTGAAAATCAGATTACTGACAGTTTACTGACTAAAGTCAGTAGAAGTGGGGAAAATTATGGAAGGAAATAGCATAAGGGAATAATAGTGGGGCAGATTTTAGAAGAGTAAAGAAATGCATAAACATCCATTGAAAGATAGAAAAATGCCATTTTCTTCTAAAATGAATCTTCAATGAGGTGGCCATAGCATTGTCCTTAAAAAAATTATTTCTGTTAAAAGTCATTCCTACCTTCAACAGGGCTTCAAACTGAGTGTCTTCATGGACTGGTAACTGGGTTGGGATATCGCACTCATTCTGTCCATGAACTACCAAGGTTTTAGTACCTACGAAAGATAAAAAGAATAATAAACTGACTTTTGCTATAGGAAAATTTGTATTTCAAAGCATAAAGTATTAAAATATTAACAATAATCTGATGTTTTTACTGTTAATTACAATACTTAATTCATAGTTACATATATATTTATTTATTTATTTTTTATCTGGAAGTTTAATATTAATACATATATATTTTAAATATATTCACTTATTAAAAGTGATAGGTATGGAGTTCTCAATACTTTTTAAAAAGTTTTATTTTTAGTAGAGACAGGGTTTCGCCATGTTGCCCAGGCTGGTCTCAAACTCCTGACCTCAAGCAATTCACCCGCCTCAGCCTCCCAAAGTGTGGGGATTACAGGAGTGAACCACCACGCTCGGCCAAGTTCCCAATACTTCTACCTGTCTTTTACATGCATAATTGTATTTAAATCTCACAGCAACCCCATGATGTGGGTATTATGATTTTTATCTTACAAATGAGGAAAAAGAGAAATGGAATAACTTAAGAGATATATTTATTTAGTGGAAGAGTTAGACTTCAAACCTCAAGCATTGCAACAAGTAATACATCCCTGTTTTCTAGATGAGGTGACCAGGCAATAAAGGTTAAGAAAATATAGACAGAGATATTAGCAAAACCAAAACAACTACTTGAAATGTAGCTTAAAGCTACATTTTCTGTATTCTTCTTGGCTGATTGAGACAATATTTATTCTACTTCATTCATTAAATTACAAATATTTGTGAACATTATGATATACATTGACTTTTAGTGAGTTGTCTTTAAGTATGTTAAAAATAGGAGTTTCTTCGCTATAATAAAAACTGATTACTTTTTTTGGATAATCTACAGAACGTATACATACACAATTATCATTTATTGAATGCTTATCATAAGCCAGGTGTGGCAGCAAGTATTTCACATATCTCAACTCATTTATTCCTCACAATCGTGAAGTATGAATTATATCCCTATTTTATACACAAGGAAAGAAAGCTTTGAGAAATGATGTACTTCTTCACAGTTAATACTAGTTATGTGACTAATAAATGGCAGTGCTATGATTTAAACACAGGCTTCTTTGCTGAGAGAACCTGTGTTCTCATCTCTACATAACTCTGTCTTTCACTTTTATTCAATACATGTATCATCTCAAATTTTCTTAGTCACTGCACAAGGATAAAGGGATTGTCAAAATCTTTGTCTTAAGGCAAAACAAGCTATCTGAAGTGAAAAGGAATCGTATCTTGAGTTTACATCATGCTTCATGTTCTTTTGTAATGCTCCTTCTTCCTGCTTTCCCCTTTTCCAATTTTTCATAAAGCCTTCTCTCATGGAGTTTACAAAGAACTGGAGTCCATGCCATACAAACAATATTATTCTCCTTGCACTGCCAAAAATTCACTCAAAAAAGCTTTCAGTTCAGCTGGCTCTCTGCGATAGACTTAAATAAATCTTCAACCTTGGCAGCCCTTCAAGGACTGATTCATGCGGATCTCAGTTTTGAGTCTCCCTTTTCAGCTGGCAACCGCTGACTTTTTAAAGGGTCTATTGTATTTCCTCTGATTATATTAAACAAAAATTCTTTGAAGCACTCAATACGGCGGGCTAGGACTCTGAAAATTTTCTCATGAATGAACGAGCCTCTTAGTCTTTCAAAGGACTATTTATAATTTTTTTTTTTTTTAAGTTATGTTACTAAAAAGTACTAGTGGCTTACCTGGCATTGAAGCGGTCACCAGGAGCTTCACCTCGCACTGCTCCTTCTTCATTGTCTGCTTGAGATCCTTGAAGAAGAGGCCCTCCACGTAACCCACCACCTCCCACAGGAATGTCAGGGTGGCTGAAATGGCATCCATCCCCCACTCGCAGGGGGTCCGCACAAAGTACATGATTAATCCTACCTAGAAGTCAGGATAAGAAGAATTCACAAAGCTACAATAATCCTGAGCTCACATTCTCATTTCCTTAGCTTTTCTTGTTTTAAACTCGATCTTCTGTGCCTTCGTATTCTCCGTTCAAATGCTTCTGTAACACTTTCAACGTTACCAGGAGAGGGCATAACTGGAAAACTGACCACACAGGCTGCTGTACATTTTCATATATCACTAAAATGGCGAATTCTTAAGAAAAAAGCAGACCATTCCCCCCGCCCCCCACCCAGGCATCATGTCACTTGGTAGCTAGGTACTTAAGCCATCCAAAATTCATCTGTATATGAAGTTTGCCCAAGCACTATTAGCAGCTTGGATTATGTCTAATAGTCTCAAAGCTAAGAGCACTCTACTTGGCTAAGTTGGTGAACTTCAAAATTTTTGTGTGTCTTCTTTTTTTTGTTTTTAAATTTAGGGGTACACGCGCAGGTTTGTTACACAGGTAAATATGTCATGAGGTTTGTTGTGCACATTATTTTACCAGCTGGGTTGTTTGCATACCTTCTAATGTAATTTGGAAAAACTGTGTGCCCTTTTGCACTTTTTAAAGTTGACATCTAACATGTCTCATTTGAAATTTATTTTTTATTAATAGGAGGTAGAATATGTTCAGCATTCTATACATTGAAATAAGATGACGACTGACTATAATTGGAATAGTTGATGAAATAAGTTTCAATTATCTTATTCAATAATGTGCAAATATTCAGAAAGAAATAGTGTACTTTTTTTTTTCTTGTGTGTTTTAGCCACTGTTTCTTCAAAAATTTTGTAGTCCTGGAAAACTTTCTAGTTATGTTGAAAGAATCAGAGTTGCAAACCTAATTTGTTTTGGTGTTCTAAATGCTGGACACCCTAAGAATGGCCAACTCTCACCCTTAATAGAAATTTATAAAACATAGGACCAGAAAGAAAGTTCTATGGGTTAAAGTGCATTGATCAATCAGAAAAATCGATTTCTTAAAACTATTAATAACATAGAATACAGATTCTTTCTCCAACCTACATGCCTGTCAGTGCAGCCTGGTAAGCTCTGGGATGATGGGGTGGGTCTTCCTTGTGTGCGCTAGAATAATGGTTGAGATGGCAGATTTACTCAACAAGTGTTAGTGCGTATCTGTAAGTTGAGCATTTGGAGATTTATTTCTTTTAAAACTATCTGGGCATCAAGGTCTTTTAAAAATATTTTTGTTGCGGAGCTAAAGAATGGAGGAGAGCAATGGTCTGGGCAAGCATTTCTCCTATTCAGTGACCTGGGGGAAGAGGCAGGTACACGGACAAACGAAAGAAACACTGAAAGCACTCTCGCCTCCAGTCCCTGTTTGGGCTCCTTCCATACCAACCTGGATGCAGTGTAAATTTTAGCAGGGCACACACTTAAACTGAGGGAGGCCCTAACATTTCGCTTTCCAAATCCACCTTTGGTTTTTGTATGGTGTAGATAGAACCCAGAAGTAGTGGATGTTTGGCTGGAAAGCTTTCCAGATAGAACGGCCATAGGCTGTTGTCACTGAGCGGGTTGCTGTAGCTGGTGGACTTCCTATGTTAGAGCCATATGGGACTCATGGCAAGAACTCAAGGGGTCTAAAGCACCCAAAGAAGCTGAGGGGAGGTTGAATCTCCCAGCAAACACTTCCAGGAGCAGACAGGCTTTGAGTGACAGTAGCCATGGGCTTGAGTTTGTGCTCATCCAGCAACCAGCCGAAGAACATGGTCTCACAAACGAACGACTCAGATAAAATGCAAGGGGTAAGATGTGAACGAAGGTCTTTATTCTACCCAACTCCAAATAGCTATAGAGACAAAAGCAGTGGGAAGGAGGGAGAATTCCTAGAGACTATGCATTTTTATCCAAGAGAGAGTGAAAACCACCAAAAAGTACTGTTTATGTTTTGGTACCAGTCTGAACTTAAATCTGGATTGGACATTTATTCATATTTTTTCCCTTGGCAACCAGCAAGTAGACACTCAGGAGGAAGATGACCAAATTAGTCTTAGACAAGAGAAAGGAATTACAAATGTTCTCTGCACATGGGGGTTGTGGTGTGAGTTAAATTTATCACCCTGCTAGGGATGCATATGCATATGGATAACTGAAGGAGTATGCCCAGCACAGACACTAATTTGGCTATTGGTCTGCCTGGATTAAGGGGCAGTTTCAAGCAGTAGTCATCAGGTTCTAGTCCCCAAACTGCATATTCATTTGGGGTTTACAAAAAGAATGTGAAGAACTGGTAAGTCTCAGAGGATCAGGAAAGAACTGCCAGGGCAGTTAAAACTGTCATAGACGCTGCCATGGAAAAATACATACACAGAAACTTTCCATCTAGGACAACAGTTGCATCTGTGTGTGTGTGTGTGTGTGTGTGTGTGTGTGTGTGTGTTTAAACACAGATAGGAAAAGAGGAAAAAATACTAAAAGAACACATGTTTTCTCAACAGAAAACCAAAATAAAGAACAAACATAAGGAAGTTATATATTGCTAAAGGAAGACAGAGAGGAAACTGACATTTCTATTGACTGCCCTCCATATGCCAAAGAGTATGCCAGGCAGGGGCTTCCCTACACAGAAAGTATAGGGAAGCGTAGGTGAATTTAGTTGACCAGAATTTGCCTTTAGTGACATAATTAATGGAAATTTATTGAAAAAAAATCTCCTAAGACCTTTTCATCATGGTGCTGCTTCGTAATTGGAAATGAACATTTATAACTCACCAAATAGTTGAATAGGATGTGAGATGTCTGAGCAGGAAAGTCTCCAATATTCAAGAGAAGTTTGCGCAGCATGTACATTAACTCATCCTGAAAGAGGAACGGAATTTTTAATGTTTCCTTCAGCTGCCATGCTGTAGAAAATAAAATTAACTTCTTGAAAATTCGGGATTGGGGGAGGGATTTTTCTTACTTTTGCCCACATATTGATTTTAATTATGTTCAAGATTTTCATATAGTATAGGTGATACTTGTTAAGTAGTATTTAAACCATCTGGAACACCTTTCTCCTAGGAGCTAACACTTAAAAATCACTGAGCAGCACACGACTTTGTTCTTTTTAAATTGACACTGTGTGTGTGGGTCACAGGCAAGTCACAGGAAAGTTGTATATTTAGTTAACTCTATTGGCCATGGTAGCCTGATATGATGGGAATGTGAGGAGGACCTATGTTGAAAAATCATTAAACAAACCAGGTTTTTGTGAACTTCCTAATTCTGCTTTCTAGATTTTGAGTCAAAGAGAAAAAGAGAGGTTACGAGAGGATAGATTGAAATGTCTGTAATTAACTTTACCTTTCAGAAACTAAACTTAACCTTCCAGTGAATATGACTATAGTATATAAATGAACAGATAATTTTTAATCATCGCTGTATTTTGCCATTGCTTGAAAAACTACTTTTATTTGGCATATTATTTCTTACAGGGTGGTCTGACAAATCAGGATTTGGGTTAATGAAAAATTTTAACATATTCTAATAATCATACCTGTATCAGACTGCCAAGCAATCAGAATTCAATGAAGGTACTCAATAGTAGGAACATTATACTTAATTTAATCTTGCAGTATTTTAGGATCCTCACTAGCAATGTAACATACACATATGGAAGCATGAATTAATGGAGAAATTAAAAAGAAAACAGCAATTAAGTATTGCTCATCATTATCATTATTTAAAAAGTACTTATTGGCTGTGTATTGGAGGGCATTGAGTTGCATGCACTGCACTACAAAGTTCTTTGCATGATTTTAACAGTGTTCACACTTGTAGCCACAGAGCTACACTAAAAAGGAAGAGGAATTTACTTGTCTATTGCTGATGGTCAGTTTTTCCAGAAAATGTCGAAGAACCGTTGATGGATCTTCAATTAGACAGTTCCATAAGACTTGTTGAGCCACAGCACTCACTTCAGAAGAGAAAGAAAGTTGAACATTTGTCTTAAATGGAGATAAGTCTATGAGATAAAGTATTTGACAATTTACAAGCTTTAGTATCTCCTTTTTGCCTTAAAAAGGCTCTGTGAACTCTTTTCTCTTTTGAAAGGTAGATATTTGTTCTCTTGGTTGTTGTCTCTGAACATTTTCATATGTAAAGAACAGGTTACCAAAAAGTGTAGGAGTTGTCTTCAGGTATCAGCCATGCTTTTGCAAAGAATATCTCTGTGAATATATGCAATTGTCTTTGTTGTGGAAATCACCCCAATAATAGCAGTAGTAAGCACTTATTAAATTGCAGTCATAGTTTATTGTTTATTTTATGGAGAAACTGTGAAGGACTATTTGGTTTTTGAAAATATGTTTTGGTTTAGAATGCATATGAATTAGGGATTTTTTTTTTCTGTCCACATGAATACTTCAAACAGTATCTCCTTCAGCAAGATAAAGTAGTTGAGCCAGTAACAATTAGGTTCTCACTTCTAATGAGGAAGTCTTAAGAATAAATAATCCTAATGAGAAAGAAAGTGCTATTTCCGTGGGAAAAGTGGTCAGGCTAAGATTGTCCAAAAGTGCCCAGACTAAGAAAGCAGGTGGGTAAAAAAGAGGGCCAGTAAACACCAAATGGTCTTTAGTTTGAACGTGTTTCCCAAATCCATTGGTTTTCAAAAGTAGGAATACAGAATTTAGCATAAATTTTATTTCAAATAAATGATACCAATTTTTGATTCAGAAACAAACCATGCAATTAAAGTTAAAGGACATATACATAATATTAACAAAAATATAAATCCAGAGCTGTAGCTTTCATGTGTCTCTACAACTAATTAAAATAGGTGTGAGTTTTTCTCACGTTGAAATTGATTACAAAAATATCTTTACATGTGAAATAAGCCAGGCACAGAAAAATAAATACTGCATGTTTTCACTCTTTGTAGAAGCTAAATAAGTTGACCTCTCAGAAGTAGAGAGTAGAATAGTGCTAACTAGAGGCTAGGAAGGGTAGGCAGGAGGGAGGCATGGGAAAGGTTGGTCAATGGATACGAAATTACAGCTAGATAGCAGGAATAAGTTTCAGTGTTCTTTAGCACTGGAGGGTGACTATAGGTAACAGTAATTTATTCTATATTCTCAAATAGCTAGAAGAGAGAATTGTGAGTGTTCCTAACACAAAGAAATGCTATTTGAGGTGAAGGATATGCTAATTACCATGATTTGATCATTACACATTGTATACAGGTATTGAAATATCACTGTACCCCATAAATATGTACAATTATGATGTATCAATTAAAACTTCAAAATGTTCATATTATTTTTATTTTCATTGCTTAAGTAAGGCAGTTTCATGCTTAAAACATGAAAAATACAAAAAAACGCAAGGAGAAAAATAAGACTGGGAAGTCCACTCATCACAGAAACAATTATTAACGGTTTGGAGTACGTCCTTTTACATACATGAAACATATACTTACGTGCATTATTTTATTTTATTTTTTTGAGATGGAGTCTCACTCTGTTGCCCAGGCTGAAGTGCAGTGGTGCGATTTCGGCTCACTGCAACCTCCGCCTTCCAGGTTCAAGCGATTCACCTGCCTTAGCCTCATGAGTAGCTGGGATCACAGGCATGTGCCACCACGCTTGGCTAGTTTTTGTATTTTTAGCAGAGACAGGGTTTTGCCATGTTGACCAGGCTGGTCTCGAACTCCTGGTCTCAAGTGATTCGTCTGCCTCGGCCTCCCAACGTGCTGGGATTACAAGCATGAGCCACCATGCCCACTCTACTTACATGTATTTTAAAATAGTACTGTATATAGAAAATATTCTTTGATATTTGGTTTTTTACTTAGCAATATATTAACACTTTTTATATTAATATTCATCTAGAATGCAATTCCAGTGCTCACGGAATGTTATCATATGGAGGTACTATGATTAACTATGATTAGGGATTTATAGTCTTTCTAAAATTTTTTATTTTAAATAATGATCAATGTACAACGTCCTTTATATAGCCCTCATGAATGTCAGGAAATTGCTAGAAGCCAGATCTATGTCAAAAATTTTTCACACTTTTAAGGTTTTTGATACATATCATGAAACTCTGTTCTAGAATGCTTGTACAGAGTTTTATACTTCATCAGCAAAGTATGAGGATGCTCTTTCTCCTGCTTTTTCGCCAGCAATAGATATTTTCATTTAAAATAATCTTTGCCAACTTTGTAGCCAAAATGTAAGATTTAGTTACTGTTTTAAACAACAATGTTGTTTCCAGGTGTTACTGGCCATTGGATTGCCTGCTTATATCCTTTGCCCATTTTTCTAATGGGGTTTTTAAAAATTATGAATGAGTTATAAGAGCTTTTCTAAATGTAATGTTAAGAAATTAACCTTTGTCATCACAAATGTTACTCATGTTTTCCCTTACTTTATTGTTTCATTTTGCAATTATTCTTTTTAGGTAGTTAGTACATCTGGAAAGGTAATCACATAAGAGAGATGGTATTAGTGGTGTCAAGTTAATAGCTAAAAGTGACTGTTTGATTTCTATGTGGCCAAATTAGTGTTCTGTTCTCTGGTCACAAACAATGCTCCTGGACCCAACTATCTATTTTAAATGCAATTTTTTGGCCATAAAGGTAGAGGGAGAAGGAAGTGGAGAGAGTGGTAGTGTTAGTGCAGTATGTTGGAAATCTTTAATTATAATATATGCATAAAACAGTTCAACACGTGGTCAGTAGATAATGTGTTTAAGAGCAACCTACTGTCTTCTATCAGATAAACAGCTTAAGAATATCACTGATGATCCAACTGTTCAAAACTGTACCTGCTACTCCATCTTCCCGCACCTCACCATCCTCCATCAGATGAACAATGGGAAGTACTGCTGCACAGATGCATGCTGGGAACACTGCTTGTGGGGGCTGAGGCACATGGTGGTTTGGCGTGTGTTCAGTGGTATGTTCCTCATCTAAAATGGGAGACAAAATCAGGGTGCTTTTCTCAGTAATGTAATTCTTTGTTGTTATTGTTGTTTTGAGACAGGGTCTCACTCTGTCACCCAGGCTGGAGTGCAGTGGCATGATCACCGCTCACTGCAGCCTCGACTTCTTGGGCTCAAGAGATCCTCCTGTCTCAGCCTCCAGAGTAGCTGGGACCACACAGGTGTGCCACCACATGTAATTTTTTTTATTTTTTGTAGAGATGAGTCTTCACTATGTTGCCCAGGTCAGTCTTGAACTCCTGGGCTCAAGCAATCCTCCCACCTCCACCTCCCAAAGTACTGAAATTACAGGCATAAGCCACTGCATCTGGCCTCAGTAATGTAATTTTAATGCAACATTTCTCAGTTCAAGGCCTACTTATTTAACAGCATAATCCTACCAATGAGAAAATGCCAACATTTTAAAAAAGATGACATTACACAAAGTGCCTCTGCATTTTATAACAAACAAAAAAACCAGCCCACTTTCCAAGTACCACTATTCTTGTTTGGTAGAGAAGCAAAGCACAGACATTCTGGGACATGTGGATCAGCTCAGAATGTTAAATCAATGAAGATAAAATTCTAAGCAGAGACTAAGACATTTTTCATAGATGCAACTGGTTGTGTGCATGTAAGTGTGTGCAAGATGGTAAGCAGTAATATGGGGTAGAAGAAAACACACACGCATTTAGGATAAGAATGACATAGCCCACTCATATTAATGTTTTCATCCTCATTGATAAATACAATAACAAATTAATAATAAATATAATTGCATATAGGAATAAAGGAAAAAGTTTAGATTTAGTAGGCGAGGAAGGTAGAAAAGGTATTTAACAGCTTATTAATATGAAAATATACATGTCATTTTTCTAAAGCACTAAAGAACTGTGAGTGTTTGATTCTCATATTAAAACTTACATGGCTATTTGGAATTTTAGAAGGCCTATGGACCAGAGGGTAAGAGACTTATACTGTCATTCTCAGTTCTGGCTTTGAGAGGTGAAGCCAGCTGAGCTTCTGGGTTGGATGGGGACTTGCAGAACTTTTGTGTCTAGCTAAAGGATTGTAAACACACCAATCAGCACTCTGTAAAATTGCACCAATCAGCACTCTGTGTCTAGCTAAAGGATTGTAAATGCACCAATCAGGACTCTGTAAAATCGCACCAATCAGCACTCTGTGTCTAGCTAAAGGATTGTAAATGCACTAATCAGCACTCTGTAAAATGGACCAATCAGCACTCTGTAAAATGGACCAATCAGTGCTCTGTAAAATGGACCAATGGATGTGGGTGGGGCCAAATAAGGGAATAAAAGCTGGAATAAAGTAAAATAAGGGAATAAAAGCTGGCCACCTGAGCCAGCAGTGGCAACCCACTAGGGTCCCCTTCCACACTGTGGAAGCTTCGTTCTTCCACTCTTCACAATAAATCTTGCTGCTGCTCACTCTTCGAGTCTGCACTACCTTTATGAGCTGTACTCACTGTGAGGGTCTGTGGCTTCATTCTTGAAGTCAGCAAGACCAAGAACCCACCAGAAGGAATAAATTCTGGACACAGCCTCATAGAAGATGCATACGGAAATCTTTAAAAATGTATATAGATATAGTGGGCCAAGCACTTCTGGAACAGTGGAGTATAGATCCCTGAAATCTGTTCCTCCATAAAAACAATGAGAACACTGTGAAATACACTTTTTTTTCGGAGCTTTCAAAATTAACCAAAAGCTTGGAACTATTTGAGGACCATGTATTAAAAAAACAAACAAACAAAAAAAAAAAAAGGAAAAAGAAACGTAAACTCTTGGTGAGACCAGTAGTATTTCTGGCATTTTAACTTGCCCTACTTACTCACCTCTCCCTCTTCCTAGGTCCTTAGGAGCCTTGAAAATTGACAACCTTGCAACCATTGTAGCTGTGAAAACCAGCAGCCTAGTAGCCACTGGATGGGCAGAGCAGTTTTGGGGCTCCCTAAAAGCCTCAACACCAGAGAATTGTCACTACCTGACCTATCTAGAACCCCATGGAAAATCCCTATTCACAGGATTTGTCTTTATTTAGCTTGACTCAAAGCTTACTTAGTGCAAATAGCTGTATCCCCAGGGCATTTACAAAAAAGAAGAGAAAAAATCAGCAACAATTACTTAACATCGTAGCTGTCTGAGGTATTCATATCAGTTGGGAGAAGCTGGAGGCTGACAAAAAACTTAAAAGGGAATTCTGGGGAATGAGATTTCTAGAGGGCTTGCAAATCACTGGCATATTCCTGGGTATCTAGATGGCTGTACATGTGTACAATGTTGTGCACATGCCCAGGAAGGACCTGAGAAATTCCTGATCTCTCATATTTGGCTAACGTTTAAACTCTACACAAACAGAAAGTACAAAAATGAAGGCTAAGGCAGAGTTTTAAACTACTGGAACACTGAAGATGTGCCTCAACACATCCAAAGTGGTCCTCAGTAAAGGCTGGAAGACCTGGAAGACTTATTAGTTCGAGGCACTTAAAATCTCTGTCTAATCATTACCTGACCACTAATGCAACCAAGTGGGGATTTCAGTGCTCATACTCAACAAAGCTTAGGGACTTTACAAAATTAGTCAAGGAAAATTACTAAACAAACAAATAGCAACACAATAACAACAAAAAACCCTCATGAGGAAAGGGGGACAATTGATTTGCAGAGTTGCCACATTATATAATTCAAATTGTCCATTTTTCAATAAAAGTTATGAGACATATAAGAAACCAGGAAAATATTGCCCATATACAGAAATAAAAGTAGTCAACATAAACTAACCCTGAGGAAGCTTAAATGTTGGACTTACTAGACAAAGATTTTGTCAGCTATTATAAATATGTTTTATTTTAATATGTTATACATTTTATATAAAACATACTATCTTATAAAGTTATAAGATAAAGGTATAAATACAACTATGTCTTTCACGTGGCATATGTTATATATTAAAATGGCAGACATAAATCTTACCTTATCCAAAACTGCAATAAATGTAAACTGACTAAATAAACAAAAGGCAAAATTAGCAGAATGGATAAAAACGAACAAATATGAATCAACTGTTATGTTCTAAGATACATAATTTAGTTTTAAAGACACAAATAAGATGAAAGAAAAGGATGAAAGAAGATATGCCATACAGACAGCAATAAAAAATGATGTGGAGTATCTATGTTAACATTAGAAGAAGTACACTGTAAGTGAAAAATTTTTACTACAGGCAAAACAGAGCATGTTATAATGATAAAATGATCAATCAGAAAGACATAACAATTATACAAATATCTGCATATCAAGATTTCATGGTATTGAGAGAAGGATTGACATACAGATCAGTAGAACAGAAATGAAAGACCATAAATACACTAATGTTCAATTGATTTTTGACAAAGGTGCCAAGAAAATTCAAGGGAGGAGAATAGTCTTTTCTATAAATAGTGCTGGGACAACTAGTTATCTAAATGTAAAATTCTAACTCATAATATAACAAATATTAACTCAAAGTTGATCACACGCCTAAATATAAATGCTAAAACTCTTAGAAGAAAACATAGGAGTAAATCTTTGCGACCTTGGATTAGACAATTGTTTCTTAGATATGACACTAAAAGCACAAATGACAAAAGAAAAAACACACACATTGGATTTAATTAAAATAAAAAACTTGTGTGCCTCAAAGTTACCTTTAAGAAAGTAAAAAAGACACTCACTTCTCAGCCTTTTGGCTAAGATCAAGTGAAGAAAGTAGAAAGACAAATTATGAAATGGGAGAAAATATTTGCAAATCATATATCTGATAAGTGACTTATATACAGAATGTATAAATAGTTCTCATAATTTAACAGTTAAAAGACGAATTACTAGGCCGGGCGCGGTGGCTCAAGCCTGCAATCCCAGCACTTTGGGAGGCCGAGGCGGGTGGATTATGAGGTCAGGAGATCGAGACTATCCTGGCTAACACGGTGAAACCCCGTCTCTACTAAAAGTACAAAAAAATTAGCCAGGCGTGGTGGCAGGTGCCTGTAGTCCCAGCTACTCGGGAGGCTGAGGCAGGAGAATGGCGTGAACCCTGGCAGCGGAGCTTGCAGTGAGCCGCGATCGCGCCGCTGCACTCTAGCCTGAGCGACAGAGCGAGACTCCTCTCAAAAAAAAAAAAAAAAAAAAAAAAAAAAAGACTAATTGCCCAATTTAAAGTGGACAAAAGATTGAATGAACACACTTTTACCAAGAAGATACACATATAGTCAATAAGCATATGAAAAGATTCTCCATATCGTTTGTCATTAGGGAGGTGCAAATAAAAATCACATTGAGTTACCACTTTACACCCACAGGGATGGTTAAAATTAAAAACAAAAACAAAAAAAAAACTAGGGACACACACTGAAATCAGCTGAGGAGGTTTTAAAAACATTGATGGGTCTTACCCTCAGAGATTTTGATTTGGTCTTAGGTATGGTTGGAACTTTTTTTTTAAGCTTCCCAGTTGGTTGTGATATACTGTAGCTAGGTGGAAAACTATTAACTGTCTAGAATAATGTATTCTGAACCCTCAGCAATATGATTACATGCAATGTAATTAAAATAGAGCCAACTTAAAAACGACATTGCTGAGGTAAATCAACAATATTTTTTTAAAGAATGTCATGCTAATTTTTTTAGAATGTCAAGTCATGAGACAAGTTATTTAATGAAGACAGTGTAATCAAGTGAGATAATGATATTAACCAGGAAGTGTTTCAAACCACGTAAGTCAGGAGAAATAAACGTATGCAAGAGGACACACCTTCAGCACTGACGGCTGAACGCACTGACCAGACTGACCCGCGGCGGAAGGAATAATTCCTGTGGGAAGTGCTGGAGGTGCAGGATGGACTCACAGACAGTCGACGGGATGCCAGATTGGTGACTTCTTCTACTGGCAAACAAAATGGGGAATGTGAACTTTGGCTTTATAACAAAACAGTTATCATTATCACATTGCTCTTATATCACAAATGCTTACTGCTCTCAGACCATAAGGCTTAAATTTTTTTGAGTGTACTTAGAAAAGGAAAAATAGCCGGGCGCGGTGGCTCAAGCCTGTAATCCCAGCACTTTGGGAGGCCGAGGCGGGTGGATCACGAGGTCAGGAGATCGAGACTATCCTGGCTAACATGGTGAAACCCCGTCTCTACTAAAAATACAAAAAACTAGCTAGGCGTGGTGGCGGGCGCCTGTAGTCCCAGCTACTTGGGAGGCTGAGGTGGGAGAATGGCATGAACCCGGGAGACGGAGCTTGCAGTGAGCGGAGATGGCGCCACTGCACTCCAGCCTGGGAGACACAGCGAGACTCCACCTCAAAAAAAAAAAAAAAAAAAAGAAAAGAAAAGGAAAAATAAAAATTAAAAAAGCTCTACAGAGGAAAGACAGAAAATATCCCCTGAAGTTTTTACAAAAGCAGGGCAGAGAATCACTCAATTCAGAATGATTAATCATTTTTTGATACCAACTGACAAACTGTACTTGTGAAGGTTGAAAGATTGGTTGCATTTACTTTAATACACCTACTGGATTCAGCAGTTCCTCAAGTCATTCATTTAATGTAACTAATGTCCACCTCTGAAAATGGCTAACTCTAAACTTCAGAAAGTTTGGTTAGTGTCAGGAAGTGAGAGAGAGACGGAAGGGGGCATATCACCTCATGTCACATAAAATTGTCAATGTTAATTTCAGAGCACGTTATTTCCCTGAGACTCAGCCCCCCAAGAAATCCTGTGTGCAGAGGGCACCTTCTTCTTCCGGCTCTGAGCTGGGCGTGCATGTGGGCTCATAGCAGGCCTCCTGGGTGATGGGGATGGCGGTGATGAGGCTCGCTTCTCGACCAAGACGTTTCTTTTCTTCCTCCTGCTGCAAGTTCTTTAAGATGTGTTCTGCCCTTTGATGGGAGCGGGACACAGCCCGGGCTGAAAAGGATTTCTGTGGAGACATAAAGGCAAGCTCATTTAATAGCAATTCTTCTGCAAGGTCACAGGCATAAAGAGTGTTCGAACGAATCACACAAATGTAGTAGTTTGTCCTCAGGAAATGTTAGGATACCCATGATCCAGTTTCATGGATATTTGTCTTTTTACCAAATTTCCAAGCTGCGTATAGTTAAGCTATTTTTTTTTTCATTCAATCAGAATGATTCTTCAAGAACATCTATAATTTCTGGAAAGAATCCTATTTCATCTTAGGATGTGGGGGGATATCAATGATTTCCTGTTTAAATATTAAGATCAAATAAAATTTATAAGTACCCCATTCCTTTCTAGAATTTTTTGATCTGTTTTTAAAAGGACATTTATTTTAGGCTGGGTGTGGTGGCTCACGTCTGTAATCCTAGCACTTTGGAAGGCTGAGGTGGGTGAATTACTTGAGGTGAGGAGTTCGAGACCAGCCTAGGCAACATGGTGAAACCCCGTCTCTACTAAAAATACAAAAATTAGCTGGGCGTGGTGGCACATGCCTATAATCCCAGCTACTCAGGAGGCTGAGGCATGAGAATTGCTTGAACATAGGAGGTGGAGATCACACCACTGCACTCCAGCCTGGGCAACAGAGCGAGACCCTGTCTCAAAAATAAAAACGAAGGACATTTATTTCATAAGGTTAATAAAATTGAAAGTCAGAACCATGGAAAGGAGGAAGAAAGAGATCTCTCATATAAGCCAGTTAGTTATATGGCTTATTTCATTTCTGTAGCTCAAGTATCTGTCACACTATAAACACTTAATAATATTTGTAGGAACAAAGTTATGGAATGAAAATTATGAGAGCTGATAGTGTTACTAAGGTTGAATATAAAATCTGACTAACAGTAGCTAAAGCATACTGGAAAAATATTAAGAAAAACTCACTCCTCCATAGATGAAGGATCAGGAACAATGAAGAAAAGAAGATTCACTGTAAAATAGCTATTCTATTCATGTCTTAATCATGATGCTTATGCCCAGACAAATTCCAAGAGCTCCAAGAGCTTTGAAGACAGAGTCAGTGGTCCCTGAGCAGAGAAGTGATCACTGGAGTTCTTCTCTAACCTCTTGAAGTAATGTTTATACACAATGGCAATTCCACATCTCTTTGTTGGTTTATAGTCACACGGTGTTTAAGAGACAGGCAGGGGATGTTGATCACTCTTCTACAGGGCTGCATTTGTAGACAATCCCTTTATGGAGGATCTTAACGTAAGACTAAAGGTTTCCTATGTTGAATGACAGAGTAGCAATTGAGAGCATTTTTATTTTACTTTTTATTTTTTATTTTTTTGAGATGGGGTTTCGCTCTTGTCGCCCAGACTGGAGTGCAATGGCACAACCTCAGCTCACTGCAACCTCCACCTCCTGGGTTCAAGCAATTCTCCTGTCTCAGCCTCCCAAGTAGCTGGGATTACAGGTACCTGCCACCATGGCCAGCTAATTTTTGTATTTTTAGTACAATCCATTTTCAGAGCCAGGTAGCTAAGCTGGTTTATTATATTAAGGCATAAGGTAAGAACTGTGGAATGAGAAAAATAACTGGATATAAAATCAAGGGACTTGATTTCAAATCTGCAGTGAGCTTGGAATACAGACTGTGGCCAGCTCAGATGAACCCATCACCTCTTCAGGAGACAAATCAAAGATCTTTATGTTGGTGGCTCAGATGCTGAAATTACTGCCCGTGTGGGAGAAGAACCAGGTGTGTATTTCCCTTCGGCAAGGTACCATCAGATATGAAGGTAGAATTAAAATAAAATGGGCATACTGTGATAGGAAAGAGTTTAAAAAACAGTTCTCCAAAGAAAGCTACAAATGCCTAGAAATGCTATGAGTAATATGGAAAGATGTTCAAACTAATTTCATATATTCAACTAACTTTTTCAAAGAAGTGTGAATAAAATAAACAGTAAGTGGTTTTTGGCCATTCAAAGTGGCAATTAAAATAATAACATTAGTTAATAAGATACTTTTCAATTCTACTCTATAAGGACAAAGTGATATGACTTTTCTGGGGATATTTTGTGAGATGCATCAAAAACCTTTAACGGTTATTATTTTATTATTGTCATAAATCCCATAGGAATTGATGCAAGGAAATAATGATAGATTTGTGCAAAGAGGTGTTCTTTTTTCTATTTTTGCTTTATTTTCCAAATTTTCTACATTACTCTTGTAATTTAGAAAAATACTATTAAACAGGTGAAAAAGGCATATTTTGAAGATCAGTGTTTTCAAAAGGTGCATATTCTTATTTTTTGTCTATAAATGGACTGTGTTCTAAATCTGACCATTTATGAGTTATATTACACATAGCAGTAATAAGAGCAGGGGTCTCAGAGTGATGTCTGTGATGATGATACTGATGATCGACAAAATGAAGAATAAACTAAGGTTCAAACAAGGAAATAGCTGCCAACTCTCTTCTTTTTCTTATTTTTTCAGGGCTAATGTCTTTAACTTGGCTTACATATTATTGGTTAAATGAGTATGTTCATTATGTAATAAACAGAGGCAAAAGGGCTACCTTTGGCCAAGAAATCAATGCCTAATGCTTTTAGTAGCTTTAGAAGGTGGCTTCTGCTTTGATTATAAAACAATACTTTTTTTTTTTTTTTTTTTTTTTTTTTAGATCTGCAAGTGCTCACTACTGGATATTATTCCCTCTATTATATTCACAAGGACAAAGACTTTTTGTGCTAAGTTTCTGTGTTATCATTACATTCTTATGATGAGAATGAACAAATTACCGCAAACATGAATTGTTCTCTTTTACATGTACACCATGGAACCTGGAGATATTGGAATGGAAATGTGTGTTACTCACAGACTGGTCTTCATTAATGGGGTCCTGGACACTCCCGCTGCACTGAGGAACCCAGGGAGGGTCAAACATTGGGACAGATGGCATTCCAAGCACCGGCGAGGGAAGGGTGAAATTGATACTGGGAGGCGGAATCTGTTAGTTGACATCAGAAAAATTAGGTGAGAGGGAATATAAGCTAGAATGAGGCTGAAGTATAATAATGACACAATCTGTCTTAGGAAGTGTTAAGGATCCAAGTGACTTCGCACAGAATGTGCAAGAATTTTAGAAAAGGGCTATTTGCCAAGATTTTCTGTTATAGAGCACAGGATGAACCTATCTGGGCCTCAGTTTACTAATTCATTAAAGGCTTTCAATCAAATGATCTCTATTTGAGTTTATCACCCATCCTCCAAAACACACCTGTAAGTTTATATATAGCAAAATGATTAGAAGATAATTCCCCAGACTTTCATATGCTTACCTCTGGAAATGCTGGTGAGATTTTGAGGTTTATAGAGACTTGATTTTCTTACTCTATACTCTTCTGTGTTTTAACTTTTTAACAGTAGGAATACATTCATGTATGTTAGGTTTACTTATATAATCAGAGAGAAAAAATTAGAATATCTTTGGCCACACACTGTGACTCTGAGGTTCAAGGGTTTAAACAAACAGTGGTTTGGGTTTGCTAATGTAACTCCTCTGTGAGAAGTATCCCTCACCTTAAAAATCTGCTGTGCTCCTTCCTCCATCCGGGGCCAGACCTGATAGCGAAACCTCCAGAGCGTGTGGAACTTGAGGACAGCGTTCAGCCTCTGCACGGTCTCTGGGTGGTGGAACTCTGACATCAGCATGTCGGACACGGCCTCAGGCACCTTCACTGCACACAGCAGGAACATGGCAGCTGGAGACAGTCAATATTTCATCAGCTATGCTTTTAAAATGCTGCTGAGTTCCCGGGGTTGGGGAGAAGTGGAAACTGCTTATATCTTATGAAAATGACTCCTGAGCTATATGGAGCTCGGCTACCAGCACTGGCAAAAGCAAACCTTTGTACCACCCACAGCCTTCCAATAGCTGGTGCGAGGGCAGCAACAACATGACATTTCAGTAGAATCACTCACGCTAAGCAAAGTTTCCTTTGACTCACAGTGAAAAGCGAATGCCAGAGGAAGCAAATGAAATAAGAAAAGTACATCTTGAAGTATGATTTTTAGGAGATGGCTAGAGTCATCTCTTAGTAACCCAAGGACAATAAATAAAGTTATCCTTTAAAAACTACCTCAGTTACATTGGCTACATTTTTAAAATTCCACATCATAGACTCTATTAGAAACATATATCCTTCCCAGAGATAGAAGAGGTTGAGAAGCCAAAAGAGATTTAATGAGTCATAATACCATGAAAAATTTTTGTGAAAAGCCAAATATCAGTAAGTGAAAGGCCAAGTTCCACGGTAAGTTATAAAGCTAATGAATAATGACTTTGTAAATAAACTTTATAATACAGATAGAGGAGCCAGTGGCAGTTATAAAAACATACCCTACATGATTATGTCATGAATCTCTCATGTTCTCTTTCACAGAGCGTAACAATGTGTTTAGGCAGTTGTCCCAGAAGAAGTGGGGTTAAATCCTAGTAGTTCTGATACTTCCCTGCCAAAAGATCTTGGGCAAGCCTCTTAACTTCTCTTAGATTCCAATTTTCTTTATTGGTAAACCTCCCAGAAAAACAATAGTGATAATGATAATACTAATACCTTTTAGAACAATAATAATACTAATACCTGCTTCCAAAGTTGTTTTTAGAAGAAAATAAAAGAATATATAAGAAAGTGCTTTGTGTAGTGAAAAGTACAACACATTTCTAATGCATGTTGTTTTTTAAAAATAGAGGCAATATAGTTGTAATGGGAAGGGCATCTATCTGTGCAGTCAGAAAATCTGGGTTTGGTGTCCTTGCCCTTTGAGCTGTGTGAACTTAGATACGTCCTTCCAATTCTCTGACTCAAGTTGGCTCATCTATAGAATGGTTTATCAATAAGATAACGAATATGATCTAGTTCTATAACAAATGCAAGTTATTGTAATCACTATCTTTTGATAATATTTTTCTTTAGCCTACCAGGTGCTTAAATCTCCACTCTTTCTCCTTTCTTTGCTTTTCTTTAAAATGTACTCTACCCTGCCTCACTTTTTAAACACTCGGCTCATTCTTTAAGTCACTGCAGAGTTCCATCTTAATCTCATGAAAAAGATTTCTTGTAATGCTCACAAATCCTCAGATCCAAAGGTAGTTTTATAGCAGTTGTTTCCTTTCAGTTTTTAATACCTTCATAACAATCACCTTGAAGAACTATTTTCCTTTGCTTCCACAGCTTGAGATTATTTGAGTTGTGTACTTTTCTCATCACTTTTTCTAGCTGGGCTTCTTCCTTTGGTCCTCTAGACGTGGAGAAGACCAGTGGCTTAGTGGTTATTCCTCATCTCTTTCTTCTCTACTGACCCTCTCCCAGAGAGCCCATCTACTCTCATTATTTCAGCTGTCATGTATATCAACTTGTTCCCCAAGTTTACCTCTAACTTTGGCCTTCCTCTTTAGTTTCAGTGTCATGTCACCAACCATATATTACCAACTCTCCTTCATCTAAAAATTACTATTTCTTTTTGAAAAAATTTTAAAAATTTATTTTACAAATATGTACATAATATTTGTACACATAGAGTACATGTGGTAATTTCATTATAAGCATAGATTGTAATGATCAAGTCAGATTATTTAAAATATCCACCACCTCGAGTACTTAGTTTCCATGTGTTGGAAACATTTCAAGTCCTGTCTTCTAGCTATTTTGAAATATACAATACTTTGTTGTTAATGATAGTCACACTACTGATAGTCACACTACTATGCTGTTGAACATTAGGACTTATTCCTAACTGTACATTTGTACCCATTAGCCAGCTTCTCTTCATCCTTCCTCTACAACAAAACACTATTTTTAAAACCAAAGTATTCCACATATTGCTGCAGTATCAAACTTAGTAACAATTCACACTCTGTATACAAGATTGCTCTATGGCTCAGAAGCCACGACTGGTTTTTCACAATTCAATGCAAGGTCCACAGTCATAAGCCTGATATTCAAAGCTGGTTACAAGCTGAGTCCTACTCACCTTTCTAATATTATGCACTCGTGACCCCTCTACAAAAGCCATGCTAGTCTTCAGTCTCCTCAGGCTTCCCAAAAAGCCCAGTGCACTTCCACATTCACCCAGTTTTGCACCCACCATTTTCCCCGCCTGGCTAACTTCTAGGTGTTCTTTAAAGGCCAGTCCATTTGTTTATATTTAAGTTTCCATGACTATCCCACATTTGGGAAGTGTGCCATTCCCTGAACTCCCATAGTGCTCTCTGAGAAGCAAAAACCTAAGCTTTAATGTGAACAAAGATATTTTACCAAGATATTTATTGCAGTGTGGTATAAAAGAGCGAAAGGCTGGACTCCACCTAAATTTTCATCAATAGGTCTTGGTTAAATAAATTATGATATGTCTATTCATTCAGTGGAATATTTTGTAGCCATTAAAAAGAGGTAAAACTATAAACTGACATTTAAAAGCAGTCTGCTAGACATAAATGAAAAAATTCAAAGTGCACTTACAGCATGTCCCATTTGCATGAAAAACAAAACATGCAATATATAACTTACATACATACATACATATATGTGTGTGAGTGTGTGTGTGTATATATATATCTACAAATAGTTTACCCTAGAAGGATTCCTGAGAAACTTAAAAACTGTTGCCTCTGCGGAAAGGAATGGCGGGGGGAGGGGGAAGGGGGCTGGGGAATGTGGAGAGCGGAGCGGGTCACAGGAGAGAGGGCAATACTTTTAACTTCATACAATTTTGTATTACTTGAATTTTTATCACGTGTATTTTGAAATTAAAATAACCACATACAAATTTAGGGATCTGTACAAAAAGTGGAAAAGTGAAGAATACACATTTTGCCTCTAGCTATGTGGCCTTGGACAAATCACTTAAATGTTAACACATTTGCTTCGATACCACCTTTTGGACATAGAACATTACTCACATAAGATTTGATAAAGTTAATTATGGTGGTGCATGTTAAATCTAGGAGAGGACACAAAAAATAATTCTGTCTCTTGTGAAATATAGTGAAAGTGCAGGATCTGGGGAAAATCATTCTCTATCATTTGGTAACACCCTGAGAGAGACATATGCTTTGGTGCAGACCATATGGTGAAATTGGAAGGCAGCACACAAACCCTGGGTCTACCTTCCTATAGCACACAGCTCTAGAGTCTACAGTTATAGCAATTGCCATTAACTTGACCTAGGAGCAAAAATAGAATGAAAGCCCCTCTCTCTTATTTAAACACTTGGATCAGTAATGGCAGTGGTAGCAGGCGCAGGGTTCCAGGGGGTCTTTATTTACCTGCTGCCCCTGCCATGTGTTCATCCATGCTGAGCAGGAGCTCCCAGGCAGCTGGCTGGATGTCTCCATACATCTCCTCTGTCAGAACTGGTGCTGCCTTGATTAACAGAGATAAGGGAGCAGGCGACAAGCTCATCACCTGGGAAAAGATGGAAATCATGTTTTAAAATTTTTTAAGACAGTGAATACTACACTTCTCCTGAAACTTAAAAGCCACTTCCCCTCTCTCTGATTGCCTAAAGTGACCTTAAAATACTTTCTAAAATGGGAGCATATTTAGTTGACAGCGCATATGATAAGTTTTATACCTTATTAACTGAAGCATAATTAGAAAAAAACCCACTAATTTTATGATGTTTTCACCACAAAATTGCTTTGCAACCATCAAGGAGTAAACCATAGATTGAGTACAACCCCACGAGAAAAGAAAGAACCCAGGAAATACATCTTTGTGTTAAAAGTCTTGATAGATTTTTAAAGGCTCCTATTTTCATTCCTAATAGTAGATTTCCACTGAAAACTATAAGCAGCCTGTAACTCATGAAAAAGCCCATTTGAAAAGTTACCTGAGCCAGTGTGAACATGCATGACATTTCCCTTCGAAATACATAATACATTGTGGTTATTGCCCCAGATTAACCCACAAAATCCTATTTAATCCATTATTTCTGACAATTTAGGTGACAAATGTAGGTTCCAGACAAGTCATCATCATTTCACATTCCAGAAAAATATGAACAGTTTTTTTTGGGGGGGAGATAATGATTTAGAGTTTATGTTGTAATAATAACATAACAATGTGTCAAGCACTGGATAAGTAGGTACATGTACCATTTTCTTTAATCCATGCAATAATTCCTTGGGACACGTCTAGTGTTGTAACCCCCATTTTATAAATAAGGTGACTGAGACCAAGAGAAATCAAATAACTTGCCCAAGGTCCCAGAGCCAGAGCAGCAGACATGGGATGTGAACCCAGACTGTTTCATTCCAAAACCCATAAGTGTAGCTGTTACACACACGTGGGAAGTTAGCTCTCCTGCAGTGAGGACAGTGGGGAGAGCTGTGGTTCGAACCAAAGTTCCCAAGCCTTGCCTGTGGAAGCTGGTTATCTAGCAAGAAAAGATTTTTTTTCTTGCACACTTGGTGGCACTCTTGCTCACCAACTGAAGGGGCTTTATGCCAACACTGTACCAACTGACGCTGTATGTCCCAAACATTAGTAAATAGGCTGTCTGGAGTTCCCTCCCTGTTAAAAGTTCCATGAATCCTTCTGATCCAGGTGCCAATACCTGAAGTCTGATGTACTTCAGCATTCCGGAATCTTTTTTTCCTTCCAGATTGGCATCTGAAACTCTCTTCTTTAGAGAAGGTGTCCTCAGGCATGACTTATCTGAGCACTGAAAAGAACAGGGATATGTAAAGAAGAGTGGTGTGTTTTCTAAAAACCCAACAGTGCTGTATGTCCCCGCAGTTCTCCAGGCAACCATCTTCTAGTGGAAGGGATAATTAAAGGCCTTTTGGTGGGTCTACATTTTCTAAAATTTATAAAAGTACTTTATTTATAAAAGTAGTTAATTTTATAATAAAAAAAATAGCTTAGAGATATTGAGTAATGAAGTCCTCTTTGACCTTTGAGAAAACTGGGATCCGGAGAGGTGGAGAACTTGACTGAACTGCAAAGCTAGTTATTAGCAGAAAAGGGAAAAGACAAGGATCTCCCCATTTCCATTTCAGGGCTAATTATATTTCATCAAGAAAAACACAAATCTTTTAAAATATTAAGTGAGATAAAATCCACTCTATCCAATAGTCCCTTCACAGGGTTGGATGCTACAAGTTGAACAACTTGGTCATAAAAGAGAAAAAATATTTCACAGAGAAGTGTTAGGAAGTTAAAGGTCAAATACAGGACTCGTCAAGGAAGTATGAGTTCATAGTATCCATTATCAAGGACCTAGCTGTGCAGGTAAAATGATTTCTTTTCAAAAACCATACTCTTCTGTAAGAGGCAACAGCTCTTCTTAGAAATTGTCTCCTCAACCAGGTGATTCACCTACATAAGAACAGATAAGACAATTTCTTCCTCTAACTCCTTCAATGCCAAGAGATGGACTGAACAGTGCAGCTGGGAGAAGGATTGAACCTAACGAAGGCAGGCTTATTTATCCAGAGTCCTGATTCTTCTATTTTTGCACTCCAGGCTGTGCAAAGAGGGAATGGTTCTCCTCACATGGAATAAATGCTCATTTGTTTTTCCAGAGGCATGTCAATGAAACACTTTCTCCCTCTAGCCAAGGGAAAAAAAAATGAACTTCTTAAGAATTTTTGAACAGAGCTTCATAGTGTTGTGGATAAAGATATTTTAAAAGAAAAGGCAAATCTAAAAGTGCATGGATATTCCAAGAAAGTCTTTCAAAACTCTGACAAAAAGACCCAAGAAAATGCATCTATTATGTGACAAGTATAGAATCAACTTTTAAAATGAACGTACTTGAAAACAAGTGCATCAGAGCTCTTGCTGTGCTTTCTAAAGGAAAAATCATGGAGGTGCAGACGTGGGAACACATATTATTTGGAGAGATAACTATTGCTTTGCTTTTTTACCCTGTGTATGTGAAAGCAATATATAGCATAAACAGTATGCCCATTTTATATAGTTTGAAAACTGTTCTAAAATCATATATAGGAATAGTTTTCCATACTAATGTACAGGTGTATCTGACCCTTGCAAAAGAGTCAAGATACTAAAAACTGGCATCTCTCTGTTTTATTCTTTATATTTATAAAATAATAAATGTACATTGGAGCATATCTGGAAAAGAAAGAAAAATTATGAAGAAAACAAAAGTCTCAGTAATTCCTGACGTGGTTTAGCTGTGTCCCCACCCAAATCTCATCAGTTCCCATAATCCCCATGTGTCATGGGAGAAATCCGGTGGGAAGTAATTGGATCATGGGGGTGGTTCCTCCCCTACTGTTTTTGTGATAATGAGTGTGTCTCATGAAAGTTGATGATGTTTTGTTTTGTTTTTGTTTTTGTTTGTTTGTTTTTGAGATGGAGTCTTGCTTTGTCGCCCAGGCTGGAGTGCAGTGGCATGATCTCGGCTCACTGCAACCTCTGCCTCCCAAGTTCAAGCAATTCTCCTGCCTCAGCCTCCCGAGTAGCTGGGACTCTAGGCACCACCATCACACCTGGCTAATTTTTGTATTTTTAGAGATGGGGTTTCACCATATTGGCCTGGCTGGTCTCGAACTCCTGACCTTGTGATCCGCCAGCCTCAGCCTCCCAAAGTGCTGGGATTACAGGTGTGAGCCACCATGCCCATCTGAGCTGATGATTTTATAAGCTTCTGGCATTTCCCCTGCTTGCACTCATTCTCTCTCCTGCTGCCCTGTGAAGGGCTGCCTTCCACCATGATTGTAAGTTTCCAGAGGCCTTCCCAGCCATGAAGAACTGTGAGTCAATTAAGCCTCTTTCCATTATAAATTACCCAGTCTAGGGTATTTCTTCATAGCAGCATGAGAACAGACTAATACAATCCACAACCCAATGATAGCCATTATTAGTTTCCTTTCAGCCTTTTCCCCCATGCATCTTAGCACAACTGTGATGATGCTATGTGTGGCACATAATTTTAAATGATTCATTTTACTATGATTTTTTAATGAGTATTTTTTCATTACAATTTTTTAAAAATATAATTCTTAAAATTTTCAAATATTTTACCACTTTCTCTTTTGGTTGGACATTTTGTCTCCAGGAATTCTTTTGAACAATTACTTCTTGATTAAATTACAGGAATTTTAACCAGGCAGATACAGGAAAATACTCAGCGCGCGTGCACACACACACGCGCGCCCGCGCGCACACACACACACACACACACACAAAGATGAGCATTTATATTTGTCCCCGATACTCTGTGCTTCTGCCTACCAGGAACAGAAAGTATAAGTCAAGCTCTTCAAATATTTAATATCCTACCATGTTGTCTTAGGAAGCATGGTGTGTTCTGGTGGCCTCATGATACTTAGGGTGCTTGTTTTAGTGGAAAAGGAAGGAAGCAGGAAGGGCTTTCACATCAAGGTGATAAGCTGGTAACTCTTTTTTAATGACTTGATTAGAAGATAGATATCACAGAGATGGGGGTACATGTGTGATGGGTACTTGGGTACACTCTTGTAAAGGTCTTAAAGTCCCTCTACTGGTGTGACTCCTAACTCAGACTACTGGAAGGAGTAGGAGACTAGTTCCAAAGGCATCTACTAGTGGTCCTTTGAAAAGTTAGAGATTTCACTGGACTATAAGATGCACCTAGTGGTTGAAATGACATATCAAGCAGGGATCTGTAGAGAAACTCAAGACTAGCAATCCAAGACCAAAGGACAGAATAGAGATAGATTCTGGAAACAATAGTGACAAATTCTGTCCTTTGGTCTTGGGTTGCTAGTCTTGAGTTTCTCTACAGTTCCCTGCTTGATTTGTGATTTCAACCACTATGTGCATCTTGCAGTTCAGTGAAATCTCAAACTCTTCAAAGGACCACTAGTAGATGCCTCTATTAGCAATAAATAGAGATTAGTGATAAATTCTGTCCTTTGGTATTAATAAATTAGTGATGAATTCCTCTACTCAGTCATTGTTGAGGTGGTTCTACCGGAGGGAGCTGTGTTCAGTGGGAAGCAGTTATGCAGCCTCATGATCTATCAGGGATACTTGGGAATCCTTGCTATGGGATAGTGTAAAACTTGGACCAATGCCATTTTTTCCTATGTATCTGTCTTAGAAAAATCCATCTTAGTTGACTCTGTGTCTCCTCTCTGCATCCTGACCACTTTTGATTAGATTACCAATGCAAAACCAATTTTTTGACTGGCTAAGGATTTATCACTTGTGGTGTTTGGCCTAAAAGAGGAGGAGATGGCCCCCTCAAATTCCTGTACTAGGGAATTAGGAGGAACAGAGTTTGAATCATTTAGTGATGGTTGCTGTGCAGAAAAATAATGATGCCATCTTGAAATTTTCAGTCTACATCAAAGACGAATACAGCAACAGGAACGGCCAGGGGACAGAATGTTAGTGCAGATGGAGACAATGCAGAAAGAAGCTGAGATGAAAGACTATGTTCATCCTGAAATGGACAGCAGCTTTGGTTCTCATTGCCCTGAGGCTTAGCTGATTCTTTTTCTGTCCCTAGTTTCATGAGATTCTACTGTATCCTTTGAAGAATCTCCCTAATTGTTTGAACAAGTTCAATCTTTTGTTCTTTACAATAAGACTACTGACTAGAGAGGAATAATAATGGTTTTAAATAAAATTTTGCCTATTCATTGAATAATTCAAGAACATTTTTTGATTTAACCATATGCCAGGAACTAGACTAACTTCTGGAGTAGGTACCTGCACTCCTAGAGAAGTGTAGGAAAGACAGATGACAAACACGTAAACAAATGAAAAGTCAAGATAAACAGAAAAGGAAATGCATGCACGAAGGAGGACTCAGTGTGGAAATAACAAAGTATTTATATTTTTCTTCTTTTTTAAAATTCTAAAATAATTGTAACACTATAACAAGGTGTTTAAAATTTGGGGAAATTGAAGTCAGCCTACTGGGCTCTCTGAGAAAGGAATTTCCTCATGTTTCTGGGAAGAAGGTTATGCCAACAGAAATGCAATATTTCCCAAAAGGTAACCTAGACTCTTTGTGCCTCATACACCTTTAACACATGAATTATGTAAGTTATGGTGGACAGTCATCCTGGCCCATGAAATTAAGACCCAGGGCCTGGTCCTGGCCTTACAATAATGTTGTTCATAGATAGCTTTAGGAAAAATGTTGGTTCTGCAGGAAGTCAGTTGACCTCTTGACATTGGCACTGGAGTTTGCTTTATGGAATTTACCCACACTGTGTCCTTTATTTTTGTGAGCATGTATCACAATTTGTTCCCCCCTCCTTTTTGGTTGAAAGGCGAAAAATTTAATCTGCTCCTTTTTTAAATTAGCAAGCATTAATTAAACATTTACTCTACTTACAACGTAGCTTTGGACAAAGTACAGACATAGAGGAAAAATCTCAGAATTCTTTGGTAAAGGTGATATATACATGTAGAATGACAGTTTATTTTTAAAAAACCCTCAAGTTTGGAAGTACACTAAAATAGACTAACAGATTGTACAGTGAGTCCCTGAGCATTGAAATGTAGATTAGCAAATCGATCAGAATTAGATGGGTTACAAAATGTACTAGCTGCCACAAATATACTCTGCCATAAAAAACTAATTAAAAAGAAAACAGGAATGAAATACCAATTGCTCATAAGACACGATTCTAATCAGAACACTGCTTTTACTCTTGCTTTATTGCCTACTCTGTTTTCATTTATCATCTGGGAATGTGGGCATTGTTCATTTATCTGGCAGATTCACAACAGGCAAATGAAAAGTGCCATGACAGAAAGCAAAGAGCTTGTGGAGGAGGCTAGCATTTTCGAAATAAAATGTTTATCACAGAGGAGTCAATTCATCTTTTCAGCTCTCTACCTGAATGACTAATTTCAAAGTGTTAAAGTTAGAAGCCACTTATTCATGCCTTACTTTTCCTTTTCTTTTCAGAAATGTAAGCAATAGCAGAAAGTTGGTAAGCCTTTTCTACTGCTTCAGGCCAGTGGCCTGGTTGAGGCAGAGTGGAGGGCACTCATGAAACACCCTAGGACTGTAGCTCTACTCACTCACTTAATATTAATGACTGCTCTATTATTATATAAGTGAGTACTCTGTTAGGTTATCATGCAGGATACAAAATGTGAAAGACTTCCTCAGTTCTCAAAAAGCTTATTAAGTGGAAGAACATGCCACTGCTCACAGGATAAAATGAAAGCCTTCCCACGATCCCACAAGGTCTGGTCTCGAGCTGCCTGTGCAGCTTCATCATGCACCACAGTCTTCTGTGCTCCAGTCATGGCCCTTCATACTCACCTCTTCCCTCTGGTTGGAAACTCTGTATCCAGTTAACATCTATGCATCCTTTAGTCAAAGCTCACCTGTCACTTTATTGGAAAGGCTTTTATTTTTCCCTACAAGACCAAAGCCTCATTCATAAGCTCTCTCAGCATGGTGAAGCTCTCCATTATTTCACTTATTGCAGATGCCATTTTACATCAATTTGGGAAGTTTATTTGATCAATGTCTATCTTGGACTAGATTATGTGCAGTATATGAGGGTACAAACTGTATTTATTTATTTTTTTTTTTGCCCATTATTGTACCCAGTGCAAAGTATGGCCTCAGTATGATCTACACGTTCTTTACAAGTTTGTTGAATAGATGAATGGCTGGCTGGCTGGCTGGATGGATGGATGGATGGATGGATGGATGATTTAAATAATGAGAAAACATGAGTAAAATACCATTATAATTTAGTTGAAGAAGGAAATAAGGAAAATAAGATTAAGTGTCCATCTGCAGTAGGCCCTGTGCTTAACACTTGAAGAATCAAAAAAGGTTTCATGGAGGAGATGGCATTTGAGTTGGATCTTAAAGAATGTTTGGGTTGGGCTATGTTAGATTAGAGGCCCAGTTCCAGCAAAAAACACAGCAGTAAGAAATTCTGAAGTGTTTATGGAGAACAATGATCAATAATTTAGGCTCATATATTTTTGAAACTTTCAACGTATATGGTTTTAACCTAAAGCTAAGGGAGTTTTTATAGTAACAAAGAATTTACATAAATAAAAATAGATTTTCTTTAAATGCAGTGCCATTTACGTTTGAAATATATATATGATTTATATACGTATACATGTATGCACACACAAACATATTTACTTCTTTTCTTTTTATGTCATTATTTAGCAGTTTATTTGTACCCCACACTGGTCTACTCTCCACCTTCATTCCCCTCAGAATTTGTATTATTTGAATAACATGAAATGCAAGAGAGTCTAGTTTAAAAAGCCCTGATTCTGATATTTCATATTTCTAAGGTTAAAGTCTAGCTAAATACATTATAGATATAAACTGTGAATAATCCCAACTTTCTGAGCCCCTACAGTTGAAAAACCTGTAAAATAGGGATAAAATAACTCTTGCGATGGTTTTTAAGAATCAAAAGGCACTTGCCAATGAAATGTACTTACTTTATACCCTCACACATACATTTAGAAAAAATACTAAAAGATCATACTCCATAGGATGAACTTGCACACTTACGAGGTATATCAGATATGTAATTTTAAAAGAGTATTTTGTATTATTAAAAATTTCTTCAATGAACATGTATTGCTTTCATAATAAAAAAGTTGTAATTAAAAAAATCCCTTAGTGAGTGTTAAGGTATAAAAAACTGCTACACAACTCAACTGTGGATTTTTGTTGTTATTGCTCATATTCTCTCATTGTTTGATGTATATATTATTGCTTACCCCCTCCCCAGTCCAAACCTGGTTTGTAAATTCCTTAGAAAGATTTTCTGCTTCTAGGTTTTATTTTTTCTTAACAGAATATCTAGCCTAATATTGTGCCAACAGAGGGCACATAATAAATGCCTGCTGAAATGAATAGGTGTTATATAAAAATCTCTTTGCAAAACCGCTTGGGAAAAGCAGCTGCAGGGGCGGCCACAACATTCAGTCAGGCATCTTGGCTGTGATGCCTGTTCAGGGGCAGGTGGAAAATTCAGGCCTTCCCTGGCAGGAGCACAGCAGCCCTGGTCACTGTCTTCGTCTCCTGCCAGCTCAGCTGCTCAGGGTAGTTTTCAGAAAAGGGCAGCTGAATACTTGAAAAATGTAATAGTTTCTTGAAGGAATCTCCTTTAGTCTGATTTGACCTAGATGACTCTTTTACTTGGCTGGGAATAGTGGGCCCATTTACGCATATTTTTTAGTACATAGTTGTGTTAGTTTCCTGTTGCTGCTGTAACAAGTGACCACAATCTTCACAGCTTAAAATGACACAAATTTATTATCTTACAATTCTGGAGGTCAGAAGTCTAAAACAGATTGGCAGGGCTGTGATTGCTTCTGAAGGCTCTAGGAGATAATCCATTTCCTTGTCTTCTCTAGCTTCTAGAGGCTGCCAGCAATCCTTGGCTCATGGCCCTGCATCGCACTGACCTCTGCTTTTCTCACAACATTTCCTTCTCTGCCTCTGACCCTCCTGACTCCTTTTTCCACTTATAAGGACCCTTATGATGACACCGAGAACAGCTGGATAATTTAGGACACGCTGCCCATTGTAAAATTTTCAGTCACATCTGCAAAATCTCTTCTGCCATGTGAAGATATTCACAATTTCCAGAGATTAGGATGTGAGTATCTTTGTGGGAGAGGCATTATTCTGCCTACCACAATAACTTATTCATCATCATCATCATCCCTATGCATTCATATTTATTTACAGAGTAAGGCAAAACCTGAGGAAAGATTCCATGTTTACTCATGGACAAAAAGACAAAACATTTGTCTTTCTTGTACATCTCTTCTGCTTTTGTTTAGATGCACACAGGCCTGATTGTTACAATTGCATTTGCTTGAAAATTCTTATTTCCAGAGAAGAAATTGTTAGTACATCATGTTCCCTAGTATTGGAATATCACTCAGTGGTCGTTTACTTACTTCTTTCTGTTTCTTGCCCCGGAGAGCCACATTGCTGATGTTGCTGCTTTCCCTCAGAGAGTCCACACTGTCTCCATAGAGTAGCTTAATGGCTCTGACCAGTCGGGCACAGGAGCGGCTGTGGTGCAGGTAGCAGTGGGGATGGCAGTAGTCAACGTGAGTGCAGATGAAACTCTGCTGATTGCACAGCAAGATCATCACCTGGAATACAAGCATTCCTGAGACTCAGCCAGGCAACCTGGGTACAGACAAACTGAACATATCTATGGGGTGGAAGCTGGGAAGTCAGAATGTCAGCTTCCCTGGATGTGTCTTGAAATCGCGATGATCCAATAATTCCCAAAGGAGAACAAAAGTTCTTTATCCCTTTAGCCTTTTGTTCTCCCTCCATTCCTACTTGATAGAAGGATCTCTTTGAAACATTAAAAGGTTAATAGGTCTTCAAAAAATTAAAACAATTATTGTGGAGCGTATGGTTTCCAAATATTCTCAAATGGAGATTCTGAACTTAAAACTAATTTTTTTTCCAGTTCTTATGTTGGGAAAGGAACCAGACGGAAAGGCACAGACTGGTGAGAAATTCTGTCCCAGAGGATCTGGCTAGCCTTTGACAGCTGTGGGACACCTTTAATGCCAGCCCACCCATGTGGGACTTAAAAACATTTCCACTTCTTCTCCTCTGGCCAATAATATTCAACTAGAACTTGAACGTTACTGTACAGTCTCATTTCCACTCTCTGCAAAGTGCTCTTTTTCCTCTGGCTTTTAGAACATTCTAGCTCTTCTCTTGTAGCTAAATCCAAATCAAATCCTCACATCTCCTATAATTCTCCCATTAAAATTACAGAAAGGAATTCAGTTGATTTAAAAGATATGGGTTATTTTAAGATAAAGAATAAAGGCCCTTGCATTTGGAACTTCTTAAGGAGCTTTTCTTAAAAGGCAATAGCATACACAGAGCCACAAGGTCAGTAATAGTGTGCACAGTATCTTCTGAATGCTTCCATCCTTCATGAATCTATAATAGTTCCCACCTTGACAACTAACCGGTGAGGGACTGTGTGCCATATTGAACACAAAGAGAGCACAAAACAAGACGATGTGGGCAAGGCCAATATGTTGATTACAGGCACGTGAGAGATCCTAAAGCAGAGGACCTAGCTAAGCTGTGCCAGAATTCCTGACCCATAAAAACTATAAGATAATAAATGTGTATTGTTTTAAGCCACTAAGTTTGTGGTAATTTGTATGCAGTACTAGAAAATTAATACATTCCCCCTCTAATCATGTATATTTCCTGCAGGAAGTCCACACTGCACACAATTTCCTACAGGAAGTCCACACTGTCCACACACACATATATATGTTATATAATATATATATTATACACACACACACCCCACACACACAAAGTCAGCTCTCCATATCCATGGTTTCTGTATCCGTGGATTCAACCAACTGCAGATCAAAAATATGCCAAAATATCTCCCCCAAAATTGTGTTTTTACTAAATATGCACAGACATTTTTGGGAATCATTAACAATACAGTATAATAACTACTTATATGGAATTTACATTGTATTAGGTATTGTAAGTAATCTGGAGATGATTTGGAGTATGTGGGAGGATGTACATAGTTTATATGCAAATACTATACCATTTTATATCAGGGGCTTGCTCATCTGTATATCCTGGTATTCATGGGAGGCCCTGGAACCAATTCCCATGGATATCAAGGGATGACTATACACACACACACACACACACACATACACACATGTATACAGGCATACCTTGGAGATATTGCAAGTTCAGTTCCAGACCACCACAATAAAGCAAATGTTGCACTTGAGTGAGTCATACAACTTTTTCTATTTCCCAGTGCATATAAAAATCATGTCTACACTATACTATAGTCTATTAGGTGTGCAATAGCATCATGTCTAAAAAACCAATGTACATACCTTAATTAAAAATTCTTTATTGCTAAAATATGCTAACAATCACTTGAGCCATTGGCAAGTTGTAATTTTTTTTTTTTTTTTGCTGGTGGAGGGTCTTGATATTGAGAGCTGCTGACTGATGAGAGAGAGAAGTGGTTGCTGAAGGTTGGGGTGGTTGTGGCAATTTCTTAAATTAGACAGCGAAGAAGTTTGGCCCATTAATTGACTGTTCTTTTCATGAAAGGTTTTTCTCTAGCACGTGATACTGTTTGATAGCATGTTACTCACAGTAGAAATTCTTTCAAAATTGCAATCAACCCTCTACAACCCTGCTGCTGCCTTATCAACTTAATTTATGTAATATTCTAAATTCTCTGTTGTCACTGCAATAACGTTCATAACATCTTTACCAGGAGTAGATTCCATCTCAAGAAATTACTTTCTTTGCTCATCCATAGAGGTACTTCCTCACCCATTCAGATTTTATCATGAGATTACAGCAATTTAGTCACATCTTCAGGCTCTACTTCTAATTCTAGTTCTCTTGCTAGTTCCACCTTATCTGCAGTTACTTCCTCCACTGAAGTCTTGAATTTCTCAAAGTCATCCATTAAGGTTGGCATCAACTACTTCCAAACTCCTGTTAATGTTGATATTTGATCTCCTCTTGTGAATCACAAATGTTCTTAATGACATCCAGAATGGTTAGTTATTTCCAGAAGCTTTCAATTTACTTTGCCAAGATCCATCACAGGAATCCCTATCACTATCTGTGGCAGCTATACCCCTGAAAAATGTACTTTTTTTTTTTTTGAGACAGAGTCTCACTCTGTTGCCCAGGTTGGAGTGCAGTGGCACGATCTCAGCTTAGTGCAAGCTCCGCCTCCTGGGTTCACGCCATTCTCCTGCCTCAGCCTGTGGAGTAGCTGGAACTACAGGCACCCGCCACCACGCCTGGCTCTTTTTTTTTTTTTTTTGTATTTTTAGTAGAGACAGGGTTTCACCGTGTTAGCCAGGATGGTCTTATCTCCTGACCTTGTGACCCACCTGTCTCAGCCTCCCCAAGTGCTGGGATTACCAGCGTGAACCACCGCACTCGGCCACAAAATGTACTTCTTAAATCATAAGACTTGGAAGTCAAAATTACTCCCTGATCTGTGGGCTGCAGAACGGATGCTGCGTTAGCAGGCATGAAAACAACATTAATCTTCCTGCACACTTCCATCAGAGCTCTTGAGTGACCAACTACATTGTCAATAAGCAGTAATCCTTTGAAAGAAATCTTTTTTTTTTTTCCTGAACAGTAGATCTCAACAGTGGACTTCACATGCTCAGGAAACCATGCTGTGAAACAGATGGGCTGTCATCCAGGCTTTATTTTTCCATTTATAGAGCTCAGGAAGAGTAAATTTAGCATAATTCTTAAGGGCTCTAGAATCTTAGAATGGCAAATGAGCACTGACTGAAACTTCAAGCTGCCAGATGCATTAACCCCTAACAAGAGAATCAGCCTGTTAAGTTTTGCAGCCAGGTATTGACTTCTCTCTAGCTATGAAAGTCCCAGATGGCATTTTTTTCCAACAAAAGGCTCTTCTACATTAAATATCATTTTATAGTATAGCCACCTTCATCAATGATCCCGGTTAGATCTTCTGCATAACTTGCTGCAACTTCTACATCAGTACTTGCTGCTTCACCTTGCACTTTTATGTTATGGAGGTGGCTTCTTTCCTTCAACCTCATGAAGCAACCTCTGTTAACTTCAGACTTTTCTTCTACAGCTTCTTCACCTTTCTCAGCCCTCACAGAACTGAAAAGAGTTAAAACTTTTCTCTGAATTTAGTCCAGACCACTAAAGCTTTCTCCATATCAGCAATTACACTGTTTCACTTTCTTATTGTTCATGTGTTCACCAGAGTAGCACTTTTGATTTCCTTCAAGAACTTTTCCTTTGAAATCATAACTTGGCTGTTTGGTACAAGAGGCCCACCTTTGAGTGGATCTTGGTTTTCAACATGCCTTCCTCACTAAGCTTAATAATTTCTAGTATTTGATTTAAAGTGAGAGACATACAACTCTTCCTTCACTTGAACACTTAGAGGGCATTGTAAGGTTATCAATCGGCCTAATTTCAATACTGCTGTGTCTCAGGGAATAGGGAGACCCTAGAAGAGGGAGAGAGACAAGAAGCAGCTGGTCCATGGAGCAATGAGAACACACATTTACTGATTAAGTTCAACATCAATATGGGTGTAGTTCATGGTGTCCAAAAACTGACAATAATATCATCAAGGATCACTGATCACAGATCACCATAAAATTGATAATCATGAAAAAGCCTGAAATATTGTGAGAACTACCAAAACGTGCCACAGAGACACAAAGTGGGCACATGCTCTTAGAAAAACAGCACCAACAGACTTGCTCAATGCAGGGTTGCCACAAACCTACAGTCTGTAAAAAATGCGATATCTACAAAGCACAGTAGAGTGAAGTACAATAAAATGAGGCATACCTGTATACACACAGACATGATACATAAATATACATATTTGGATGCATAAGACAGTGAGGCAGTCAGGATGAAGGGTATGATGTGGAGAGAAAGGATATTCGCTGAGGTGAGGACAATGTGAAGACACACCACATTTCTCCTTGAGGCATTTGCTACATCTTAGGCACAAGTGGCCAAGAAGCTAGGCAGAGCCTTAGGCAATCTCACGGGGGCTAGGAGGTAAAAATTAGAATTTAGAATTACCAAAGAAGGGAGAAACTGAATAGTCTAGATCCTGTAGAGAAATGAGGTCCAAATAAGTCAGACTGACACTGGGTTACAGTTTTCCCTTCTAGGCATTGACTGATTGAGCAGCTAAGAAGAGAAGCAAAGACCAGGTGACAAACAGAGTACAGACTTTGGCAATTTCATTGTGATGGGGAAACAAAAATTGTAGTTCCTGACTCATCAAGAATGAGAGGCCCTGTGACATACCCCAGACTCTCACTGGGAGTCTTGGACATCTTCATATAAAAAGATGTGCGTAGGGGGTGGGGAAGGACAGGCTAGAAATAGTCCAAGTCCAGCTAGTGTAGTCTCTGACTGGACTGAAGTGATCTGCTTCTTTGTTGTCTGCCAGAGGACAGGGTGAATCCTCTCTGGAAAGAGAAAACATCAACTAGAGCTTTGGTGCTTTTTTTAAATTAATAAACTTTATGTTTTAGAGCAGTTTTGGCTTCACATCAGAATTGAGCAGAAAGTACAGAGAGTTCCCACATATACACTGTCCGCATACATGACAACCTCTCCTACTATCAACATTTTGCTTTACAGTGGTACATCTATTAGAATGAACTTATATTGACACAGCATTACCACCCAAAGTCAACAGTTTACATTAGGGTCCATGCTTTGCTTTGTACATTCTATGAATTTTAACAAAAGTATAATGACATGTATCTGCCACTGCACCTCTATAATTTTTTTTATACACCATGTTTAGTCAATATAATTACAAGGCATTTTAGGAGCAGGACCAAGAAGAGTAAAGAAAATAGATTCATATATTGAACTTATTAGCTATGGACCTGATCAAAATGTCTGCACTCCCATGTTTCTTGTGGCACTGTTCACAATAACTAATATTTGGAAGCAACCTAAATGTCCATCAGCAGATGAATGAACAAAGAAAATGTGGTATATATACACAATGGAGTACTACTCAGCCATAAAAAAGAATGAGATCCTGTCATTTCCAACAACATGGATAGAACTGGAGATCATTACGTTAAGTCAAATAAGCCAGGCACAGAAAGACAAACATCACATGTTCTCACTTATTTGTGGGATCTAAAAATCAAAACAATCGAACTCATGGACACAGAGAGTAAAAGGATGGTTACCAGAGGCAGGCAAGGGTAATAGAGGGTTGAGGGAGAGGTGGGGAAAGTTAATGAGTACAAAAAATAGAATGAGTAAGACTTACTATTTGATAGCACAATAGGATGACTATAGTCAATAATAACTGTACATTTCAAAATAACTAAAAGAATGTAATTGGATTGCCTGTAACAAAAAGGATAAATGCTTGAGGAGATGGATACCCCATTCTTCTTGATGTGATTATTTCACATTACATGCCTGTATCAAACACCTCATGTAGCCCACAAATATACACACCTACTATGTACCCACAAAAATTAAAAATAAATTTTTTTTTTAAAAATCTGTGATCAATTACGAATACATCACAATGGAAATTTTAAAATATTTTAACTGAATGATAATGAACATATATCAAGCCTTGTATGATGCAGCTAAAACTGTTTCTAGATAATATTTATAGCTTTAAATTCATATGTTAGCAAAGTGGTTGCAAATCAATTATCTGAGTATCTGTGTCAAGAAGTTAAGGAAAAAAAAAACAAATTAAACTCAAAGAAAAGTAGAAGAAAGTAATAAAGATACCAGAAAATATTAGTAAAACAAAAATTCAACATTCTAAAAATGACAAAATGAAAATCTGGTTCTGGTTCTTTTAAAAGACAAAATAGACAAACTCTTAGAAAGACACTACTAAAAAAAGAAGAGAAGACAATCTACCAATATCAAAAACAATAAATATAAATCACTGCAGATCCTAGAGAATTTAAAATAATCTTAAGAGAATATTTTAAACAATCTTTTTGCTAATAAATTTGAATATTCATATTAAATGAAAAAAATCTCAGCAAAAAATATTAGTTTACCTGAATTGCTCCCAGAAGAAATATAAAATCTAAATGGTCTTAGCTGTATTACATAAATTGAATCTGTAACTTAAAACTCTCCCACAAAGAAATTTTTAGGTTTAAAAGGTGTGATCAGTGATTTCTTCCAAATATTTAAAGAAGAAACAGCACTGCTCTTACACAACGCTTCCAGAGCTGTTTATTTATGAAACACTACACACAAGACTAAAAGGCATTATTGAAAGACATTTAAAGAGGCTCTAAATAAATGGAGAAACAGACATTAGTGGAGTGATCATTTTAAACATTGGAAGATTCAATATCATAAAGATATGATTCATTTAAATTCATCTATGTATTACACTCAAGGCTGCTTTGGAAGTTTTTTTTTAAATTATTTAAAATAGGGTGATTCTAAATGAATGTGAATCTAGCCAAGAATAGACCATGCCATTGTGAAGGAGAAGAACAACAAAATTGGAGGACCTACATTTATATGAGGAAAAGGAACCAGACACAACATAGTAGTAGCATATGATGCCAATTACATGTATTTCAAAAATAGACAAAATGAATCTATGGTGTTAGAAGGTAGAACGGTGGTTACTGTCAGGGGAGAGTAGCATCTGGTAGAAGACCTGTGTAGGATTTCTTAGGTGTTGATAATGTTTTCTCAACCTGGCAGTGGTTACACAGGTGTATTTACTTCATAAAAATGTACTGAGCTGTATACATAGGTTTTGTATGCTTTTCAGTGGGTAGGTTAGAGTTCAATAAAAAGTTTACTTTAAAACACAGCTGCCTCAGAGATTCTCAAATCAGTCAATTCTGGGGACTGCTTCCATAGTGAAGGTGAGCCACCACACACCCAAGGACCATTACGCACCAGCTAGAGCTCATCTGACTTTCCCAGGAAGTCAGATTAAAATTAGGGTGAGCGGTGACCCCAGTGATGATCCTAGGGATACCCTGCCACTTGTATAACCGAGCTTACATTTCCTTACCATTCTCCTTACTTTTTTTTTTTTTTTTTTGAGATGGAGTCTTGCTCTGTCCCCCAGGCTGGAGTGCAGTGGCACGATCTCGGCTCACTGCAAGCTCCGCCTCCCGGGTTCATGCCATTCTCCTGCCTCAGCCTCCCAAGTAGCTGGGACTACAGGCGCTTGCCACCACGCCTGGCTAATTTTTTGTATTTTTAGTAGAGATGGGGTTTCACTGTGTTAGCCAGGATGGTCTCGATCTCCTGACCTTGTGATCTGCCCGCCTCAGCCTCCCAAAGTGCTGGGATTATGAGCCACCGCGCCCGGCCCCTTTCTCCTTAACTTCTTTCTTCATGCTCAGCTCGAGTCTTGAACTCCACCCCATGCCCACAGTTTCCTAGGGATCACCTCCTGCCTGTGCCCTCTGGCTCACCCTTGGACACATGGCATTCACCATCTTAGAGTGACCTTGCCCCAGTTTAAAATTTGGTCTAATACATACCCAAGAGCAACACCATGACCTTTCTCAGAATTCGCAGTAACCTGTATAAAACTGATGATGATACCTACGCTGTGTCACTCAGGTTATCTTGACCACTAACCTGGCCTCATGATTTTCCCTGACTTATGGTGACCCACAAGCCAGCCATAACAAAAAAAGCTTGGTCTGAGTTAAGCTTAAGATGAGTACAGTTCAGCAGAATACCAATTCTAGAGAGTGTTGAGATATTCAGCTAAAACATAAGCCCCTGCTTTTTCTTTGAGGCTAGATTGGATTTGATGATTTAGTATAATCTCGTCCTCCCTCCTCAGATCTTTTCCAGGGTCTAAAGAAATTGATCTCAGGGCTCCTTCTGAGATTTCTACTTACATGAAGCCATGACATGTTTCTGTGGTAATTCTCCTCCGTGCCGGCATTACTCATTCCCTCTGGCTCGATGCTGGGCTCGCTTGCACTCCAAGGACTCCCTTCTTCAAAAAAAAAAAAAAAAAAAAAAAAAAAACCAAGAAAGGTTTCAGTGTTCGGTCTCCCTGGAGAGCATGTTGGTATGGTAGTTGCCCATGCTTCTGAATCCTAGGGCAGACTACCATGGCCCAGTGGGTTACAGGGCATAGCACTGACTTGGAGGAATATTAACAGGAGCTGTCCCCTTCATCACCAGCTGAACTGGCAATTTCAAAGACATTTATGATCTCTGTTATGGTGGCTTCCATTTTGAGAGATGGAAGCAGAGAAGAAAAACAGAGTCAAGTCCTTGAATTGCTGAGATGAGCCAGTTATTGACTGAGTGTGCCCAAATCCATTCCAGACTGACCAGACCTTGCAGGTGTATTTAAGGAGGGACAGCAACTAACCGGCCTCACAGTGACTGCTGTCTCCATTGTTCTGTGACTGCAGCTAGCGCTATTCCTCTAGCCACCAGGTTTTGCTACCACAGCTATGTCAAAGATGGGCAGGTACCTATGAAAAACTAAGGGAATTCGGAAGCAATTATGTCCAACTGTGGACAGCCCTTGTGTCCAAACTCCTCTTTATGGCAAAGTATAAAGGAGATATCTCTCAAAAATTCCCTACTTGGTACACTATATAACAAAGTTTTCCCTCAAATCTACAAAATTTTATAGATCTTTTTAATGACAAAACAATGTCTTCAACCTGGCTATTTTGACTCAATTGGTCAGGATAAATCGATCAATTTAAATAATTAATTGCAATAGTTTTGCCCCAAGTTAACTGAGAATAATGCTCTAGCTTCAGACTTATAACAAAAGAAATCATACATACTTTTTAAAAAATGTCTCCTTAGGAAATAAGCAGAATCTTAAGTAATGCATAAATCAGCTATTTTCAAAGGCGAGGGTGGGTGGATACAGAAGCATTTTCTATTTTAAACCTTCTTTGATGAAATATACTCGGCTTTTATTTCAGCAGACTTGATCGATAATTTATCCACACTTCTTGCTGACTTTTGAAACTACTTACCTAGTAAGGAGAGCTTTCTATTTTGCCTTGCATACAGAGACTGAATGGCAAAGTGAATGTGCTTCAACTTTTACCTAATATTTAATGTTAGGCAGCTGGTGAGTTCTATTTTCATGCCTACTGTATCTTTTGCTTGTCTATTAAGATACTAATTAGGGCCCATATTTTGGACTGCTGTATTTTGGTATTTGGAATTTCTTTAGAGCCTACAATGACAATCTATAACTCTCAGGCTTTGACTGTATATTAAGTTCATTCTCAGGTGTTTGACACATTGTATGGTCATCTTCTAATTTATCTCTACAGCATCCTTGCATTGTAGGCAAGAATTATTCTCACTGTGTAGTCAGAGAAAACAAATCCCTGAGAAGCTGAATGACTTGTTGAAGATCACTCATTGTCAGGTCTAGACTATCTTAACTCTCTGATATTTTGGTTGTTCATATTGTTAAATAGAGACTTTAAAATATAGAGAATCTTTAGGTAGTCCTCCCCAAGGGAATTACTACATTTGACATTGAAGGTTCTGATCAAAAGAATGAATACACAAGTATCTGAATTTCAAAGACTGTCCTGGTCATTAAAGTGTTTTCTTTCTCTAACATATGCTCCACACCCTTGCTGCTCAAAGTGTGGTCCTTGAATCAGCAGCATCAGCTCCACGAGAAAGCTTGTTAAACATGTAGAATCTCAGATCCCCACCCCAGATCTGCTGAATCAGAATCTGCATTTTAACAAGCCTCTCCAGTGACCTGTATGCACATCAACGCTTCAGCTGCCTTGCTCTAGCAAGGGTAGTATGGTTTTCAGGCTGAATAGCTTGTCTACCCTATGGCTCTGCCCTCCATCTATTTATGTGTAAGAAAATGGACTTCAGCTTGTTTCAGGACTTGGGCCCTGTCTTCCTACCCCCCACGTCCCTGCACACCCCACTCCTCTATGTTACCTAGGTCAGTGACAGTGTCCCTGCTCTGGGACAGCTGCAGCTCCTCAGCCTCAGACTCTGAGTCCTGCCGTGATAACTTGCTGCTCTTTAAGCTGCCGACCCGGCGAATGCTGGACAAGGAACCCCCCTTCTTCACCTGGAAACTGCGGGTTCCTTTAATCTGGAGCAGACGAGAACCTCCTATCCTGATCTTCCTGCTGGGAACTGTATTAAAAGAATAAAATAGGGCTTTTTCCCCCTTAGTGTTCCCCAGCCAGTGTTATATCCATCTCTCCCCAACTTGTCCCTGATCAGCCGCCTCTGCTGGCCTGGATGAGCACTCTGAACAAGGAGCTTCTCCCAAGCCCCCAGTCCTGCAGGACCCACCAGGAAGGGCTGGTGCAGCTTCTTTCTTGGACACAAAGCTCATCGGAACTGGGAACGACCTGCTCTCTTTCTGGCCCAGGTTTCACAAGCATGAGTGTGCCTTTGGGGCAGCATCAACTAGGACTATTAGTACACTTGTATCACAGGATTCCTTGATTCAAGAGAACCACAAACCATTTGCTTTTGCTTTCCTTTCAAAATGGGACTTACAGACTTCTGTAAGCTGTCACGTAAACCCCTTCATTTTGGAATACCTCATTCAGAAATAAGAACCAAAGGTGCTTTTTTCTGCAATAGTCAGCAGTGGCTTCCACTCTGCTCCTCAGAAAAGGCACTAAACAATCTGTTTTCACTCGGGTGAGCATGAGTGTGAAATGGCTCTCTTTTCAATGTACCTAATGATTTCATACTATCCTCCTCTCAGTCAAAAGGCTGGGTGAAATGTGATTCCAAATGGTGCAAACCCCTGAGCCAATCTTATAACAGTCTATGCATACCAAGAAGAATATGCATTATTCATCTTTAGTCTTCTGGAAGAAATAGTAATTAGTGAGGAAAATAAAAGAGTAAAAGAAATGCATTTAAACTTGGAGCCTATCTTTATTTAAATCAACAGTATCCTTATTTCCCATAGTCATATACACACCTTCCTTTTCTTTTGAAGATTTGGTGTTGTCAAACATTGATTTTATAAGGGTGGGATAAAGTAAGTTTTAGGGCTTAAAGTCCATTATCAGGAAGGAGCCAGTTTTATAAGCTTAGCATCTTAAGACATGAACAAGATTTCTTACTAATTGTTTAAGGCACAGTTACTAATATTTTAAAAGTACCAATCAGAAAGTTTGCATGTTAGTTTCAGGTTTCTCATTCACGAGAGAGTTAATATGTGACTGTGATAGAACTTGTATAACTAAAACGTTAGCTAAATGTATACTTTTAACACCATTTAAAGGAGGTCAGAAGACTTTCTCCTGAACAATGTGAAAGTTCTGATTTACTGTTGTGATGGAGAAATAAAAAAATTATCACCATGCAGCTGGTAAAGGCCCCATGGAGCTCCCTGAACACAGCTGAGCAGAATTTCACATCTGGATGGAATTTCTTGTGGCACAGTTAGACAAATCCCACAAAGATTATGAACCATAATGCTGCATTTTAATTATGGCACAAAGCACACACTATATTTTTCAATATTATTTTTATGTTTAGTTGAGACTTTATCACCTATCTGAAATACGTTTGAAACAGAATATAATTAAAATTTTTTAATGACTACAAGTGCAATTTCATGTCTAAGTAGATTCAGAAGTACAGAAAATATTAAACAGATAATTCTTAGATTTTTACAGAGGTACACACTAATATTCTTTGCCCAATTTTATGACACTTTTTGGCCTACAGATGCAGCAAAATAAACCCAAATTAATGTAATCAGAAAGAAATTTAATTTTGAGAGCTTGTTCCACCAAAAAGGATAGTTGGAGATATCCTATAGCACTGAAAAATTACAGTTCAGAATTGTGGCATTGGTTATTTACAAGGGGCACAGCAGTTAGAATTTATATTTGGTATTGTACATGAAAAACATCAGTTGAGATTGTGCAGCATTGAATTGTAGCCTTTATCTCCATGACAACAAGAACTAGTATAAAAGTGAAACAAATCCATCTAAATTGGATAAAACATCTTTGGCCTTTTCTTTCACCTTACATTGTATCAATTAGCAAGTTCTGTTGGCTGTATATTTCAAAATATCATAGGATTTTGACAGCTCCATCCCCTTTTCCCTGGACTAATGTAACTACCTAACTGCTTCACCTTTCCCTCTACTCCATAGATTGAGTCATCTTTTAAATGCATAAATCATAAATACACACTTTATGTCACATTTCTGGTAAAACCTACCAACAACTCTGATGCACTTAAAACAGAATTAAATTTCTAACCATCTACCAGACCGTTTGCCCTTTGCATTACATTTCCGACCCATCTCCTACTATTCTAAATAATTATTTCACTTGAATTTTTCCTGGTAGAATCTGAATTGTCCTCAGGGTGTTTATTTCAAGAACTGGCATTTTCAGGTTTTATAAAACCAAATGGTATAAAATTTTAAAAACTGTAATTAGCAGTGGCTCTATTGTCTTCATTTTCACATAGGCTTCAGTAGCTGACAGCTTGTCAAATGGATTAAGGAATATTTAGGAATCTTTGGGAAGATTTTTGTCAACTGATTAAGGACATTTTATGGAGATATATATATAATAGCTCCAGTTTTCCATTCTTTATTAAACAACTTTCATATATTAACATAACCATTCTGTGAGTAGAAAAAATATTGAGCATTTGAGTGTTGAAATATTAAGCCAATTTACATAAATAATAATCATCAAATTAAAGTGTTCTTAAAATTAATCAGATATTTTATTTTATAAAATGGTATAAAATTTACTCTGCTGAAGTTTAATCGTGTAGTATTAGTAATTATCTACTATCTTAAATATAATTAGCATAATAACTTTGAATGACAAAAGATTGCCTTCTAAATTAAAATCTCTTTGGGATATGTTTAAAAGAGAGAAGCTTCTCATCACATGCAGTATAATTGTCTGAAGTAAGTAATATTTGAAAAAATATTGATTTGATACTTCTTCATCCTCAAAAATCGCTCAAGATTTGACTTATCCTTCCTGCAACATGGCCTCTTTGGGCCATAAATTCCATAGAATATGATATATGATTATCTGTATTTTAAGAATGTTGTGACATTTTGATCTTGAACTATTCAAACTTTTCCCAATGTATATCTATTCCCTTTAAAATATTTTTTGTTTTCTCTACACAGGGCTATTCCTTCTAAGAATCATTCATTCGTTGTTATCCAAAATTTATTGACTCATTGTCTGTAGGATGCTAGAAAACACTTCAACACATAAAATAACCTTTGACTCTTCTAGCAAATGTGCAGATGTTCTTTTAATTGAAATTCACTGGAAAAACATGGAAGGGCAATGGAATTTTTAAAATGGCAAAATCAAATAGTGAAGTTGGCAGTTTAAAGGAGGCCCTAGAGGGCAACTTAAAACTTTGCAATCTTTAGTTCATAGTTAGGATTTTCTATGTGGGTTCTAATCTAGATGCTCACGATGTATATTTAAAAACCCAACAACAGCTATTTATTGTGTACCTACAATTCACCAGGTATTAAGTTTACACTTCACTTGCATCGTCTTATTAAAAGTTTTCAACATCACAATGCAGTAGGTGTTAACCCAGTTTTACAGAAAAGAGAACTGTGTCTTAGAAGGTAAATAACTTGGACAAGGCCACATAGTGAGTTACTATATTTCACCCATTTTAAGTTGTTCACATTTTAACATATCTGGAAATCAGTATTTGACATGCAAGAGATGACATCTTATGATCACTTGCACCAGGTAGCAGTTGTGACACCTTTGTTATTGCTTGTCTGTGTGAAAAATGTAAAACACCAGCAAAAAGATAAACAGAAAGACAGGATCTTTTAACCCTAAGGCACAAAGTGATAGTGAGGGGTAGGTGGGTGTGTGAGGTGGTAAGTCAGATGTGTTTAGCAACATTCCTTAAGAGGGACTAAAGGTGGGCTAACTTCATATGGGTGCAAGTTGGCTTAAGTAATTAGCACAAAAAGCTTTACTTCTTTTGTGAATCCGTCTAAGAAACGATGCATCACTAACATTGTGATGGCACAGAGGACGTTATCATATATAGAAACATAGACATTAGATAACTGTGAGTTGAAAAGTAATTAAGAGATTTAAACTCTGAGTTGACGATGGTTTACAAAAACTTTAACCAGTTTTTATATATATATATATATATATATATAGGATTGCATGAGAATTATATATAGTAATAATAATAATAATAATAATAAACATCTAATTAGGTCTGAAAGTCCTTTTTCAATAAGAATAAAAGACAAGCAGCTGGGCGTGGTGGCTCATACCTGTAATTCCAACACTTTGGGAGGCCGAGGCAGTTGGATCACCTGAGGTCAGGAGTTTGAGACCAGCCTGGCCAACATGGTGAAACCTTGTCTCTACCAACAATACAAAAATTAGGAAAATGTGGCACATATACACCATGGAACACTATGCAGCCATAAAAAGGATGAGATCATGTTCTTTGCAGGGCCATGGACGAAGCTGGAAACCGTCATTCTCAGCAAACTAACACAGGAACAGAAAACCAAACACTGCAAGTTCTCACTCATAAGTGGGAGTTGAGCAATGAGAAACATGAACATAGGGAGGGGAACATCACTCACCAGGCCCTGCCATGGGGTGGGAGGCTTGGGGGGGATAGCATTAGGAGAAACACCTAATGTAGATGACAGGTTGATGGGTGCAGAAAACCACCATGGCACGTGTATACCTATGAAACAAATCTGCACGTTCTGCAAGTGTATCCCGGAACTTAAAGTATTAAAAAAAGACTTACGGACAGAGGGACAAAAACATGCATGACCAAATTAGGCCAAGGTGTGTATGTGCATGCAAGTGGGTGAATTTAAGTTAATTATAATGGAAATGATATGTACAGATGGAAAATACTGAACTATTTTTAAAATACCACTGTCTAGAAAACATTCTTAGCCAGGCCAAAAGAAATTCTGTAAACGCTGTAACACTTTTTTCTTAAATAACATGGTTCCATAAATAACTTTTCTAGGTCATTCTTATCTACTGAAAAAATTACAAGCAACCTGTAGGCTGACTATATTACTAGAAGACTTATAAGGTAGTCTCCCATTTAAAAAATCAAATATAAAACCTTCACATCTGGTTAATATCTGGTCTATTGCACGGTTATGGAACTTGTTCTAATGTGCATTTAGCAATGCAGAAAGACTGTAGCTGTTCTTTCTCTCTTCATAGTTTCATAAAAATGATTAAATAAGCCTAGTGCTTTATTAATTGATGAGATTAGCCCTACAAGTGTTTAGCAGAGGTGTAGTTTTTAAAACGAGATTCTGTTTACCAAATTAGTTTCACATTAAGTAATGGTCCCCAAGAATTTGGTACGAATGGATGCCATTGATGTTAAGATAATTGAGAAATATAATATTATTTTTTCTCTTTTTATTATGTTTTACATTTTAACAAAAGCATATTAGGAAAATTAAAAAAAATACAAAAATTAGCCGGACGTGGCGGTGGGCACCTGTAATCCCAGCTACTGGGGAGGCTGAGGCAGGTGAATAACTTGAACCTAGGAGGCGGAAGTTGCAGTGAGCCGAGATTGTGCCACTGCACTCCAGCCTGGGATTCAGAGTGAGACTCTGTCTCAAAAACAAACAAAAAAACAATAAAAGACAAGCTAAGTGATAAGAGAGTATTATGTAAAAGTTCAATTGGGAGTATTTTTCTTTTCTTATTGGTAAATAAAATAAGGGTTCATCTTACAGCTTTAATGGAATAAGGAGAGTTTCTGAGCTGGAATTGGAAGCCAGGCTTCTCTGACTGCCGAGACCAACTTTTAACAAGCATGATTTTCCATCATAAAGCCTACACAGTCAGTACTGTAGGGAGTTAACAATTTGGGGACACAATTTTGTAGTTTAGACCCCAGTGCAAATATCCTATGAGAAACCCTGAAACATGAAGGAGTCTTTGTGTTTCCATACCTTTCTTCTCCTCGACTCCTGCATCTGATTTGAGAGTGTGGCTGCTGCTGTGGAGAGAATCTTTTGAGTCTTCGTTCTCGTCCAGGACCCCAGCAAAACTGATCTTCCTCTCATATCTGTGCCGATCCAACTCGGGATCCAAACGAAGTCTGCAGCTCTCCAAGTCCTAAAATGCCAGTGAGGAGCACGTGAGTGCTGGCATCTCCCCGGCACTGCATTGCTCTGGCGGCAAGCCTCCCTCCATTTTGAATTATACGCAACTGCGCTTAAACAGCCAGATTCCTTTATCTGCTGCTAATTTTAGATTGTGACCATGCAAAGCTATTCTAGACTTTAAAAATAAATAAAATATTTCCTAATTCATAGTATTTTTCCCCTTTTCCTCACATGCTTTACCTTCCAAAAGCATAGGCCTTGATCCAAATCCACAACTATCTTCCTTACCTTCTAACTCTTTGTCCACAGTTTTGGCTGTATCTTTGGCCTTTATCTTTTATTTAAAAATCACGCATCAAGCATGGATGTGTTAGGTACTGAAGGATAAATAAGGAATTTTTTTAAATCTCTAAAGAAGCTCAGAATCCCAAGATAGAAACTAAGAAGGCAAACAAGTGATAAACTTTAAGACTGAGAGTAGGAGCTCAGAAATCAGGCTCGGAACTGTGCTCGACAGAATAATAGCTCCCCAAAGATGCCCTAATCCCTGGCACCTGTGAATACGTTGCCTCACATGGCAACAAGGATTTTGTAGATGTGATTAAGGCTAAGGACTTAAAGATTGGGAGATTATTCTGAGCTAGCTAAATGGGCCCAATCACAAATCCTTAAAAGTGGAGAGCCTTTTCAGGCTGCAGTCAGCAGAAGCTGTGGCTATGAAAGGAAGATGAGAGAGATACCATGTTTCTAGCTACAAAGATGGGGGGCCGGGCGCGGTGGCTCACGCCTGTAATCCCAGCACTTTGGGAGTCCAAGGCAGGCGAATCACGAGGTCAGAAGATCGAGACCATCCTGGCTCCAACGATGAAACCCCGTCTCTACTGAAAGTACAAAAACTTAGCCGGGCGAGGTGGTGGGCGCCTGTAGTCCCAGCTACTCGGGAGGCTGAGGCAGGAGAATGGCGCGAACCCGGGAGGCGGAGCTTACAGTGAACCGAGATCGCACCACTGCTCTCATGCCTGGGCGACAGAGCAAGACTCTGTCTCAAAAAAAAGGAGGAGAGGAGGTGGATTGTGGATTGTAAAATTTGCTTAAATGGTAACACATAGATTGTTTACGTTATGATTGCTCTGGGAGAGTGCCATAAGTCTTATGTGAACCGAGAAAGGAAAAAAATGAGTTAGTCCAGTTCCTCAGCTCCAGCTGGATGATGCCTGTGATGACCGAACCACTGGAAACTTGGTGCCCCTGAGGGAACTAGGAGTGAAGGAAAATTGGCTCCAAGGTGTGCCCCATGCCACACACTCTGTGAACGCGCCTGGTTCTTGCGTAGTATTTCTATTTATATCATTGGTTAAACAAATCAGGCCCTCATGGTACACACCACACATGAGTGTATATGCATGCACACACATGCATGCACACACACACGCATGGTCTTATTTCTGTCTATCCATAATCTATAGGAAATGCTACAGAAATAACAATGTACGTTTGGGGATGTTTAGACACTAAATACTGGAGTACTTTCAACCATAATTTAAATGAGAACACTCATTAAGAAGCAAATTTTTATACAGATTTATGAGCAGTTGGTATAAAAAATTTATTGGTGAGTTCTGGAAAATATTAGCCATAAAACTCCTCATATTTTCAGAGTAAAGGAAGCTAAAAGCTCCTAGATATTCCCAGCATAATTGATAATGATCAATGAAACACTATATCCAGTAGGACAACCTTCACTGATTTCTAGATCAACTTTGGAGTTATTATTATTTGTAATGAGGAAAAGAGCATTTCTTTTTATGTTTCAAAATCCCTTGGTTGAATTTTTAAAATTATGTGATATATTAGCCATGGAACATTTAAGAAAACTGTGAATCTTGGAAACCCAGACACACGCCTGGCCTCACCAAGTAACCTGATTATTAACATGCATGCTTTAACTTACCACCATAGGCTCAGTGCGAGGTCTGGGCAGGCAAGAAAAGGTCTCTCGCAGGAAGGTGGTAATCTCCAGAAGAAGCTGACATGCTGCCATCTTCAAGGCAAAGGGGCAACCGCATTTAGAGGGGTTCACAGTACCTGTGAAATGAAAGTGTTCTTTCATAAGGAGACAAATCAACAAAAAATACAGAAATGCATAGTTTGATGGACATAGCTACACATGTGTAAAATCAAATTGAATATGAGAATGTTACCTATATATGTCCAACATTCAATTACATATGAGGACTTCATCTATATCTATGTAAGTTCAATTTACCTATTCCCTTTAGCATGATTTATGCACTACCATAAGCATCTCTCTTCCTCCATTTTGCAAATTCTACAGAGTGCTTCAGTATTAAAATATCGAACAAGTAGAACTAAATTATTTTCCTTAAAGCATCGTAGAGTAACAAAATGCAGCTCCAACTAAACTAGAATAGCTTTTAATGAAAACAGAAATGGGAGGTAATCTCGCAAGATTTCTACGCTGCTCTTCAATCAGATTTAGACTATGCATATGGCAGTGAACTAGATTTGGAGCTACAAAAATTCTGCCAGCTCATTTTATGAGGGATGTCTGTCTTGCTGTTCTGAGGGCAGTGAAGTTGTTTCAGCTCTAGTTCAAATGTGTTTCTGCAACATAGACAAGACATACTTACTGGATCACACATATCATACAGTTTGTGCAAGCTAGCCTGTCAAATTAAGGCATAGCTATACTAGAAATGTACAAATATTCTCTTTTGCTCTGAAGAATATTGACCTTTGAATTAGTAAAGCATTGTATCCACTAGAAGCCAACTAACAGTTTTTGCTCTAAAGATAGATAATGGCCACAGTAACACCATAGTGATTTTTTAAATTCTCAGAATTAGTTCTCAGATATGTGTCATCACAACTGATGGCACAGGATGATGCAGAAATATATTGATTAAGTGTTCAGAAAAAATCAGAGCCATGTAGAATTCCTTCTCTTATAAAACAAAGGAAATGGTTGTCTATTTTAAATGAATCAAGTCATCAAGCAATCACAATACCATTACATATGAACAGTCCTAAAAATATCTCTAAAATGTTTCCTGGATGTTAAGCTTTCTTAATTGAATAGAATACAAACTTCATGATTTCATTTGAAAATAGGTGGAAATTATGGTCTTTCTGTAGAATTTAAGCTATTGTTTTCTCAAGAAAACCATTTTCTCTCCCGAGTTAATTTGTTGCTGGGGACTTTGCCTCTCATCAAGAATGGAAAAGACAAGCTTCTGTAGAATTTCCAGCCCGAAAGTTGCTTGCACCATAATTAGCCTTTAAATGCAAGATGAACTGTGTATTGACTTGAAAGTGGAAGTAAAAATCAGACATATCAATCTTATATATGTCTTATAGGGGCTATTTGACTAAATATTGTCTGGATATGCAACACTTTTTTAAAAATGATTGAACACTAGACATTCAGTATAGACTTTTGGGTCTGTCTTTTCACTCCTAAGGTTATCATCCAGGCTTTTCTTACCAGTCCTGTAGACAATGAGCTTAGTCTTAGTCTAGGCTCTTTCATGGCTATCATATTAAATATCCTGTTTTAATAAACAAGGATTGAGTTCTACCTAGTCTCAACAAAAAGCTAATATTCTAGGCATAACATACTGGTAAACGACACTTATGCAGTCTAATGGGGATTCAAGTTGTTTTGGCCTATAAGGATGCATGCATTTAATGTTGCTTCAGCTTCTCTCTGTTCTGAAGGCCCCCCTGGAAGTTCCAGGGTGGTTTAGAATGCCCTCTGGCTAGATGGGTCTTATGGTGGGCCTTCCCTAGGTTCTGTGATTGCTGGATAAACCTCATTCTAAGATAGTTTAGGCTATTGTAGATATTTTTGGGGCCAACCTTCATTATTAGGCTGAAAGACTGACATAACAATTTGGTGTTTTGTCAATGGCTACGTCAAGAAGATTTGCTCTGATTTGATAAGGTCTTAGAAGGGGCAACATGATTTAAAAAATGCAAAAAAAAAAACACTTTGGAAGGAACGTGGAAGGGAAGATCATAAGAGTTTTCTTTGATTATTATTCAGTCCTGCCTAATGTTACACTCCATCCATTCTTTTACATTTCATGACTGCAATGATGCAGTAGGTCTGAATCACCTAATGAAGGACAACTCTTAACATGTAGTCAGGGAACTTGAATTTCAAACCACAGGGGAAGGTCAGAAGGAAGAGATCTCAATACGCTCACCATATAAAGATACTAATTCCATAACTATAACTGGAATTTTGTATTCCATAAAAGGCAGTGGTACATATACACAAAAGCTTGTATGGTATAGAACACATGCATACACAAAATGATGTTGAAGAAGGATATAATAGGAATCCTTTTGTCTCTACTTTTCTATGATGAGATTCAGTTCCAAATTTAATAAATAGGTACAGTACAGCAGACATTCATAGTTCTAGCAACCTCTGAATATTTTAATATTTCAGTGTGTCATGTTAAATACTATAATATACTCTGTTTAAAATTTTCAGTATTTTACTGATTTGGAAAATCATATTCAATTTTATTTCGTCTGATTTTGTTTCCTGGAGCAACAACAACAACAACAAAAACACACAAAAAAAACACAAAAGAAACACAAAACCTGAAAAATTCTCTTCTAGGACAGTAAATTTTCTGCAACTGTAGTCTTTCAGAGATGTTTTCTCAGAGAAGTCAAATACCAATATTTGTATAATAGCAAGAGTCAAAGATGAAAAATAATAAATGTTCCATCTTGCCTGCACCTCCTTGCCCCTGTCTGTCTTCTCTTTCTGGTTCTTGCCTTGTCTCTGTGTTGCTTTATGCACATGCTTTACACCATGCACAGGGAAAAGGGGATAAGGCGCAGTGGGAAGACATGGGGAGGTGGTAAGAATATGAAGGAGAAAAGAGAAGTATTAAGTGCTCCTAAAGCAGAGGTTCTTACAAGCAGGGGTTCTTGTAGTAAAGGGAGTCTCCTTACTGTCATCTAAAAAGTCTTCCTCCTCATCCTCCTTTCTAAGTCTCCTCTTGGTCTCCTCATCGTAAATGAGACCCAGAAGGTTGGCTGGGCTCTCACTTTCCCCATGGCACAGCTCATTCAATCGGACGCCAATTGCCTACAATGGGAAGGAAAACAATGAAACGGCACAAACTAAGTCAAACTCTAAAATAGGCTCTCATATTACAGCAGACATAAGCAACCAATTAATGAGAATTATTTCCAGCATAAGCCTCTTCTGTATGCTACAGTGTTGTTTCCACCATATTTGCCAGTATGGAAACCAGATATGGAAGAAATATGACTATCCCCAAGGTCATCCAGTCTAAAGATTTATAAAAACTAGGATGACACCTTTGTATATTTGTACAAAAGTTTTTCTGAAAATATTTCCATTTACTCAAAGGTTATTTATTTTATAGATATGATAAAAGGGAGTACACAGTTGCTTTTAATGGAGGATTTTGTTGCAGTAAAACATCAGAAGGCACAGTTCCTCAGAGTGCTTCTGATTATGCTATTTTTAATGAGAATGTCACTGTCACGCTAATGAGTTTAGAAGTTGGCCAGAATTCTGTTGCTGATTTTTTTTTCTATATGTCATTATATATGTACTTATTGGCTTCTTTTATAGACTTTGTTCCTCTTTCCATAATACTCTATGAATTAATAAGAAATGCTAAGTTTTCTTTTGGTAGACTGCCCAACAACATTAGAAATATGACTCTTAATAACTCAGCACATGGACAAGATTGGTTTTTACATGGTATTCTTAGAACTAACATCCTTGCTATCTGTTATTGAATCATCAGGCACTACTGTCTGGTTTATCAAAGGAATTTTCCACAAGAAGAGACAAAAAATACTATTTCTATCTAATTTATTTTATTTCCAATTATACACTGCATGCAACAATGGAAGAGACACAGGCTCAGGAGTGAGAGAGAAAAAGTTAAACAGATCACTGAACTTGGGGTTTGACAGTTTGGACACTCTCTGTTTAAGTAAGAGCAAAATTCCAGCTAACTTTCTTCTTTCTTTCTGTATCATACTTTGCAAATATTTAGAAAAGTTACTAAATTCTCAGCAAGTAAGAAAATACACTTACTACTGAAAACAAACATGCTCAAGCTCTCTAAGTGAAGATTATGCTCATAACTCTTTAAATGAAAAGACATTTTTGAATGTTGTAGATATCTGGAAACAAAAAGTCTCCCTAAACTCTGGAATTAAGTGAGGAGCTAAAAACCAGGAAGCAAAAACCATACCAAGGAGAAAGCAGTATAGAAAGCAGTATGTGGGATTCTAAAATTTTAGCTGCTAACTGGGTAAGTTTTAAGCAAACAAAACAAATTGTAAAAACAAAACCACCACCACACCAAAAAGCCTTATCCTGGTGCTGCTATTTTGGAGATCCTCTGTTAAGGAGGAGACATGCAATTATGAGTCTGGAATGGAGCCAACAAACTAAATAGTGAGACTCAAAGGGGAAAAATGTCTACATTGACCATTCCAGGATGTTGTAACTAAGCAACTTAAATTAAATCCACAGTTTATAAAGCTTAAAGGGCTGCTCAAAAAATGAACTTGTCTGGTATAATACTGTATGTCTAAATAATAATTTATATCTCTATTTCTCATCCAAAGCTAGAATAATGTCTCAGGGCTATGTTTTTTCGTCTCTTCCTTCATTCATCAAATATTTATTAAGTGAGGTAATTTGTTAGGTATTAAATACAACATAAAGTTGAGTAAGTTGTTAGAGTACATTAGTACCTTTGTTTAATGTGCCCTGGCAAATTATAAGCCCACATAAGAAAGATTCCTATTTGGCAAATAGGAAGGCTAGAAGGGCTGGGAGGTTTGCCCAAGGTCGCTCAGCAGGATTCAAACATAGGATGTCTGACTATCTATGCCTGTGTTCTTTCTTTCTTTCTCTCAATGAGCTTACAGTCTATTGAGGGATGTAATAACATAACAAAACAACTAATTAAGTGGCTAAAGAGACTGGAAACACTTTATTAGCTCATAAGATAGATTAAATTCATATCAGAGAGGGAGAGGGTCGCGGAGCTGTGGGACTGGAAAACTACATTTTGGGTACAACATGCACTACTCGGGTGATGGATGCATTAAAATATCAGAATTCACCGCTGTAAAATTAATCCATCTATGTGGTCAAAAACTGCTTGTACCCCAAAAGTCATTGAAATAAAAAAAATAAAGAAATAAAGATAAAATTTAGTTCAGAGAACCACAGAAAATCTCACAGAAGGTCTCAAAGTTTGTAGACTTTGACAAATTGGTGTTTTGACTGATGGAGAATGGGGAGAGTAGACATTCGAGGAGACGGTCCTGAAAGATTTATGTTCATGGAAATGCACCATGTGCTCAGAGACTGCCAGAGGGGCCACTGAATTGGAGTTCAATTTTGAAGGAGGAAATAATGTACAGGAAGGCTGAAAAGGTAGATTTGGATCAGATCCTACAGTTCTTGAAGTTGAACTTCATTTTACATTCTTGAGAAGGATGAAAGGTAGTTTCTGAGTGGGGGAAGTAACCTGATCTCTCATTCCAGGGACATTGTACTAGCTGCCCAGGAATGCTGAGACAAGTATGGACTCTGCTTTCAAAAATTCATGTCAGAACCTATTATTATTGAACATATAGTAGGAGGAAAGTATTTAAATACATATTCTTTGGGTACATTGACTCATTTGAGTTCATCACCCATAATCTTGGAATGGTTTGAGTGAAGGTCATGGAGAGGGCAGTGATGCCAGGCTAAGCAGTTTGGGTTTTATTCTGAGGGAAAAGGAGGGCCACTGAAAACATTTTAAGTGAATCAGAAACACACTATAATTTGCATTGTAGCCTAATCACTCTGAGAGCAGTTTGGAGAATGAATTAGAGGCGGCAAGTCTGGAGGCTGGGAGATCAGAATGAATGTCAGATCTTGGGTGGGCTGGGCTATAGGAAGAACTTTTCACTGAGATTGTGTAGGATGCATTAAATGAGAGGAGACTGTGAGGAGAAGACCAAATAGGAAAAAAGTTTAATCATCCAGATGAGAAGTCATGGAATCAGACCTAAGGGGCTTCAGTGACACGGAAGAGGTGGGATCAATAGGGGAGGAGATGGGGATATGCTCAAAGGTCGGCATCTCAGATGACGGTGGTGTCAATAAGAATAGAAAGCTCAGAAGGGTTGTAGGTGGCAATGTGTTTACTTGAGGAGAAGGGTTTTATTTTGGAAGATTGAGTTCTAGTATATTAACTGAATGTTTCCAAAGTGCAGCTGGCAATGTGGGCCTGGGATCTGAAAATTGCTATGGTTAGGGAAGTCTGTACTTACGGGTTATAGTTGGAAATATAAAAATAAACGTAACCCTAAAGTAAGTTATATAGGAAGAAATTAAGAGAAATCCTGGAGAATATCTGTTTATGAGGAGGGAGGAGACAGAGGACTAGGAAAGGACACAGAGAATTAGGCACAGAGATGCAAGGAAACTCTGGAGCATAATGGTTTCAAAAAGACAAAGATATGTGCAGTTGGCAGTGTCAAATGCTGCAAGAAAGTCAGAAGACACTTCTCCTGAAAACACCTGTTTGTGAAATCTCTCAGTCACAATCTCCCTATAAACCTGAAACTCTCAAATGCGCAGCACTTCATGGTTTTCCCCTCCTGAAGGAAGCCAATGGGATTATCAATTGTGACTGTTGTTTCAGAGAAGCCTTTCAATAAGACCTTCCTTGAATGAGATACGTAATAAATGAGGGGCTGAAACATCTCTCCACATTAAAGAGATTATTGGTGTCTCTATGTATCTCATGATATGCATTTCATTGACACTGCTTGACTTGTATAAACTCTTGTGCTGTTAAAACCAAATATAATTAAATGCAGGATAAGTACAATGGAATCACATAATAACTTAGCTCAATTATTTACAAAAACAGATATTACATAGGAGAAACTGTGTCTTCTCATATATATAATGTGCAATAGAAGCCTGAAAAGGGCAGTGCTAAGTCTTGATCATCGACATTAGCATTAATAAAGTGTTCTACTCCATTGTATCATATGTACATATAAATACACACACACACACACACACACACTCATGTATCCTTTTCAACAGGATGTCTTTATATAGAAAATTAAACAGGATGTCTTTATAAGAAAATCCAAAGAACAGCAAATGAAGTAAAGACTGATACACTTGTAGAAAGACTGCACATATACTGAATACAATTCATGCCTTTTGAATAACTCAGGCACTTCACAAAAAAGATGTGGGTAAAACTGGAGGAAGAATACCCTTAGTTGGTAAGCACATTGGTAGACACATTCAGCTGAATTATTAACAGAAATTATAATAGTTATTCCAAGTAATCTTTAAGAAAAGAGGAATATATGGAACCTCTTTATGTATGTTTATGTTCAGCTCTGCCTAAAATTAACAGAAACAACTTGGTCCTCTTGAATTTCTTTTTATTCTTCACCTTTTTTCCTTCTATGGTAAAGAAGTTGGAGTTATTTTAAGGGTCCATTTTGTTAGAATTTCTAAAGAAGTTTCATTCATTCACTTTTAAATTTATTCACTTACTCATATGCATACATACATATGTGTGTATGTGTGTGTGCAATTTCCAAAGGCTTTCAGGCAACTTAAAGGAGGCACATCAACAAAAGAGAAAATTTCATTAAGAAATTAGAAAAAATCATGTCGTACCATATGACCCAGCCATCCCATTACTGGGTATATACCCAAAGGATTATAAATTATGCTGCTATAAAGACACATGCACACATATGTTTATTGCAGCACTATTCACAATAGCAAAGACTTGGAATCAACCCAAATGTCCATCAGTGACAGATTGGATTAAGAAAATGTGGCACATATACACCATGGAATACTATGCAGCCATCAAAAAGGATGAATTTGTGTCCTTTGTAGGGACATGGATGCAGCTGGAAACCATCATTCTTAGCAAACTATCACAAGAACAGAAAACCAAACACCGCATGTTCTCACTCATAGGTGGGAACTGAACAATGAGATCACTTGGACTCAGGAAGGGGAACATCACACACCGGGGCCTATCATGGGGGGGGGGCAGGGATTGCATTGGGAGTTATACCTGATGTAAATGACGAGTTGATGGGTGCAGCACACCAACATGGCACAAATATACATATGTAACAAACCTGCACGTTATGCACATGTACCCTACAACTTAAAGTATAATAATAATAAATAAATTTTTAAAAAAAAAGAAAAAATCATGTCCTACAAAACATAAATTAGAATAGAATCCAAAATAAGGGTGTATTTTACAATTATAACAACAACTATCAAAAAGACAATTCTTGATGAATACAGCAATTGAAGCAAGGCGTTGAAATCTAATCTGGGAGATGGAATATTGGTTCCTCTACTTACTATTAATATATATGTAAACTTTGGTAGGGCGCTTGACCTGTATAAACTTCAGTTTTCTTAACTGTGAAACAGAGAGAGTAATTTCTGACCTCATAGATTTATTGGGACGATTAAATGAGTTGTTTATTTTTCCCCCAAAGGGTTCCCTTCAGTACCTGGTACATATCAAACACTCAACAAATTGTCTTCAAAACCAACACAATCAATCAAAAAATGACTCCACTTCACTCAAGCATCCTAATTGTTATAGAAGAAAACCGAAAGCTCACGTCTCCCCATTGGTAGAAGAGCTTGGCCGCATTCCACTGCAGCTTCTGGTTTCGCTTGTTGCCCACAATGGGAGAGCGTCCCCGGGAAAGGCCTTTCTTGGTGATGTTTACATGGTGCCCTTTCATCCACTCTGGCCAGTTGCCACGATTGCAGCGGTGAACAAAACGAGCACATTCCAGGAACAAGGCTGCTCTGGCCACCACAGGTGCTTCCTGAGTAGGGTTGTTCAGGAAAGAATAATGTGGGATTAATGAACAATAACTTTAAATTGGTCTTAAAGGGAATGACTGTGTACTTTTAGTTTATTTTCCTCTTCATGTTTTGATTTAGTTTGACCATATTTCCTAGGGTTGTGTCTGTACAGCCAAGACAGTAGTGAGAAATCTGGAAAGTAAAATCCCCAAAGAAAACGTGGATCTTGAAGAATTAGACATTTTAAGTAGGTTTCTGTGTTGCTTTTTCCTTCTTCTCAAGAATCTCAAGTAATTACATGTCTCCAACTTTGTATATTTAAGGGTGGCAGCGATTTGAGTGTAGAGTGAAAGAGCTTTTAGTGAGGTCTTAAATATGAATCTTTTTTTGAACCCTAAAATTTTACATGAAGCAAACAAATATTCCATTTCTAGAATTAGTCTTATTTTAACCAAGAGCGTCAGAAGTAATTTTGTACCAGCAATAGTATTTTGTCTATAACCATCCGTATGTTCCAAAGAGGTAAAATTGCTTCTGCACATTTTGGCTATTAAAAAAAGGGAGTTCAAGACCAGCCTGGCCAACATGATGAAACCTCATCTCTACTAAAAATACAAAAAATTAGCCAGGCGTGGTGGAGTGCACCTGTAGTCCCAGCTACTCAGGAGGCTGAGGCTTGAACCCAGGAGGTGGAAGTTGTGGTTAGCCAAGATCATGCCACTGCACTCCAGCCTGGTAGACAGAGTGAGGCTCCATCTCAAAAAACAAAAAAGAAAAGGAAGCTCAATCTTGTTGAGTTAGTCTTTTTTTTTTTCTTTTGTCATAAATAACTGACTGGATTATACTTAAATAGGCATGGTTTTCATTGAAAATATTTGATAAAGAGGAGATTAATTGATAAATGATACAGCATTTCTTCAGAAAAATATCACTCCACCTTGTCATGTCACGATGTGCTTGAAAAAAAAAAAAGGAAAAAAGAAGAAACATCTTTTAGTTGATATCCAGAATCTGGTAAGAATCAAATACTCTACTGAAATCTTTGAAAGTTTTTTTTTTTTAAAGTTAAGGAAAGAAGTAATGAGAAGTTTTCCATAGAAGGTCAATAGATCATAAGAAAATATGTATCAACTATTCATGTGTATTTTGACTTGTGTCAGTTTTTTAAAAAATATATCACAATATTATTTATCATTTTAGGGTTACTCAGTAACCACAGATTTTCAAACTGAAATAATTTTTAATAACCATTGTAAGCAAGGTATCAATCCATAAAGTTAAAATAGAGGCTAATATAGAGTGTCAATTACATGTCAGTTAACTTTTAGAATTATAATATATAACATCCCTGTGATCTATAAATAATGTCCCTCATTTAAGATTTTTTAAAATGAGGTATAATTTTTCACTATCATATAGCATGAAAGGGGTGAATATAGGAACATAGGATTCAACCCAAGTCTCACTGATGCCAGTCCTATGCCAGTTTCTCTTTGGCATTTACATTGTCTTAATTTATACTCCCATAAATCTTAGTAAAAGATAATTTCTAGAGTGCAAGTAGAAATTAACTATTAATATTTAAAGTGGGACATTAGTTCCATGTACTATTGTTTTCTAAAACATAAATATATAAACATATCATTTCCCCATTTGAGATCTATTACAGGCTCCATACTCAACCATAAAACAAAGATATCCAAGCTTTGTGATTTGGGTCATCTCCTTTTCTATGCCCATCCCAAGTGCTTTATGATCCAATTATTCAACTTAGTTGCTGTCTCCCAGATATGACATCTTCTACCATTCCATATGTTGTCTCATGGCTTGCAGAGCCTTGAAACTCCTTTTCTACCCAGAAAATTCCCATTTTTAAGATTCAGGATTCAGTTAGTTACCTCCTCTGAGAAGCCTTCTTAAATCCCTTCCCTGGTCAGGCAGAGCTGGTTACTTTACATTTTTGGGTACCAAAGTATCCCAAACACACTGGATGATTCAAGTAAGTTAGTTCCTTAAGCCTTTCTTCATTGTATATGTCTTAAATGCAGCCATCAAAAATTACAATGAAAATATATTTATGTAGGTACTTAATTTTACAAAGAATATTATGTATTACCACAACATGAAAAATTAACCTATGTGAAAGACAGAATGCAAGATGAACACTAATGGTGAGAATTTATCCTTAACAAAAGCTGGATACTAATGATGAGAGTCTATCTCATCAACTGCATGGGATCAAGACTAGGAAGCAGGTCACAGGGATAGAAAAACTTGAGATTGCAAGGAGTCAGATGACCTTCTGCATTAAACCCAATAGTATTGCAGTGCCATACCATATAGACTAAATATCTATATTCTTTCTTGTATTAAGTATTCATTTCACTAAACAGTTCAGATATGCAAATCTGTGTCTGGAAAAGGTTGGAACATTTGTCTCTAAAACAGAATGTCAGTTTAGAGGTCAGGCAAGTGATGCAAATTTATTCTTAGCCTGTCACAATATGACACATTCCCAATATAAAGCAATGTGGATTCAAAGCTTAATGACAGGAAGACATAAGTAACACTGCTGAAATAGCATTATATTGTGAACCCTGGCTCCTTCAGGATTAACAAGGGTGAAACTTAACGTGGACCACATGTATGGGGTAGAGGATCATTTTATTGCCTCTAAGTGTTAGATGGCAACTGAGAGGATTAACAATAGATGAATGAACAATCTAAATAGTGATATGTGAGGCTTCCTATATAGATTAGTTTGCCTACTTTAGATAAAATAATTCTTAAAAAATATTACTTAAAAATTATTTTAGCTGCTTAAGAAGCCCAAGGCATTTTTGAATCTAAACCAACTTCATTTCTCCTGCTCTCAAAAACTTCTCATGATAAAACTGAGATATTATGAGTTACAGGCTGTGGGAAATTCGAATCCAAGTTTGGAAATGAAATTGATATCAATATAAAAATAATTCTCATTAACTATATGGTAAAATATTAAGGGGGAGGTTGGTTATTGTCTGATGAATTTTATGCATGTAAATAGCCAAAGCCATTAATGTTTGGAAATGTCACTGTTTGCATCAAGGAAGATGACATAGAGTCATTCAAATATTGCCTTTTTATTATAATCATTATTAGCCTAGTGGATGATGTCAGTCTTAGAAATTCTATATTCAAGATGGCAGTAAATAATACTAATTTATGGGGTATTTTAGTATATATATTACTATACTGAAAATTGAGGGTGATGCTAAGGTTCAAAGCCAAGGGTACTGATGTCCAAGATCATTAGTCAGCAGCAGCTAATTAAGTTTGCTGAGTTTGCAATGTGTGTGCAACAGCATTCAAGGAATTCTGGTGTGAGTGTGGCTATGTGGAATCGTTTTCATTCAGTTCCTTTTAAAATGTAGTTTAGAAAGTATTGATTTCAGGGGCAGGGTTATGGAATACCTTGGACAAAGGATTCCTCCTGAGCATAAAGGAAAGTCAATTTTCCCTCTTTTGATGGAGCTTACCTCTTATGGCTCAGTGCAATCTGAAGAAGCAGCAAAAGATGGAGGCATGACATAATGGATAGGGATGGATTCACATCACAGAGAAAAACAGCACAAATGGAGAAAAATGAATCGGAAGAATGCTGCATAGCTGAAAAGAACCACAGAGTATCAGAGGCACAGTTACAGGTGAACATCTAAACAAAATTTGACACCATTGGAATACCATAGAGAATTTGCTGGTGGTCCTAAAAGAAAAGTAAGCATATTTAAATTTCTTCTTTCTTATTAACATGTCTGCCCAGATCCCTTTTTATGCTCCATAATGTCACAGAGAGGCTTCTATTCCATTATATTGTAACTTTGTAGTTTCCAGACAAGCAAGAATCGATTTTAACTGAGAAGGCAAAATATTAGATTGAACCTATGAAATTTCTAAATTTGAAGGTCAGAAATAGTCATATCAGCAATTTCATATAGTTCAATCTTGTATGAGGTGTTCTCTGCATGGGTTACAGGCTTGTCCAGTCGAAATTACAAAAAGTTAATGAATGTCAATGCACAGCATGGGGGGTCTCTAACAGTCTACAGCTAGAAAACGTCAGGAGTCTGGCTACTTTCCTCGACTTCTTTGCCATTTTTTTTCCTTGAATTTTATAAGATCATTATGTATATTGAATACTTCCTTTATGAAAGTGAGGCAGAGAATTGAGACACTAATTTCGGCAGCTGTGCTTTATTTTGCCTGGGGACCTAAAAAATATTGTTGCCAAGATATGATGGTTAATTGAAGCTTATAATTGCAATACATTCCTTTCCCTGGAGAACTATATCTAAGCTTATGATGTGCAAAGAAACCTTGACTGATCCTGAAAACTCATATAACACTGGATAGAAACTGTTTTTAAAGACTAAATATTTTACGTGGGCCCCTAGGGAATTACATATTTTTTTTATTGCCTTACAAAATAAAATATAAAGCTGTTGCTGGTGCAGGATACCTGTTTATCTACAACCAATGGGAATAAGCAGTTATTTTGGGTCTTAGTAAGCATTGGAAAGTTCTTTACTAGGGGACATATACTTCTGAGTCAGTATTTATTACTTAGTTTGCATTGAATTCTCTGCCTGACTTGGATCAATAAATAACTGACTCGCTAGCTAACAGGCTGCCTCCTTCCCTGCCCATTTCTACAGTAGCTGTGAGTAGGCCGAAGATCAACATTATAGGTTAGCACAAGGTCTGGGAGGCTAGTCATTTTAGCACTTACTCAGATCATGCTAATATTTTGGGTATTTTAAAAACCAAATGAGGACTTCTGTTTCTGACAATATGATGAATTAAGAGTGAAGAATTCATTTGATTTAGAACACCTGAAATGGTGGGTAAAATATCAAAAAATGTCTATTTTTATTTTGCTTTTATTTCTAAAGTGAGATTGAAGACAACTGGAAAGTAGAAATTACAAGAAAGTGCAATTCTGGAGGTGGGAGTAGGGATAAACTAGATAGAAATATTTGTC